CATCGAGTCGACGCACCAGAAACCAGACGTTGTGCGGCACATTGTAAACAATCATCATCAGCCGGAGCAGAAGTACCGGCACGACGAGAACATCCTGGCCAGCAAGCCGCTGCAGCTGCGCCAGATCGAGAGCATGTTCGATGGCAGCAAGGACTTTGTGACGGACGACGGCCTCATTATACCCACGATTCCGGCCTACGTTCGCAACAAAATCGAGATGAGTGCCGAGAAGGCGGGCCTCTCCCTGCAGAGGCAGATCGACATTTTGGCGCGCGGGGCCAGTGACCTGGCCATCACTCTGTTGGGCGGAGCCAGACGTTTGACGCCGGCCAACAACCATCAGTGGCCGAAGATAGCCATCATCTGCGATGGCGTCAAGAACATGAGGTGAGCTGACTTTCTCTACGACTTCAATGGTCAGATAATAATTAATTTTAAATCCCTGCAGAACAATTAACATTGGAGCAGCCACGGGTCGCCAGCTAGCTTCGCATGGCCTCACTGTAATGCTCTACGTGGAGCAGGCCAAACTGGTGGAGCAGAACAGCAGCAGTGCAGAGATTTCCCTGTTCAAGGCAACTGACAATGTCATTGTTCACTCAGTAGATGGTAGGCCAATAAGTCTTTAAATAACAACATAAAATAATCTGTAACTCCTATTATCCTGTAGCCTTGCCCACGCCAGATCTTGTGATATTATCGACTAACACCGCTAATTTATCGGATACGATCAGGAAATGGCTCAGTGTAAATCGGTAAGTTGAAATACTTTAAACACTAAAAGAATCTTTACATCATCTATTAATTTTAGCGCTTCGGTGCTTGCCGTAGATCCGCCGCCGTGCGGCATCAATGAGGTGGCTATCAAGTACTCAATACTACCCATACTACCATTGAATGGCATATCAACAGCAACAGCATCATCATCCTCCTCGGCTGCCGCCACACCAACGCCCATTGCTAGCACTTCGGCAGCTGCAGCGGCTACCACCAAATCGGTCGCAGCAACATCAACGAACAATTGTGGCAAATTGTATTTATGTAATCTAGGTATACCGGATAAATTCTATCGTGATTGTGGCATTAAGTACAAAAGTCCGTATGGACATAAATATGTGATACCGATTCACTCAAAGGACTGAAACAACGACAACAACAAAAACACAAACACCAATCAAACTGCAGCATCAGCAAAACCAGCAGACCATTAAAACAAAACAAAAAACCAAGCACACACAACAAAAACAATAACAATGACACACACCCGCACACTTGTAATGATCATCAAGTCCAGTTTCCTGTGAATCTAGCTCTTAGTAGTCTTCTCTCATATATTACTCAAGTTAAACAACATTTTGTTCTACGGCGCGTACACATATAGTTTTTAGGTTAGTTCATGCATCAGCCCTTAATATACGCCTAGTTATTATATCTATTTTTCTGAATTAATTCAAAGCTGCCCCGGCCAAGTGCCAAACTATGATTAGTTTTCAAATTGTACCCTATAGATTATTTCTTCATTTTTAACAAGACTATTTTTTGTACAGCCTCGGTTCTGAAAAAGCTAGTCCAGCATTTAAAAGTTTCAAAAGCTTTAGTTTAGGCGCACGCTTTAAGAAATTTTCCAAACATTCAATCCAATCAATCAATTGAGAACCCCATCAGAGTAATTATACAGATGCTATGGCCTTAATTTGTTTCGTATTCCCTGTCCTTCCCGCAAGTGGTCTTCATAAACGTAATCAACAAATCAGGCGATAAATTGTTTGTAAATAACTATACAATTCTATGGGGAAAGATAAGATCATGTTAATTATTATCAAGTATGCGCAATAAATGCCAAATTCAATGTCTAATTTTAAGCATCAAATCAACAGCAAAAAGCAACAACTATTGTACGATGTAATACGGAATACAAATCCAAGTATAAATCAAATCAGATAGTTAAGCTAGTTTCGTAAGCGTAAAGTGTTTAAACCTTTAACAAACTATAACAAACAAAACAACACTGATAAAATGAGGAACACTTTATATTATATACCTATAGACGTATTTAAGATGTGTCTTTAAGCATAACTAAACAAAGTCGAGAGCATAATTTTTTACCCATCGAATACTAAAGAGAAACCACAACACAATACTTATACTCTAAACTGTAGAACGATGAATTTTATATAAGATCTAAATCCAATCTAATAGTGCAAAATTTTAGAAGGTTGCAACTCAGCAAGGCAACCAAAAACTCAAACCAACAACCCAAATTAAAACCACTTGTTGTATAAATAATAACTGTAATTGTAAAGATACCAACACGCGTAGATTCTAAATTCCAATCATGTTGATGATCATCTGCAAATTCAATTTCCAAAATCCATCAAATTATATTGTAAAAGAGAGTTGAATGCGGATCAATCTGCCGCCAGGCGGGTCCCGCAGTGACTGTTTTGCGTTAGGAGTAAAAGTGTAGAAGAGATGACCAGACCTCAAAGGGATGTTATTGGAGAGCGGATGAGAAGGTTTTCCCAATACCACAGCAACAACAACAGATTTCACAACCAAACGAATGTACACCAAACACAAGGAGAAACAAAAAAAACATCCTGAGATTTTGGTAACGCTTTAAAATTGTAAAAACATCTATTTTCGGGCCAATGAAATTGTTAAACGAAGAATGAAAACCTAATTTTAAATTTATACAAAAAAGACAAAATTGTACAGAAAATTCTCTTTTGGAACAAAAAATCAAGCAGAAAAAGAAAGCGGATCAAAAAGAAAAGAAAGTCCTTTCCAAACGAAACAGCAATATTAAAAAATACAAACAACACCGAGAAGCCTTCTCATGGAAGAAAACAAGCTATTGTTGCGTTTTTACTGGGATCTTATATTTTTAGGGGTGTATATTTTCAAAGCCCTTTCAAACTTACTCACCGGGAAAGTGAGAAGGTGGTTCTTTGTGTGTTGAAAATCCTGTTCCTTTTAGCAGAAAGTTTTGGAAATCCTGTATCTTTTAGCAGGCGACGGTGTAGGGAAAATTTAAATTCCCTTGGAAAACCACATAGAAACTTCATTTAGCCCTCACTTTTTGTGTCACCCCCGTGTATTTTAAAACCAGAGACGGAAGAAATGTAAGGCGTAAATGAGGATTTTTCCCTTACGCTTGTATGGAGAAACCTCATGAAAATATCATTTTTTCCAAAGGAATGTTTTCGCTGGGTATTCTTAAAAGGAATATTTTAAAAGATTTGTTACTAGAGTTACCCTGCATGTTATATTACTTACCAATTTTTTAAGGATACGTTGAGCTTACTCAAGATAAGATAACTGTTTTTCATATGGGGATTACAAGGTTCCCTGCTGCTTTTTCGGCCTTTTCGGTGGGCATGGAAAGGAAACAGTTAGGTAAACGAGACTGGCAAAAGGATTCAGATTTTTTATGGCTGCCCTTATCTCGTTGCCGTTTTTTCCTATTCCTGCACTAACTCAGATAATCCTAGTTATCAGTTTTCGAAAACATATACTTGCCGTTATCTTAAGTAAACCCTTATGATAACATCATATGAGATCTCCAGCAATAGAGATTACCCTTGTTCCCCACATTTGGCAACGTATTTAAAATAACAATTCTGCTTGGCTATAATTCAAGTGCAATTTTATTACATTCCGCTTAGATCCATAAAGATTAGTTTTAATTTAGATCTTAATTGAGTGTGTTGTGTGTGGTATATAACTTAAAAGTGTGTAGTGTGTAGAACAGTGTGTTGACTTAGGAGTAGATAAAACCATACGTTTTGTTAGATAGATATATAGGTAGTTGGAAAATCTGTAGGCGTTTTCGATCGATTCTTACCCACTGTCAGGGCCAAACACAAACAACTCATTACACTGCTCTCTCAATTCCCACTATAAATCCTCGGCTGCCGAAAGGAACGTGGCTTCAGCCGTCTTCGATGATTAAATTCAGTAACTGCTTGATTGTAATCAGAGATTAGTGCCCCGAATACTCACATATAGGCATGTACTGTACTGATCTGAGCCCCCGCGGCGGCATCGAGTCTGTGGCTTAAGCACCATTTGGCAAGATAAACAGAGATTTAGTTAGAAACGGATTGGATTGGATTTCGATTGCCTCTAAACAGCTACGAGATTAATATTTTTATTTTTATTTGGTTTGTGGTGGTTGTATTTTTTTGATTATTTATTTATTTTCAAGAGAGAGAGAGAGATACGTACGTTGGGATCTGGATCGCCGAGAACCCTACAAAGCCTGGTCTGCTCACGGGAAATTATCATAGTCGTTATTTGCATACGTACCACACAGTCGTGATCTTCTAACATTAATACGTACCCAGAACCGAATACATTGGACGATTCGAAAGGAAACGTCGGCCGGAATGGATACGTACCCAAGCTATATTATCTTATAAATCTGCCAAAACAACTAACATTGGTCTGGTTGAAAGGATATAATCACCTCGCCATACCATATACTCAATACGTACCGAAGCTGTGCGAAAGCGGCTGCGAAAGTGTCGAACTTCAAGTAGAGAACGCTTTGGGGTTACAAATCAAATCAAATCATATCAAATGAATATCAATATCAGATCAGAGCAGTGATAGAGTGTCAGAGTTATATATGGTGGAGGCTTACCCCAAAACGGGACGACAGCGACGCACAACACACACGTTGACTTCGACTGGGAGAATGTGATCGCTAGTTGATAGTCGGGTTTGGGTTTCAGTCAGAAGCTAGCTATACAACACACAGAATATCAAATATTAAACGTATCTCCTGCTCTGAGTCTTAACAATTTAGGTTACTCTAAACTTAAGAGTCTAAACTGATCTACAATCCGCCAAACTGCGGATTCGTTGGGTTGACTATTCTCGGTTGGGTATCTCTACGTGTCAAGGGACTATTGAATTTCAATCATATCGTATAGAGTACATATATCGTATCTCTTAACGTTTTTCGTTTGTTTTAAGGGTTGGGCTCGGTTTATATGGGAAAGCAACAGCGTTTCTCAGCTTTATTCGGTCTTTGGAGGTGTCAAAACGCAAGATCAAAAATAGAAATTATTAAAAATTTACAAGGGCGGTTGTCTCTGCACATTGGAGCGTCGAATGTGTGTTTGCTCTACGTTGCTTTATTGATTAGGCTATGAATATTCGTTTGCTGTTGTTGTTTTCAGTAGTTTTTCAATTGTGGTGGCATTGTAGTTGTAGTTGATGTGATTAATGCTACGTACGTGCGCTAGGCGGGATTCTAGCCTAGCGGCGGGAGTAGCGTTCGCGGGAGTAGGAGCGTCTGCGCTGGCCATTTCCGCCGCCGCCGTCTCTGAAGTGATTGAAGTTGCGCCGTTCGCGTGGCGAGCGGTCCCTCGAGCGCGAGCGGCGTCTCTCATCTCGGTGATGGCCACCGCCTCCTCCACCGCCGCCAAAGCGGCCTCTGTCGTTGCGTCCATGGCGCTCCCGATCTCTCCTGCCATCGCGCTCCCGTTCGCGATGATCTCGGCCATGGTTGTCCCTGTCATCACGTCGTCCTCCGCGTTCCGCAGCTCTTTCGGGTCGCTCTGGTCCATCAGCCGCCGCCACCGACGCCTCCTTGGGCCGCTCGCCGCCCTTCTCGCTCCGCTCGGCGTCTCGCTGACGCTGACGCTCCCTGGAGCGGGAACGGTGCACGCGGGAGCGGCGGTCCAGTTCGCGGCCACCTACAAAGTAGCGATTGCGGCCGCGGCCCTCGTCGTCGCGGTCCGTCATCTTACCCGTCCGCTTGAGCTCCGCCTTGCGCGGCGCCGCCGTCTTCTCCAGCTCGATGAGCTTCTCGCGAATGGTGAGGAAGCCGAGATGCAACTTACCACCAAAGTGGTCCGCCAGCCGGATGTCGTTGTCGTGGATGCCCAAATACGCGGAGCAGACCTCGCAGACGCGCAGCTTCTGCTGCTGGTACGTCGAGGCGGGCATCGAGGTGCGGTACTCGTGCTCGGCCTTGATCTTCTTGCCGCGCAGCTCCTCGATCTCCTTCATCAGCTCCATGCTGTCCTCCACCTCGCCGGCTTCGCCTAGAGCCTCCGCTTTGGCCAGCTTCTTGCCAATCTCCTCGGCCAGCCCATGGACAGCGTTGGCCTTCTCGGCCACCTCGGCGGTCAGCTCCTCCTGCGTCTCCTTCAGCCGCTGCTTGGCGGAGTCCGTGCGCCGGTCGCAGTCCGCGATGAAGGCCTGCAGGTGCTCCATGGCCTCGATGTCGTAGTAATAGTCGCGCGCCTTCGCAGCGCTCTCGTAATCTGCGCGGAAAGCCAGGTCATGCACTTTGGGACACTCACCGAGATCCATGCGCGTGGACGCCAGGATGTCGTGCGGGCAGCAGTCGAGCAGGAACGACTTGCACACCCGGGTGTCCGAGAATTTCAGCTGGCGCTCGTCTCCATTGCGCGTTGTGCCCATTAGCTGGTCCAGCATTGCTCGCATCTGATCGGTGGCCGACATTTTGTTGCTCGGCGCGCTCATTTCCTTCTGGCCGGTAGCTGGGGGAAAGTGCTGCGGCGTCGGGCAGGGGCAGTGACAGCTAGACGGCTTTTTCGCAGGCTATGTGACCGCTAGCGTGCGATGCGTGTGGAAATCCTTTTCGCTCACTTTTTACCACCTAGGAAAAGTCGTGTTGGAAAAGTGTGTGCGTGCCAGAGGTGGGGAAACATGGATGGAAGCATCGACTATCGGACTATCGGCGGAAGGTCACGGTCTCAAGAAATCACGCTTTTAGTTTTTAAGGAAGTTAATAAATAAAAAAAAAATAAAAAAACAATATTTTTTATACTCATGAGAAAAATAAGATCAAGGAATCGAAAGTGTAAGAAATTGTATTGTAAGTGTTCATTTGTTCAATTAATGAATTAATTTTAATATATTTGATATACTTTATAAAAATAAAATAAATAATTGCTGATTCTAAGAATATGCTAGATATTAATGTTCATCCTCATGGGAAAATAGGTAATTAGTAATAAGTAGTCTTACAATTTAAAAACCCCAAGCTCCTTATCACCGCCTAAAGTGTTCATTGTTCAATTACCAAATTTATCTTTATATATTTTATCAAGCAATACAGTATTTTAAAATAACAAATAATTTCTGATTTCTTAAAAATTAATAAAATAATTGTAACTATCCCTGCTGTTCTAAAACTATCGATGCGACTCGTCTTGTGCTAAATATCGATGGCCAGGCGGTGCCATCGCTGAACCACCCCCACGGCGTTGTCCAACACTAGGCAGAAAACGTTTTCAATTGAGGCGATATTTTTTTGTTGTTTCCTTCGTTTTTTCGGCGAAATTTTGTTTTAAAATTAATTATTTACCCGTCGTTTGCTGGCGCCCACAATGTCCGATGACGACGATATACAGTACATCAAGCGGCAGCGCACGCTGCACTACGGATCGCTCGAGGAATCGGAGCGAAAGCGGCAAAATGCCGCGGCGTCTGAGACAACAACAACCACAACGCCGGCAGCGTCTGGTGGAGGAACAACAACAACAAGCACAGGCGGCCAACTGGAGGACATAGATTCGGATGAGGATTACGAGGAGTCAACGAAAAAGACGGCCAAGCAGGCTGGAGCCCCACCACCCACTGCCGCCACACTGGCCAACAAAATCGACGATGACTACTTCGATTTGGAGACGGAAATGGAGCGGGACAAGGTGGCGCTGCTCGAGGAATTCGAGCGCAAGAAGCGGGCGCGCCAGATAAATGTGTCCACCGACGACACGGAGATCAAGAGCAATCTGCGCCAGCTAAACGAGCCCATTTGCTATTTCGGCGAGGGGCCGGCGGAGCGGCGAAGGCGTCTCAAGGAGTTGCTGGCGGGACTGGGCGAGCATGCGATCAACCGGAAGCAGTTCGAGGAGGAGGAGCGCAAGCAGCAGCAGCGGGAGCAGGATCAGGCCACCTGGTATCACGAGGGACCGGATACTTTGCGGATTGCCCGCCTCTGGCTGGCGGATTACTCGCTGCCGCGCGCCCGGGATCGCTTAATGCGGGCCCGCGATGCCCTCGAGGTGCCCAGTGCCACGCGGGCAGGTCGGATGGTGGAGATGCAGAAGAAGCTGCAGTCGCTGGCTCCGCTCTGCTCCCAGGTGGGCGACACGCGGCCCGTGAGCAGTGCCGCTTTTAGCGAGGATTCCAGTATGCTCCTGACGTCCTCCTGGTCGGGTCTCTGCAAGCTGTGGAGCGTGCCGGACTGCGAGCTCCGGCAGACGCTGCGCGGCCATGCCAGCTATGTGGGCGGCGTGGCCCTGCGGCCGGGCGTCCGGGCGGACGAGGAGAACGTGGTGGCCATGGCCACCGGCGGTCACGACGGCGCCGTCAAGCTGTGGGGCTTCAACAACGAGGAGTCCATCGCGGATATCACCGGCCACATGCCGCATCGCGTCTCCAAGGTGGCCTTCCATCCGTCGGGCCGCTTCCTGGCCACCGCCTGCTACGATTCCAGCTGGCGGCTGTGGGATCTGGAGCAGAAGACGGAGGTGCTGCACCAGGAGGGACACGCCAAGCCGGTGCACTGTTTGAGCTACCATTCGGATGGCAGTGTGCTGGCCACCGGCGGACTGGATGCCTTCGGAAGGGTGTGGGATCTGCGCACCGGGCGGTGCATTATGTTTCTCGAGGGACATCTGGGCGCCGTGTTTGGCGTGGACTTTTCCCCGAATGGTTTCCACATTGCCACCGGGTCCCAGGATAATACCTGTAAGATCTGGGATCTGCGGCGACGCCAGCCCGTCTACACCATTCCCGCCCACACCAACCTCATTTCGGACGTGAAGTACCAACGGGAGTGCGGCAGCTTTCTGGTCACCTGCTCCTACGACTCGACCACCAAGATCTGGTCCAACAAGACGTGGCAGCCGCTGAAGACGCTGCAGGGCCACGACAACAAGGTCATCTCGGTGGACATCGCGCCCAATTCGCAGTATATAGCCACCACTTCGTTCGACCGCACATTCAAGCTGTGGTCGCCGGATAGCTGATTTTCGATACCATTACTTTATTTTGTACACGCAGACAATCTCCGCTTTGCGATCTACTGTTTTTTGTTATTTCAGAGACAATAGCCCAAGACAGTTCTTGCGAACATTTCAAGTTTTCGTTTTGTATAACACAATTTGTTGTTTTTGTTAGGCGAAAGGCAGATGCAGCGATGTTGCATTTCGTAAATTTAAGAATTTTTTATTGAAATTGTTAATAAAAAAAAACACATTTTTGGTAGAAAAGTGCATTTTTAAAGGTTATTTGTGGGATCCCCAGTTTTAGTCAACCCAAAAACACCTCCACTTATTATTTGTATATAGTTTTCCATTTAATTTCTTTTCGTATATTCTTGTTGTATGACAAACTTAGACAATTAATTTGAATTTTAACTAAAATTTAACTACCACAGATAGGTTGCAATTACATACATACATGTAAATGTATATGTCTAATATATTAATTACAGATATACATACATCGCGATATAGCTGTTACATATAGTTACACATAGGGATTTATCAATTTTCTTGCCGTTTGCACAATTTTCAATCATTTTCATTTAATCTTTTTTAAATTACGCTCTTGCATGAAGATTGATAATGTCTAGAATTTCATTTCTTCGTTTCGCGTTGAGATTTACACAGAATTTAATCGTAAGTTATAGGTTTTATGTAGAATATGGAGCGGGGATTTGGAGCGGGATCGGGGGGCTGGACGAGCGCGTTCTAATGTAGATTTTTATGAGGTCTCCCGACGCTCGAAGATGCCACTTAACTAAATACATAACTCTTGCACTAGGCTAACAAACTAGACAAAATGATAACTAATTAACAATTAAGGTAAACGTTTATTGGAAAACTTGCAGCAGGTGCAAGGCTCGTCTCCGTCCCGCTCCCCCTAGACCGTCGTGTCCGGCGCCGGAGTGATGGGCTGCTTGGACTCGGACACCTCTAAGGACCTTCCGTTGGCCGTGGGACCGCCCTCCTGCGGATCCTCCGGCGCGATGTCGATGCGATGCGCCTTGCGCCAAACCACCAGGTCCATCAGGAATGCCAGGAACATAATGCCAGCCGTGATTCCTGGGGATTAAAAAAATATATATATGAGTAAAAGAGTTTAAGATCTTTTATTCTAAAATTTGTATAAACCTATACTTTTCTAAAGAACTTAAACTACATTTTATAAACGATTCAAATATCATGCGATTCAATGTTCTTGAAAATAGATTCGTTTATTTCATAAATTTTTATAATTTTGTAATTTTTTGTTCGATTCTTTTTTATTTATTTCCTGGGGATTAAAAAATTATATATATGAGTAAGAGAGTTTAAGCTATTTTTTTCTAAAATTTGTATGAACCTATACTTTTTTTGAAGAACCTAAACTACATTTTATAAAAGATTCAAACATCATGCCATTCAATGCTCTTGAAAATAGATTCCTTTATTTGATTAATTTTTTCATTTTGTGATTTATTGTTTCGATTCTTTTTTATGCCTGGGGATTATAAAAGTATATGTATAAGTTAAAGGAGTTTAAGCTAATTTTTTTAAAATTTTTATAAACCTATACTTTCTAAAGAACTTAAACTACATTTTATAAAAATTTCAAACATCGTGCGATTCAATGCTCTTGAAAATAGATTCGTTTATTTAATTAATTTTTTTAATTTTGTAATTTAATATTTTTTCGATCCTCTTTAAGTTAAAATAAGGTTTTGAATTGTAAACCCTATTATTAATTTACCATCGGGATGCGAAAACGGATCATAATATTTTAAACTCGTGTGTAAATCTATTGTATACACTTTAAAAAAGGAGCATTTCAGGAATATTTTATTAAACCGCTTGAGCAAGGCCTCTTTAAGATTTTAAAGTTCTTAATCTTAATTTTTCTTAATTTTTTAGCTTTTTCCATAACCTTCAAACTCACCTAGGAAATATTGCCGGAAGGTGTCCGCATCGTAGAGCGAGCAGGCTCCGTGCTTGCCGCACACCGACTTCCAGATGAGACAGGCGGAGTCCACCACTGCGCCGTAGATGATCGGACAAGGAACATTTCCGAACAGGCCGATGGCCGACTGTATCACACCCATGGCCATGGCCTTATCTGCGGGGAATTAGGGTTTCGATTAGTTCACAATCTGTATTTCAAGGCACCAACTCTTACCTTTGGGATGTGTACAACGCATGACGAGCAGCATGCTGCCCACCTCGGAGGTGGAATGCATAAATACGCAAATGGCAAAGATCAGTATAAAGTAGATGAAGTTCTTGCAGTCATTATCACAGTAACCGTTGACCGCCTCCGGAGCTGCAATTTGGTTAGAGGATTATAGTAATTCCAAATCCTAGTAAACAGAATTAACCGATCTCTCACCATCTGGAATGCAAGCACAGTCGGAGTAGAGGGTGCGATTGTCGCTGGGCCGCAGCGAGGAGCTGCTGCATCCCGCGTGGCAGGCCGAGATGTACATCTTGCCATCGGCGCAGATGGGCGCAAAGTTCTCCTTATCACAGGTACAGTTGAGGGCGGCGCTGCACGTGGGCTCGATCAGAGCGGGACTGGGGATTGGAAAAAGTTAGTGATTGAGTATGGTAACTAAGTGTTAGCCATGGGACTTTTTAAACATTTGAAACTATTGTAACCTAATTAGTAATTAATAGACCTCGTATTATATAATATTCTTAACATTCTAATTTATGCAAACTTAGTTAAAATAAAATTATTTTTCGAAAAAATTCAAATTTGTTTCAGTTTATATCTAATTTTGAATTTTTAAAATCAATTATTCTTATATCAAAGATCGGTAGGAAATTCTATGTGAAATAAATGGAATGTTTTTCTAATTCATTTCGAATTGAATAAGTAAATGAATCACTTTTATACATTTTTTGAATTTGTCAGATTTTTTTTGTGCTTTCTTTTGAGAACAAAAAGTAGAACATTTTAACAAATCAAAGTTAACTGCTTAGTAAATAAAATGTTTATATGATGATGGACGTTGATGCACTACGAGCAGTACAAACAAGTGGCCCAACGATACCAAGCACGTGCTTGTTACGCGCGGGACCCTTTATCAATTAGGGCAAAAATGCGAGTTCGCGAGGAAAATACATGAAACAAATAGAGACGGGACATATAAAGATTATAAAGATTATGAACTAAGATTGAAGCAAATGAGATAAAATTTTAGTTTTTAATACAGGGATAGATGTAGAAGTGCAAATTAAATGATAAAGATTGTTATAATTATTACATAGAACACGAAAGGGCTCATGCAGAGTAAAATTTGATGTACATCGAGGCAAATTAAGAGGGTAATAATTTCGTGTTAGTCTAACGGGAACATTAAAAGTTAAACGGTTTACCAGTTCTACAGAATCAATATCACCTCTTATAAGATTATGCATAAAAATAGTACCAAGCATTATTCTACGGTTTTCAAGTGTAGGTAAATTAAGCAATAGTAATCTACTCTGGTAGGAAGGTAGCCTTACGTTTTGATCCCAGTTCAAACTACGAAGGGCAAAAAGGAGAAATTTTTTTTGCACCGACTCAATACGGTCGATGTGCACTTGATATTGTGGACTCCAAACTGAAGAACAATATTCCAAAATAGGACGGACAAGGGAGGTAAATAATAATCTGGTTGTATAAGGGTCATCAAATTCTTTTGACCAACGCTTTATAAACCCAAAAACACTCATAGCTTTGTTGACAGTCAGCATTATGTGGCAGTCAAATTTAAGCTTCGGGTCCAGAAGAACGCCTAAATCATTTACTGAATATATACGGTCAAGTGGCAAGTTCTGAAGCAAATAACTTATAAATGTAGGAGTACCCCTATGAAAGGTCATTACGTTACATTTCAGGCAGTTCAAATTTAAGAGGTTATACTCACACCATACTTGAAAATTATCAATGTCTGATTGTAAGCCAAAACCAGACTCTATATTATTGTATGTCAAACAAAGCTTAACATCATCAGCATACATTAGTACGCGAGAATTTGTTATGATAGAGGGAAGATCGTTAATAAACAAAGTAAACAGCAAAGGGCCTAGATGACTACCCTGGGGCACTCCAGATGTCACGCGGATCATTTTAGAAGCAGCGTTCTTAAATATAACCCTCTGAGTCCTACCATTCAAATAACTTGAAATCCAAGTTAAAAGATTACATGGAAACCCAAGCAAGTCTAGTTTGAATAAAAGAAGAGAGTGGTTAACGGAGTCAAAGGCTTTACTGAAATCTGTATATATAACGTCGGTCTGCATTTTATTGTTAAATCCATTAATTACAATAGATGACAATTCAAGTAGGTTGGTGGTAGTCGATCTTCGCTTAACAAAACCGTGCTGACACGGTGATATTAGCGAGGAACATAAATGTTGCAAATGAGAGGTGATAATACGTTCAAAGGCTTTTGGAATTGCCGACAATTTAGAAATACCTCTATAATTCTGGGCATCCATCTTCGCACCCTTTTTGTGGAGTGGAATAATGAAAGAGTCCTTCCAGATAGTTGGAAAAACTGATGATGAAATAGACAAATGAAAAAGTTTAAGAATCGGTTTACAAATGGTTGAGGCACAAAACTTAAGCACACACCCGGGGAGTCCATCTGGACCGGGAGAATACGTTGGTGTTGTTGATGCTAAATCCTTTGAGAGAGAACTTTCGGTAATTACAGGGGTAAAAATACAATTTGCCCTATTTAAGGGGTTAGGGTAGATAGAATTTGACCAAACAGCCGAACTATAAGTAGTTTGGAAAAATTCAGCAAATAAATCCGCAATTTCAGAATCCGACGATGCTGTTTTTGAGTTTAAACGTACCGATGAAGGCAATGCCGAAGACTTACGCTTGGCATTAACAAAGGTATAAAACTGCTTCGGATCATTTGAAAATTCGAATTTACATTTATTTAAATACATAGAATAGCAATGACTGTTGAGAACATTAAAATCTGAACGAGCCACCACATATTTCGAAAAATCAGATGGCTTACCCGATTTTTTATACTTTTTATAAGTGTTGGACTTAAGATTTTTAAGTCTTTGAAGCGCATTGTTAAACCAAGGAGGCCTGTTTAGCTTTGGAGGAAACCTGTCAGGAACGCATTCGTCAAGAAAAGTGTTTAAAACGCTATAGAAAAGTTCAATTGCACTTTCAATATCCGTGCAATTGTACAAATCAGTCCAATTATATTGCGAAATCATGTAATTTAGTTTATTAAAGTCACATTTTCGAAAGCATCTCGTTTTAGTTTGAGGAACTAAAGGAGAAAGGGTATCAGTACAGGGGAGGCCAATTGTCAATTCCAATGTTGGATGATATTGGTCTTCAGGTACAACAAGTGCGTCAATTCTAGATACCGTAACTTCATGCGGATCTAAAACAAATACTAGATCTAATTGTCTATTTAAAGAATTTCGTATAAAGCTTACTTGCTGTAACGATAATTCCAAAAGGCCATCCACAAAATCATGGGCAGATAAAGGTGCAGCTACAGGTGAGTCAGTGGGAAGAGACCAAGAGATATTAGGGAGATTAAAGTCACCCAAAACAATCAAAAGGTCTCTGTTGGAAAGAAAGGATAGAACAGATTTTATAGCAGACAGATGGTGCTCATAAATTATTAAATCAGAGCCAGGAGGAATATAAGAGCAGGTTACAAAAATAGATGAGGATTGAATGGAAACTTTGACACTAACAAATTCTATATCGTTAGGGATATGAATGTTAAGTCTCTCCGATATTAAACTAGAGGTAACGGCAATCAGTACACCACCCCCCCTACGCTGATTTAATCACAAATATGGACCATTCTTATTCAAAAGAAATTGCTGTTTGTTTGAATTATTTCGGAATTCATGCCATTCATTCATTCAATTCTATTAAACTCAAAATTCAAATTCATTCAATTCTATTAAACTCAAAATTCTAATTAATTCATTCATATAAAACAAAAAATTCAAAATAATTAATTGAATTTATTCATGCAGGGCTCTAGTAGGAATTGAATCTTTAGAATAAGTTTTTGTATGTAATCCGACGTCTACTTATTACTATTATTATTTTGAACTAATTTCTTCAATGCCAGGACTCACCTGTTGCCATCGCTGGGCTTGTAGCCGGCAAAGTCGTTCATGCTGCAGCCGATGAACATCAGGATGATCATGCCCGCTGAGTAAACCAGGGCCGTGAAGGCGATCCACGCGGCCACGCCCTTGGCAGTGGGCTTCCGCTTCAAGATGAACAGGCCCGAGATGACGATGCCGATGCCCATGACCAGGATGCCGCAGAAGGCGGCTATCATATTGGCATCGTAGGTGGCCAGCCGGAACTGTGTCTCCAGATACTTGGGCAGGAAAGTATAGAGGCCGGCGATGGGCAGCAGGTGGAACACACAGGAGGCGGTGCGGAACATCAGGATGTCGTTGCTCAGCTGACGGCGCACGGTCTTTGGAAAGTCTGTAGAATATACAATTTAAGAATTAATCTCAGAAAAACAAAAATAATATATGTAACTATGTTTTTGATAATTTTAATAATTTTAGGACTAATAATTTAATTTCCAAAAGGATTAAGCAGAAAAACGTTATTTTGTATAGCCTATATGATACTGGAATGACCCCCCCAATAATATTAAAAACGTAACGCACTTTTTTAAAGATTTTCACAATTATTTGAAAAGCACAACATTATAATAATATTATTCCTTCGAATTTCTACTCCATACCAGCAAAGCTAATGTAAAACTTATAATAATGATGGTGAATTGTTTAATTTTAGTTAATCGAATGTTAAATGTAACTATTTTTAATTATTTGTATTCCTCTTTATTAATTTGGTATTAGATTTTAGGTTTTGTAAAATACGCTAAGACTTATTTCTGTGAAGTGACCGAAGTAATAATTTATAAGACCTAGCCTTGTCGATATTCAAAACAAATTAATTAAAATTTATTGAAATTTTAGAACAATATTTTCTTGCTAATAGTAGTGGTGGTTTAACAAAATTAAGTCAATATAATATTAAACGAGGAGTTATTAATCTGATGAAAAGTATGAGGAAAATGTGCATTTTGAAGAGAGTAAAGATACTTTAGATGCGAGTATTATTCACTCCATAAATCTGATCTGATTTATATCCCTTATAAAAATCTCGTTCTGCAAACTCACCTTTCAGCTTGGGCTTCTCCTCGGGCTCAGCCGGAGCGGCTGGAGTGGCCGCCTGGGCCTGGGACTGCTGCTTGCCCCGCAGCTGCTTTGGGAACGAGAACATGGCGATGGAGGCCAGCAGCATGAGGCTGCCGATGGCCACCGGTCCCAGCCACCAGGCGCCGATCCATCGCGGATCGGTGGCATCGAAGCCGGGATTCGAGAAGTTAACGTACCAGCGAGTGCAGAAGCTGCCGAAGATGAAACCCGAAGCGGGTCCCAGGATCCTCATGCCAATGGTGACGGCCATGTACATGGGCGACTGCTTGCTGCCCACATTGTCATCTATGTAAGGGATGCCCAGGGTGGCCACGGCGGTCTGGCCAATGCCCGAGCTCAGCAGGCTGCCGAAGAAGATGCACAGCACGATGACGGTGATCTTGGAGTGGGAGGCCTGCTCCAGCTGGCGCTCCTCGTTGCACTCGCTGCCTGACTGGGTTTGATTGCCCCCCAAGATGCACAGATTGGGATTCAGCTGCTCCACACGGCTGCTGGAATTTAGCCAGAGGGAGGACGACTCGATCTGCGGCTGCTGGAGGATCACGCTGGAGTGCATCAGCTGCTCGCCGAAGATGAAGTGCGGCAGGGCGCAGGAAAAGGCGGCGATGGAGAAGAGGACCATGCCGCAGGCTATCCACCGGGGCCGATGACCCCGCCCGGCAAAGTAGGTCAGCAGCATGGCCGTGCATATCTGACCCATCTCGCTGGCACTCAGCAGGATGCCCGTGGTCTTGGACTTGATCTGGAAGAGCTTCTCGATGGTGGTGATGACGGACACAAAGTAGGTCATGTACATGCCCTGCAGGATGTAGGCCAGCAGGAAGACCACCATGAAGACATGCGTGGAGGCGAATCTCCTGGCCCACCTCGGTCGGCAGCCGAAGAGGCCGCAGCTGGACTCCGCGGCGGCGGAGGAGGATGAGCTGCCATTGAGGTCGGAATCGAAGTCGGACTCCTCGGACTCACTGGACCGGGGCGGCAGCTTGTAGCCGCCGGTGAGCGGAGCCTGTTCGTGGGCGTACTTTTCGCTGAGACTGTGCCCGTTGCCGGTGCCATTGTTGTTGCTGCTCAGCAGACTGCCCAGGCCGTTCTTCAGCTGGCCAGTGGGTCCCAGATCGGGCGACTTCCACTCGTTGTTGTTGCTCGGGCTGCTCTCGTACAGCACGGTGCTCGGCGGCAGGGAGGCGGTAGTCACCTCCCCGTTGCTGGGCAGCAGGGGTGTGAACGCCTGGCTGGAGTCCCGACGACCGCCATTCTGGTGATAGCCATTCCCATTCAACTGCCCGTGTCCATTGCTGGGCTTTCCGCCCAGAGATTGCACCTGGGTGGCCGCCTCCACGTCGCCGTTGCTCTTCGTCATCTTGGCTTTGCGCGGCTTTCCAAAACTTAAAGGGGTATTGGGTGTCTATCTGCAAGGGCTCTTGATCTCAACTGTGTAATCTCAACGGTACGATTTAGTGGCTTCCTCTATGTGGTCCTGGTTATTGCCTGTTCCATTTTCCTAATGGGAAACTGGGGGTTCGCATTTATTTCGATTTACGTCTGAGGTAGATTGGTTGATCTGGTTGCTGATAACAGTTCTATATTCTTTGTTGCAATATGGCAGTGATGTGTCTGAAAATATAAAAGAAAGAAAGTCAAAAAATGTTAGCAATAGGAAAAATAATATTCTGAGGGGAAATATCCATAAATATTAATTCAATTATTATAAAATAAATATATTGTTGTGTTATTCATATTCAAGTTTTCTAAACTTGGTTTTATATTCTCATGGATTTTTATTTAAAAAGTTAAAAATGTATTTTTCTTTGATGAAAGTCGTAATATTGTTGAAACCCAGAATATTACGTTATATAACAGATATCAAAGTATATCAAACCATGTTTCATAAGTCATAATATTTATCAAAATACGATTATTTTATTATTTATATATTTTATTCTATATTTATAAATTTTATAGAAAATTAAATATTTTAATTACTAAATTATACTTTCTCTCTCTTATTTAAAAATCATTTTAATTTATTACAGATCACATTTGATAAATAAAATGACAAAGCTAAAATTTATAACTCCATTTAAGTTAATTTGCAAACTATTTTTAATGTTTTTTATAATAATATATATATATTTTTTTTAAATTACACTTCACTCTCCAATTTTAATGGAACTATATCGCTGAAATCCCAATGAAGACTGGGGAAAAAATCGGAAAACCACTGAGCACACACACCTTATCAGCAGGAAACACATACACATGCACTTAAAACGCAGTCGTGTGAACAGCATGCGACAAAATATTAGCAAAAGCTGCAAATTTTTTAGATTGCACCATATTTTTTCGGCAAATTGATAAGAACACCTAAAAAGTTCAAGGTTAAGCTGATATGATATTTTAATCGCACGAGGAGCTGATTTATTATTATTCTTCTAAGCCAATTAAGGTCTCTTGGCAATATTTATTACAAATTTAACTAAAGATATTGTACCTACTTATGAAAAAACTTAAACTTTTCGGTTTATATATGCAAAAAAGTATATGCATTAGGGTGGGTCGATTTGGGACCCCAAAAATCGTATAGGGGGAACGTAATCTTTAAAGGATTCTAAGCCATATTGTCGAACATACTTATGGTCTAAAATGATGTTTGACCCCCCCCAAACGCGAATGAAAAATACTGTTTTTTTGAGAAAAATATCATAGTAGTCAGCTCATATGTATTACTAAATTTGAAAAAAAAATTGGAAATTGATATTCAGTAATATATCTGTGCTGACTACTATGATATTTTTCTCAAAAAAACAGTATTTTTCAATCGCGTTTGGGGGGGGTCAAACGTCATTTTAGACCATAAGTATGTTCGCCAATATGGCTTAGAATCCTTTAAAGATTACGTTCCCCCTATACGATTCATCACTTTTTTCGGCCCCATACAAATCGACCCGCCCTAATATGCATATAGGCAAAACAAATATTAAAACAGTTTGTCCAAATTCCGCTCTACTCGTATCTCATTTTCGGTTTTTATTTTTTTTTTTTGCAAAACAATTTCAATGTCAAATGTTCGCAAATTTCATTCTAAACATTTGTTGTTTTTGCTTTCGACTCAGCCATTTGCGTTTGTGTTGGCTTATAAAAAGCAATGACCGAATTTAATTTCACTTTCTGTTCGTACAGCCGCTCTGGTTCCATTGCAATCACACTGGACTGGCTGCACTCGCAAATCTTATCATTGTGCCCGACCTCGCTGATAAGGAAAGTGAAATTTCTGCTCGGTGGTAAAGGGAGCTTGGGATTGCCAACCCACACTCCTAAATGCCCAAAAATATAATCATACAAATTAGGTTATTTAATACATTAATTGTATTTCCTACTAATGTAACATTGCTCATTGCGCAGGAAATGTAGAAGTACTTTACTTTTTCCTTCATTTTCTTCTTGGTCCCCCAGGCATCATAAACTTTGGCCTTGAAATGGTTGTTATTGCTGCTTTTGGCTTATTTCTTTTTTCTGTTTTCATTCGATTTTATTTATTGCGCATTTTGCGATTTTGATTTCTGTTTGAAATACTTGGCTGTTGTTCCATCGGAATGCGTGTGAGTCGAGGAACATTTATTTATGCATAATTAGAGATGAATGGAAGTAGCACGTGCTCAATTAGCATTTCTGATTTTGTTTTTTTTACCAGGGAACGAAAATAACTGTTATTGTAAATTTTTCATACAAAAAAATCACGCACTTAGAAGGGTCCTAAAAATTTTTTAAATACACCACAATTTTTATTAGCCATTGTAGTTTACAAATCCGTAATGATTTTTATTTTTTGATTTTTATAATAAAACTCAAAAAATAACTGTTATTTTTTGATTTTTATGAATAACAGTTATTCTATAACAGTTATCCTTGACATTTTTGAAAAAATGAAATAATTAAAAAAACATGATACCCGTGCTTTTTATAACTTACTAAAAATTTGTTAAAAAAGGCAACCGCGCATATTTTATACCTATATTTTTTTAAAATTTTGTTTACCCACAAAATCGCCATAAATCAAGTTTGAGTTTTATTTTTGATCACGACGAATAACTGTTATTTGTCAACTTTTATTATAAAACTCAAAAAATAACAGTTATTCTTTGAGTTTTACTTTACAAATCAGAAAATAACTGTTAAAGTGTGATTTTTAAAATAAAACTTATAACAGTTACGTTCCCTGTTTTTTACAGATGTGCAGCACTAATATGAGGTTACAAAATCGGAACAAAACAGAAAAGTAAAATGAAAAAGTGGATAGCAAAATTCCGTTCAAAATATAATTTAAAACAAAGTAGGTTAAATCAAAAAAATGCCCAAAAATAATTGAGAAATTATAAGATTAAAAGCAATAACATTAATATTAAACTTATTTTGAATTAAGTAGGAATATTTTCCATTTTTAAAATAGCCAATTATCTTAGCGTTGTCAAAATATCCACATATAAGGTCAAGGTTAGTTGTTTTCTATTAATCAATCAATCATCATTATAGAAAAATGGGAAAAAATGTGTTAAAACTCATATTCAATTAATGTTGAACAGATTTATCACAATTTAGGAGTTTTTGTTTTTCACTGGTTTTGTTAAAAGAAGTTGCTAAACGATTTAAGATGGGTTTTGATCTGCCATTAGTGACATCACATCTCCACGAGTAAATTTCCAACATTAAATAGAAAATAGAACAGCTCGAGATAAGCTGTATCTTTATTTCCTCGTCTTATCTGCTTCACACTTTCCCACAGTGGTCTCTGTACTTCGTGGAGAATCTAACTGGTGACGTAGATGGGCCAACAAAGCCAGTACTTTAGTACTCCAGTACTCGGTTGCCACTTATCGCAGCCATCGCTGCGTAATCCCAACCGCTCCTTGTTCCCCTGGCTATGCAGAAAAAAAAGAAGAGTCTTGGCTTTGGAGCTATTCCGATGCACTTGCTGGGCCCTGGCCTGAACCTGAACTCCTGCAGACTGCAGTTACCTGTTTGGTTAGGGTTTTGACTTCGGCTTTGGTTTTGGCTTCGAGCTGCGGGCAGGGCTCATTGAACCCGGCTGGGAGCAACTGACCAGGTTGCGAACTATCGGCAGATGCTTATGTAAGACCCCGACGACCATCTATTGCCTTTAATTTGGCCTGATGGATGGTTAATTGTTCAATTTGCTGCAAGTGTTCGAATGACAGCCAAAGATTGCCGATTTATCAGTGTCAATCATAATAAATGCAATTAAACCACCCGTTTACGAAACTATCCATGAGTATAGGCCCATCCCGCTCTATTCGAGCGGGGCATACTGGTTAGGAAAGATCGATATGTAGATTGCGGCAGAGGTTTCCATTTCAATTGGGCCCGCAACTATCATCATAAATACAATGTGAGAAACTCAACTCTTGAGTTTACACCACAGCGCAAAGTGCAGATTTTAATTACTATTAAGAGTGTAATTCTCGCACTATCAAGTTTGTTTCAAAAAATGTTAACCGAAAAATTAAACATTCCATTATAAGAAAGGTTTTTATTTAAAATTTGGATACTTATATGATCATGGTTATTATAACAATCGTGTTTTTTTCTAATTTTCCAATTTAACAATTTTGTCATTATATTTGCTTTTCACGATTTGTTATTATTTTTTATTAATACAAGATCATTGTGAATATTAGAAAATATGGAATTATAAATTCTAATTTATTGGATTCCATTGAAGAAGGTTTTTCTTTTAAAACCGAGGCATTAATAAGCCTACATTAGGTACCTTAATATTATTTTTATGGAATATCAACGCAATAAGATTCAATCCTTTGCTGTCCAGTGTAACAAGAATGGTACAGCTAGCGAGGAAAAGGGGGAGTTGCACTTTTTCTCTGCTCATAACGTGTGGATTTTCCGGTTTTCCTGGCCACTTGCAACACGTCTTCCCTCTTCCGTCTTTGGTCTTCGGTTTTCCTACTACGTAACTGAGTTATGTGTGTACATGTACGTGTGCCTGTGGCAGTGTATCGGTGGGCATTTGAATTGCGCAAGCGCAACTATTGCAAATTGCATACCAAGCAGCTCAGTGGCTGATGTTGCTGCTGTTGCTGTTGCTGCTGCTGCATGCCAACATGCAACAAAACCAGACACGCGGGCAACGTGCTGACTAGACGCTGACAGCAGCAGCAGCAACATCGCCGCACAGCAGCAACATGGCAACAAACAAGTGCCAAAGCCAAAGCCAAAGAAGAAAGCCCCAACAATGGCTAGAAGCGGCATTGAAAGTAAATTGCACACCCGACCAGCAACAGCAACAGATGCCAGTTGCAAGTCCAAGTTGAAGTCGAACCTGCAGTTGAGGCCCGCTGGAAAATGGCTTGGAAAAGTGGTTTTTCCACATTTCACTTTTAGCATAGAAACGATTTAGAACCCGTGCTATCGGGCGGAATCTCTTATAACCAACAAATCGCGGAGTGGAAATGCTCATTAATCGCAGGGAATTCGCTTTATGTTTACATTTCTACAATGTTGGAAACCGAAGACACTTATTTGTTTATTCTTATTTCCCCCAGACATTGAGTCATTTTGCTGGGCCTAATTTGCTAAGTTCTCCAATTCGCTGACCAATCAGATATATCCGTTTATTGTTGTGCTCTGACTTTGACCTTCACATTGAGAACTTAAAATTGAACCAGAAGCTCGAATTGTGTAAACAAACTGTTCGACAGACAAAAGCAATAACAAAAAGTTCACAACGTGGCTGTGACAAACGATTATATTATAATACTTGTACATACTTATTTACGAAGCGTTTTTATAAATTTTCAACCTAATTCGCGATCGAAATTATTTAATTTTTTTTGGGCAGCAACAGGCGTGACTCAATTTTGTAGGTATTTGTTTTATTTGTTACTTTTTAAGCCTATTATAAAATGTTAATTTAATTTTTATTCGCCACGCATCAAATAAAAATGTCATAAAACTTTTTAAGCGGCAAATCTGGGCTTATAAAAATTATATTTCAACGCGATCAAGATACCATAAAAAATCCCACATGTATGCGGATATTTAAGCATGTGCTTTTCGGTGCTTAAAACTGGAACAACCATGTAAAACGTCTGAATTTGGTACACATAAATACAATATGAGGTACATGATTCATGGCAAGACAAAGGGTGTGGCTTCCTCACCGAAAAACAATGACAAAAAATACTTAAAATATTTTAAGCAACTGGAAATTGAAGAGTCTTACTAAGGTGATTCAGTAATGCTCTTGCTAAAATAATAATAATAATTTAATTTTAAATTAAGATAAATTCCGTTTTTCATACAATACTTTTGAGAATTGCTCATGTGAGTGGAATTATTCGATTGCAATTGAGTTGGTATATATTTTTTTGGGCTTCAGTTGCTTTTCCTTATGCGCGCATTAATTTGGCGAGAAACAAAACTTCCTTTTTGACGGCGCTTGTTAAAAGTCTGAGAAAGGTAAAAAACACGAAACAAAAAAATGAAGAAAAATTAACAAGCTCAAAATGGCAGCCAAGTGTGCATAAATTTTTAAAATGCCCACAAGAGTCCAAGCCGAAACAAATTCAAAATAAACAAAAAATCGGAAAAAACTTAATGAAATGCAATCAAAAAAAAGCATTCGAAGAGGACTGCATTAAGTGCGAGTTGGGCCTGGAGTCCAGTGTTACCTGGTAGCCGCTCTCAATCCTCCAATTCCTCCGAATATCTCGCCAGAAGATCAGTACATGGCGCTGACGTGACGTTCTCGACGCAGCCGAAAAAAAGACATTTATTTCCCTTCTGGATATACCTATATAGGTACGCACATATGTAGTTACTGAATAAATGCGAGTGGATTGCTTTTTGCTTTGGCAGAGAACATCTTACATTTGTCATTTCGCGTAAACCGTGGGACAATATTATTTTAAAGTGAAATTATTTTATTTTTTAAATGTTATTCTATTTAAAATAAATTTTTAAACGAAAATAATTGTTTATAGGTTTACTTATTGGTCCAAAGCTATTTGAATTTTTTAAAAAAAATTTGTAATACTATCAGAGCTTTGAATTAAAGAAAATAATATTATTTTCGGGTAGCACATTTAATCGAATTTTGATTAAAAAATATTTTACCCACTGTACTGACAGGGCGGAGAAAAGAAAGCTTGTTTCAAAAGCACAAAAAATTCTTAATTTAAAACAGAACAGAACCCTCTGTCTGATTGATTGACCCGCTGATTTAAGCGGCTTTCGGTAACCAGGACTGCAACTGGTGGACCTTTGGGTGAGGTGTTAACTGGTCTTAAACGCTCCGCCGGTCGAGTAGTACCGTTATGGGACTAATTGAACTTTTATAAATTGTTAACTGTCATTGGCCGACTCTCCTCCTCTTCGAGACCGGCTAATTTAGCATAATTTATTGTAGGTTCTGCATTGATTTTTTCAATTAGCGACCAATTATGCGGCAGAGCTGCGTCATGCGCAGAAATTTTGGCTCATTTGCATAATATCAAGCAGATGAATAGCCAGTCAATGGTCTTCTCGAGTGTTTTGGCTCTCGGAGTTAGTTCACTCGAAGTGTCAAGTGGCTTCCCGAGAAGAGAAAACGGGCTGGCGTAGATATGTATATAGAACCATAGTCATTCGCATAGATACAAATACCAATTCATTACTCATGAGTATTTGTTTATGAATGTACTTAGCAGGTTTTTTGCCTCTCAAAGCTCCCCAAAAAATCATTTCAATTGTTTAACGAACAAAAAATCCCTGCATAATTTTCACCGAGTGCGTGTTTGTAATTTTTTATTTATTCAACTTTTTGGCGCTTGTAAATTTCCACTTTAGTTTTTTTTCGTGTTTTTTCTTAACTCTTTTTTGGCGCCTGACTTTTTATGGCGTTCCATTTTAAATTAGTTGTTTACTTATAAAGAAGTTTGAATGGCGGGTTCTTTTATTGTCAACTTACATTTCTGTTAGGCTTGAGTTTCTGTAGTCGGTAACTGAAAGAATAAAGAAGGTAAAAAATCTATTAGATTTATTATTAAGCAATGCTGCAAATTTCTATTTATGTAGGTCTATAAGTATAACATTATTTGTACATATCTTTAAAGGATCAACCAATACCATTAATCATTATGATAATTATAATACCATAAACTGTTATTTAATGATGTATTTTTATTTAAACTGTTTTATACTATATATTTTTAATTTTTTGTTACAAAGTAAAACTGTTTTTGCACTTTACTTGTTGAACGTTGTGGCTGTCAAGTAGTTCTACAATTTTATGCCCATAAAATTGCCATCATAAAATTGTACCCATATACAATCAGCCGTAATTAAAAGTACTTGAATAAATGAGCACGGCGTTTAGTTGGGTCATAACAATTACAGCCAGACCGATTAACAACAATTTTGAGTGTCTGCAATGCGTGTGAAAAAAATGCAGCGAACATTATTGTTTATTAACATGAGCGAAACAGGGAGATACAAGAAAACCCATTAAATGGGGGCAAAGTGTACAATAAATGTAAAATGCAAATCTTGTCTGCGGCAAAAATAGTTGCTGACGCCTTGGCAAAAAAAAAAACAAGAAAAATTGCATAAAAATAAAAGATAAATGAGCACAACGGCCTGTTGGGGAGTGTGAGTGTGTGTGTAAGTGCAGCGGGCAAGCAAAATTGCATTGAGATAGGTCAGTCACACACTCGCACATACGCACATGAAACCGAGTGCAGCGGACTCTCTTCTGCAATCAAAGCTCCGCTATGTGTGTGTGTGCAATAACTGCTCTAATTACGCTACCTAGGGGTGGTATTTAATTTTTTACCACAATTGTAGTCCCCTCATCAAACTGCAAGAACCTCGAATTGCAGGCCATAAAAAAGAAAACAAGTTTCTTGCATCCATGTAAAACTTACACAATCACAGTGCCGCTCTCTCGATTCACTTTTCTTTGTGCAATTTCAATAATTTGGCGAGAGACCAGAGAACTGGCTGCATTAAGCTCTTCGGAAAAGAGAGGAAGTGCATCGCACAGAGAAAGAGATGCGAAAATCTCTTTGATTACTTGCACTTTCTGCTGCACTTTTTCACAGAAATAGTAGTAGATTTAAGAAATAACCTATTATGATAGGAAATATTCAAGTCGGCTTTTATTATAAGATCTAAAGTTTTAAAAGCATTAATATTTATTTTTCTGCTAAAAAACAAATAATGATTAAAGTTTAAAAAAATAAAAAAAAAATGTTTACAATTTTGTATTTCTAATTTAGAACTGCAAACTTTAAAAATATTTATTCAAAAGACTACAAAAAACAAAACAAGTAAAGCAGCTTTTGTCGTTAGAAAACTAACACAGATATGCGCAAATTTCTCTCTCATCCGCTGCTTTCGGTTACATCCCCTGTTTTCCTCATTTTCCCGACCTAGGACAACATGAATACAAATGTCTGAGGCGGGGAAAGCCAGCCAAATAAAAATACCACCCCAAAGAGCTTTATTTTTTCGGCAAAACCCAGAAAAGCTCTGCAGCAAAAATAAAGGGCAGGAGTTTAGGTCCAAGGAATACAGACAATAAAAAACTTATTGCGCAGTAGACGAAAAAAATGCGGCTTCCTTCGTCTAGACAGGCAATTAAAGGAATGGGAAAACCTCAGAGATAGAAAACCTGAAGATCTTGCAATGGGAGCGGCCTCTTTCGTTTTATGGTGACATAATTAGTGAAAGCGAATTGGAAGACAATCGCACTTTTAGAGCACTAGGGCCTCGGAGGCGAAACGAAAACGAAATTCAAATTCGAAATGAAAACGAAATTATTGCAAAATCTAGACACGCACACAGGCAGCCGACTAACGGTGGCTCTCTCGCTCTTCCTCTCCGGTTTTCCCAGTGTGCGAGTGTGTTTGCGAAAAGTGCATTGACTCGTTCGTTCATCGGTATGGGTGTCTGCTGGTCGCTGTGTGTGTGTGTGTGAATGGCATGTGGCCAAGATTGCAATGGCCAATTCCAAATTGTATCTCGTCTGATGCCGTCCGCAACTCCCCTGGTTTTATGGCCAAAGGAAAATATCATAAAGTGGGGTATTTAGCAAGCTGTTGGGGGTGTGCATTTGTTGGCCTGCAGGGCGTTTATTTCCTTTCTAAGTTGGGTGTGTCTTAGAAGTGATTCACGGGTCCAGAAATAGCGTAGTCCAAAGGAAAATATATTCACAAAAATTCTAAAAGGCAAGAAAATTATAAATTTCAAATCAATTCAACTGAAATATCAAATACAATTACTGAAGCTAATTTTTAACTTTTTCTTAAAATCGATAGATAACATATAGTGTGATCATTTAATTTAAAAATCAAGAGCCTTACTGTTAATATTTATTTTTATTTTCTACAAATAAAGTTACATGTTTTTTCAATTGATTTATGAGAAAGCTATAAATGTTGCACACGAATTATAGGAATTTTTATTGCAAAAATGTGTTTAAAGGCATTGAAAGGTTATTATCGAGCTTTACCACCTTGTCACACATGGCGTATTAGTTATTTGTGTAACCCCATCGCGTATACGCCCATTGGCACAAAGTATACAATCATAATAGATGTGTATAATCAGAAGCACTGCACTTTACTGCCCTTTCCAACATTGTCGCATCCGTTTCATTGTATCAAATGTGCGAAAATCGCAAAAGTGACGAGAATAAGAAAGTGGATGGGTGCAAAACTAGTTTAGTAGGAATCTGAGAGCAATCGCATTGTGCTGGCGGAGTTACGTGGCGCTTAATTGAATAAGTGCCCTGGCTAGCTGGGATTGGATCGAGACGAATGTGTGCTAAATTGATTGAGCTGCAACGAGTGCCATAAATTAACGGACAAACATGGAACAAGTCTGCAGCGGGTTGCATATCGTATAATTTCCACAAAAAAATCACAAAAAAAAGACACAGGCCAAAACGGAGACAGAAAGCGAAAACTGGGTCAACCTGATGCAGAGCGGCCTACGCAGCTCCATTCAGCCACATTCACATCCACCTCGTTGTCTATCCGGCCGCAGACGTTACAAATATGTAACTCAAAAAGATATGCAGCTGTAGATGCATGCCAAAAAAATGAAATAAAATAAATAAAGGCAGAGGCAAATGGAAAAAAGTGTAACCCACGTTTCGCTTCATTTGCTCGCACTGGAAAAGTAAAAACGGCAGCTACACGACGCCAAATTTATGTCTGCTGGATTTCACCCACGCAGTTGCCAATAAAAAGCAGCAGCAAAATCAGCAGCAGGAAAATCCAATGCACAGCCAGCCGATTACATTTCAAACTTCTATATTAAATTATGCACTTTATATTTTCATAATATGATTTATGTTATTATGCAAATATAGCCCCAACAAGTCGATAAGAAACCAGCGAAAATCATCTCAATCGAAGGTGATCACAAAAATACCAATTCAATGTTATCCATTCAATTCTTTTAAATGCAATAATTTAATTACAAAACACCTATCCACCATACGCCGTGTCCACTGTACTGCTGAGGGAGATGGAGAGATTTGTGCTGCCCACAAAATCGTGATTCCGCCAGTTGCCGCCGCCGCCTGCCACAACGTTCACTTTCAAAATCAGTGAAATGTGACCAAAAAAAAGTGAATTGATGTTGCATTGTGTTCAGCTGTCTGTTTGTTAGCTATTCGCATTATTCACTTGGCTTACAAATAGAGGTTAATTTATTGTGACTTGATTGAGTCGAGCATGCGCCTAAAATATGCCAGAGAAACTGACTGTACGAAAGGTGAGTCGATGAATTTATGCAATTATTTTGGGCTTTTTTTGGGATGCTACTTAAGGCAAGGAATATAAAATAGTATTACAAAAAGTCTTGGATTTTAGAGTCCTAAAAAATATTTTTGTACAGATTTACAGATTGGTCTTAAAATAGAGCTTGAACGATATCGATATTTTCGATATTTTCACAATATCGATGTCTTGAACGGAAACACATTAAATATCGACAAATAGCAAACATTCGATACTTTTTAAACTATATTTTGAACATAATTTAATGCTTTTATATTAAAGGGTATTTAAATACTTGTTAAAAAAATACTTTTGATATCAGGAATTTGAATTATTTCCAGTAAGTCTGGAATCTTTGTCCATGATATGTTATATTTATAGTTTGCTTGCTGTAAGTATGCGTGTTTAATGTAAAGTTATCGCGATCCTACCACAATGCGTTTTGCTTGTCTCAATGTCAAGTTTTCCACGCTATTCGAATCAATTACACTGGTCCAGAACTCCACTCACACACTGGCACGAGTTGAAGATGCAGATAATGATACCGATACTGATGCATATTCATGCTGGCGATGGAGATAAACATCGGAGCGAAGAAACCAGATGAAAACCGCGCGTTGCATCCGACAACGACCTTCGGCGCCGATCTGACATTGAACACTGGCCATAAATGGAGGCATGAACGTATGTACAACGTACATTTTACATTGTACGGGTACCTCGTCGCCTTTTGTTGCTGTTCATGCTGTTGACATAATTTATCCAGAGCATGCACCGAAAAAATCATCGATCTCGAAAGATATATTAGTTTAAGATCACTTTTTCCTCATTTAAACTTGTTCATTAAGTATAATGGATATGTTATGTTTTTACCAACAACCTAAATCACTAAACCATTTATAAATCTAAACTATTTACTTTCCTATCTATCAGAAATTTTCTTTTATTATAATGAAATTAAATAAAAACATTTAAAATTCCTACTTTAACTATTTATCTTTTTATGGTTTTCTACACAGAGAAAAAAAAAGACCAAAAATAGTGTTCCATCAGGTATTTTTTATATAAATTTCGATCCGTTCTGTGCTCATATCAAAATTATATTTCCTAACATTGGATTGTGTACCATATTGATATGAAAGAATATCAATTCCATATTGTTCCGTTTTTTTCTTCGTGTATATTTTCCTAATTCCGATCACTTGTTTTTTCCGGTGCATGCAAAGTGTGTGCTTTGTTTGGCGCTTTTCGACTTTAGCCAATTAACCGAATGGTGCCGAATTCAGTTGGCGATGGAAATGGAAATGGAGATGTCGGTGACGCGCGCACATTCCAATCCGCAGATACGAAACGATCCAATCCGATCCGCGTTTCAGTCGGCACTTCATGTTGCAACAACTGCAGTTGCTGCTGCAGTTGCTGTTGCTGCTGCAGTCGCTGCTGCACTTGACTTACTTGCCTGGCGGTGTTGCATCTGGTAACTGCCATCGCCATCGCCATCTGCGCAATGCATTTCACTTTCATTATGATGCAGTCAGTTTTTGCCACTAAAAATGGCAACGGGGCAATGCCAATGTGTGGTTTTTCCAAGCCAAAATGAAAACCAGTCGAGAGACTGCCACTGCGACTCTCTGTCCCGCTCGCACTGATTGGCAACAGCAACAGCAACAGCTGACAGCTGCAGTCACCTGGAAATTCACCTGGAAACTCACCTGGACTCAACTCACCTGGCCTGCCTACCTGTGTAGGCGTCGCTTTTCGTCGTTTTGGTTTTCAGTTTTCAGTTTTCGGTCTTCGGTTTTCTGTGTGTCTCTTTTGTTTCTGCCTCGCATGGGTTTCGTTTCGTTACTTGTTTTTACTTTCTTCTAATAGATCGTTAGCTGTGCCATGAACTTGCAATTGATTGCTTATTGTTAAATGAAAATGGAAAGTCATTTTCCAGGCAATGCATTTTCTTTTTCGTGGCTTTTCATTAACGACGCCTTTGTTGCAGCGGCTTTCCCGAAAAATGTGCAAGGGGGTCAAGCATTTAGCGTATTCTTGACTTGCGTCGCCCGTTTTTATTGATTTGCCAGCTGAGCAAACGGAAAGCGAAAGTAATTACCCTTAGTCATGACCTCATGTATATATATAAAATATATGTACATTGTGCGCACCCAAATACCGGGAGATATAGATGTAGTACGGGTTCCCATAAGAATTCCCCAAGAAACCGAGCGATAAATGCAGCAACCCCCAATTGCATTAACAGACCCTCGACTGTGTGTGTGTGCGTGTGATTGTGTTGCAGTGTGCGTAATTCGCCGCCCCTTCCTGCCACGCCCCCTCTGCCCCTCGGCACACACGCAACAGAATCAATTTTTATTGGTTACACAACGACGACGCCAGCAGCGAAGGAAAAGTCCATTGACCCCGGCGACGACTCATGACTTTTAGTACTTCTCGGCATACACTTCATAAGGAGCATGCCGAATTCACCCGGTCAACTTGCAGAGGAATTTTAATAATTAAAAATGTAAATTAATTTAATAATTTAGAGATAATAAAAATCCATTTAATTCCAGAAGAATTAAGAGATAGGTATGTGATGAGTTAGATTTGCCACCTCTTTAAAGACTATTTCTTAAAAAAAAAAGTTTTAAATCCATTTTACAATGTATTGTAAACTTTACTATGCCTATCTTTCCGATAAAAAATTTAAAGTATATTAAAAATAAAAAAAGAGGTTTACGTAAAGTAAAGTAATGTCTAAAAACCATTATTTTTTCGCTATTTCTTTAATGGGCTTTGAACTTTGCGATGTAGGTTGTGTAGGTTGTAAGCCTTCTTTTCCTGATAACTAAACTTCATAAATAAGCACTTACAACTTCTGAATTCTCTTAGAGTGTGTAAACGTTCAACTTCATAGATTGCCTTTGGTTTCTTAATATTTCCCCCATTCTTGCTCCCTCTTGTTGTGTCTTTTCAGTTGAGTTACTTTTGAGTAAATAGCCAATGCATCGGCTACTGTTTGTTTTGGTCAGGCGCACAGATCTTTGGGTTACGGTGGGATCTCGATCTCCGGAGGAGGAGGATCCCTTGCTAATGGGAAAACAACAAGAGCCGCGGTGAGAGAAGTGCGCTTTGGTAAACACATTTATTTATTCACGTGAATCATTTTGTGACCAATTTAATACTTGTATTCCCGCTCAGAAACGCCAGGTGCCCCGAATGCCGCCGCCGTAGTCGTTGCGATTGAAGTCGAAATTCCGGCTGGCCTGGGCGTAGGCGTCGATGCTGCCACGCCCATCGCGACTGGAGTAGAGGTTGTGGTTGTACTGCAGGCTGGCCTCCCGACCCACTTGGTCGTCCTTGCTGGCGGTTAGGATCAGGGAACCGCCCTCCGGCGATCGAGCACGGCGCACCAAGGGAATATCCTCGAGAAGATTCTGGGGATCGGTCTGGAACTCCTCAGGATATGGCTGAGGATAGGAGGCCACCAGAGCCACCAGACAGCAGGCGACGAGGATCACGATTCCGCACTTATTGGAGGACATCTTTGGTGGTTAATTGCTTGAGTCAAACTTATGGAGAACTAGAAGTGGTTTGCGCTTTTATAGGAGCGGAAGACATCCCAATGGGATTCACCTATGCAGGGGATTTATTCTCGGCTTTACATTGTTCTTTATCAGCTTGGAACGGTGGTTTTGTTCAAAAGGTTCATCCCAGTCTTGACCCCTTATCAGCTCCGTATGACAATAACAGGGGGCTTTTAATCGCAGATGATATAGAAATCTCTATAAAATCGAGACAATCTGGGTCTCGTAGCTGGGAGATGTGAAAATCTAACCACTTTGTAATATATATAATATTGAACTTAATAAAAATTTTCTTATGTATTTTATTTAGTTTGAAAAATGGTCTTGAAAAATGGTCTTAACTCTTTTTAAGACATGAATATATATAAATAAATATTGTAATACTAAATAACAGAGTGAGAGAGAGTTAATAACTTTTAATAACATTATTAGTTTACACTCGTTAATACTTTAATCTGCCCATCTAGCTTCTATAGGTTCTATTAGATAGATAAAGTATCTCAATATATGCTAATTCCCAGCTGATTAGGAGTGATACCACCGCATTTCTAATCGGCCCGAAAGAGGGGCGTGCTCTGCCATAACTTTTCTTTTCTAAACGCATTCAAATCGGCCTACGCAACAGACTTTTTGAGATAACGCCGCACGCACCGTCGCGCCCGAAAGCTTTCAATAAAAAAAAACACAAGAAATCAGACGAAAAAACCGAAATATCATAAAAGAGAATTTAGTTCAAATGGGTTCGTTGACACAGAAACGAAGAAATCAAAATTTAGTTTTCCTGTGCGTGCGATCCACGCACGATTCATTATAGACCCAGTGGATCGTACGCTTTTCGTTTTAGTTATCAACGCGGCGTCACTGATTAGTAACCGAAGCCCGAGTACCGACATCGGGGAATATATGAACATATATGAATGCCTAATCGCAGTCGAATCCGAATCCGAAACCGAAACCCTTGCAAACCTCGCCATGAACTTGAATTTGGATGGCTGTGAAAGTACTATGTATGTGGCTGGGTACTTTGAAATTCTGCCGAGTGCTGCGGCACTCTCTCGATTCTTTTCGGCGACGAGAACTGATTTCTAATCACATTTTCGAGTGCGGTAATTAGATGTGCGTACCGCTGGCGAGCGCTCTCAATGCGAAAGTCTTTCTTTTGGCCCATAGATCATTTGCGGGTGAAAGTTTTTGCATGGGTACGCCTTGCTTCTCCGGCTTCGTGTTTTTTTGTTTTTTTTTTCATTTACTTTACTGGACTGTGGCCTTATCTATTGAATATCAAGTTGTGCATTTACATCTTTTGTCACCTGTGGCTATTTATCTCAAAAACTTACTCCAGGCCCACGGGGCGTATACACAATGTGAAGTAGAAACCGAAATTGGGGGGAAAAGACAGAAGAAGCACAGAAAGAGATACAAAAGTTTAGAGACACGTGTCGATATCTCAGATATCTTGCCGAGTCATAATTGTAAATTTTTATAGATCTCCCCGAGAATTCGGCGGCCTCTCGGCTAGAAAAACAATTAAGCCGAAAAATATCAAAATTCATTGAATGAAAGTCTATATGGTGTATATATATCGGTGTGTTCGCCTTTCGGACAGCCATTTGTCTAGGCCCGAAAAGACAGACGGCATAAAATGCGTGGCGTACGCACGCTTTCAAAATAAATTATATATGCGGCGATGATACGATTTTATATAGACAAATGCGTTTATACATATGCATATAGATGTACGTACATATATTGTATATCCGCCGGTCTCTGTATGTGTCGGTGTTTCGCTTGTTGTTTTAAAAAGATTTATTTGCCAAAAAATATGACGACGAGAAGAGCCGTAAAATACTGTGTGCTGAAATCGCAAATGGGCAACTTTTTGCGGCTGCCCCTTTTTGTGTGGTTTTGCTCTTCAACATTGTCAACAAAGGAAGGAGGGAAATGCAGATTAAGATGAATAAGAGGAAAGACAAGGGCGGAAATATCAGTTGGCTGTGGCGAACTTTAAAGTCCCTTTTCGGATGTTAAGGCCTTAGATATTTCAAACTCACAATATTAAAAAAATATTCCATAAATCAATAAAACAAAATTCTTCAATGTTATAAATTGTTAATAACATTTCAGTCTTATTAATGTTGTTTATTTGATTTAGCCAATAAACATTTCCTTCAAGTTATTATTATGTTAGATATAAATATAATGCAGCCATTTAAAATTCAAATTTATTAGATTAGTTTATAAATAGATTTTATGTCTGCGACGTTTTGATGATTTTATAGTTAAAAATAGTTGCTTTGTTTTTTAAATATTTAAAATTAAAACTACACATTTGTAAAAATAATTCATGTCGGCTGAGTATATTAAAAGTTTGTTTGTGATTTCCAAGCCGGTTTTTTAATGACCTTTGGACTCCTCTGATGAATGATTTTATATACTTTTAGAAATAAGTAACTTTCGCTTACTCATTTAAAAATAATAATATTGCTTTTTAATGTTCAAACACAATTTTGTGATTTAAGCACACATAATCTGGTTTTATTATACCCGTTACTCGTAGAGTAAATGGGTATACTAGATTCGTGCAAAAGTATGTAACAGGTAGAAGGAAGCGTTTCCGACCCTATAAACTATATATATTCTTGATCAGGATCACTAGCCGAGTCGATCTAGCCATGTCCGTCTGTCCGTCTGTCCGTCTGTCTGTCCGTCTGTCCGTCTGTCTGTCTGTATGAACGCTGAGATCTCGGAAACTATAAAAGCTAGAAGATTGACATTTTGCATGCAGATTCTAGGAGTTCCTACGCAGCGCAAGTTTGTTTCAAAAGGGTGCCACGCCCCCTCTTACGCCCACAATCGCTAATATACGATTTTAAAAATTTCAATATTTCGGAAAAGTAAAAATGCAGTTTTATAGTGTTTATCAATACCTATCGAAATGTAGAAGAAATTTTTTAAATCGGACCATTCGTTAAAAAGTTACGGCGGATCAAAGTTTATATCTTCATATCCTTCGGACTTCCTTTAGCTGAGTAACGGGTATCTGATAGTCGGGGCACCCGACTATAGCGTTCTCTCTTGTTTTTGGCTTTAAATTATCCTCCTTGGTATTAAAACATTTTATATTTCTTTTATGATACATTTAGGAACTTTGATTAAACATCTATAAATGTTTTAACTGCGAAAAATCGAAAATAATTCGGCAGACATTAATATCAATTTAATGAAATCTAAAAGCGAAAGACCCCACAAAGAGGAGAGTCTGTGGCCACAAGAGCCGGGGGACTTATACTTCGGAGAATGGCGAATCGAGAGTGAAGAGATGTTGTTGCTTGGTTGCTTGTGGTGTTTTTATTATTATTGTTGTTTGTGTTATGCGTTGCGTTTAAGTCAAGTTCAAGGACTGTCAATTAAATTGAAATCACTTGCTAAAGACGCGTCGCAGCGGGCAGAGCAGCAAAACAAGCTCCCAGATGAGTAGACCCCGGATTTCGAGAAGGGGGGTATGGGGATCCATCTGGAGACCCGCTTCTTGTGTATCTATGTGGCTCGGCTTTTTGCTCGATTTTGCACGCAGCCCGTTTACATTATTATTGTTGCTGCCGCTGCTGCGGATGCTGCGTAGTTACAGTGCGGTAATTGTCGCTGATGATCATGATTCGTCTTCCTCTTGGCCGCTTCCATGGGCTGCCATCTTCTAGGCTGGTCTTCAATGGCTCTTTTGTATGTCATCTCTCAGTCTTCTCAGGCTTCGCGGCAAGTCAAGTGCGACTTCTGGTTCGTTAATCGTTCTCAAACTGTTGCCATCCAGTCCAGTCCAGTCCCCCACATACAAATACATCTCGAGTGGGGCTTTTGTCTGTCCAAAAGAGAGGGCGTGTCGCTGGAGAATGTGGGAACTCATCTCATATATTCATGATTGGCATGGGGAATTGGGGCTTTTCGAGTGGTCTAGGGAGTGTCAAGCAAATGATTTTAAAGACAAGTTCAACATTTCAAAATATATGCCCCATGCTCTAGATTAAGTGTTTCCTTATTTGCCAAACTAATTTTAAATATCTGATGACTTGTAGATTTGAACTTTCCATCATAGATATAAATATTTCATTCATTGAAGCTTTATTTCAAAATTTTATATTTATTTATATTTATAAAAAAGAGCACAATATTTTAATTTAAATAGTCATATTTATTAACTCATAAATTAGAATAATTGAAATCATTAAGTCAAATATATTTATAGAGCAAATAAAACTTATGTTAATAACTTTTCCTAATTCTGGGAAATATTTATTCTTTATTTCACCACTTCTTTGGTAGCTGGCTGCGTTGGCTAAATGTTTCTTTACATCTCAAAGTTCATGGTTTGTTTTTTGGAAATATCCATAATGTAAAACCCACATCTGGCGACTGGAATCGGACTACTAAGGTGGTAAGCACGACCCCAACCCAGCCCAACGACAATGCACGGCCAGGGGCAATTCCTAACTGTGTTTTTAGGCCAACTTTCGGTTTCTCGAAATGCGAATCGAGGTTTTCATATCAAATGTGGTCACAGCCAGCGGCCTGAGACGCTTAAAATAAATGCATAATTAATGACGATTTGGCTGTACGTATTTGTTTCTCCAGTTGATTAACATAATGCCAAATACAAACAACACCATATAAAATTATCAGCTTGGACTTGTGAATAAGACTTATTTGTGTACAACTTTACACGTGTTCTAGCGAACGAATAATGGAATATCGAGCCAGTAAAAATCGATACGAAGTGACTAAACTTCTTTCCTTTGTGTCCGCGATGAGTAAATGTATTTTTGTGACCAAGAAATGTACTTTAAACGTCAGGCAGATAAAACAAATGCCAATCCATCAGATATGTTTAATGTACATATATATACGAAAGAGTTCAGAGGAAACGGAAATGCTAGGGGCGGGCAAGCGATGATATAGGGGTGTACGTACGATCTATGTGGAAGTGCCCGTCAATATTTGGCCAATAAAAGGCATTTTCACTTCGTTTCGTTAATCAATACACAAAAGGTTTTTTTGTTTTTGTCTTTTTCCACATTTGCTGATTTTTTTGTTTTTTTTTTTTTAGAATATTTTGTATGCCAAGAATTTAAATTAGTAGTAAATCTGGTTTTCTGATTTCGGGTTCGTTCTCTCGGTTGCCCCTACTTTTTCTTCTGCTCCGGCTGTCGCTTCTCTCAGTTCTACCCGATTCTTGTTTTTGTCCGCCGCTTCTCATCCGATTTCTTCATTTTTCTGCGACGTTATTACAGGTGAATTTTGTAGTTTTTTTTCCCCCTGTTGCCGTGCTTTATTTTTCTGGACCTAGGACGCTTGGCAAAAAAAGAGCGGAATCAGAAAACAAATTAAATGAGTTTGGCTGAAATCGAAATGCTTTGGGCCATTGATCATTTATTGGTCGGCGGAGGCGATGAAGTGAAAAGAAACAGTGGAAAAATATGGGAATGGCGAGGCAGACAAAGTCAACACCGAATCTTTGGTTATGAGAAACGCCATATAAGGTAGGAATATATTTCAGATTTTCTGATTGCATTCATTTTTTTTTTATTTTATTTTTAAAATGATTTCGTTTTAAAGTTTTGAACGTAATAATAGGTGGATTTAAAAATTTAAAAGATATTATTTGAAGCTGGAAAAAGTAATACAAATAATAAAATATATAAAAATTCATTTTTAAATTTTATGTAACTTTTAAATTTGTTTCAGAATGTAGGTTTATTGAAAAGAATTTTAATTCGTAAAACAATTCTTCCTCTGTCACTTTCTGATGGGGCTCCCGCTGTTTGTTAACATCGTTTTAAGTGTTTAATTTTAAATTCCGAAAATAAATTATTCTGTACAGTAAATGTGTACCCATTCAATGGGATCAACCAAATATATATAAATGGATAATACAAATCGGTGATAACGAACCCGATGTGGGTCAGGCGGAAAAGAGTATTTCTTTCAGGTTTCTGGCCAGAACAAACACTCTTATGATTGAGGTACAAAAGTGAAACTCGGTGATTCTGAGCCGATCGTTGCGGTATAAACATTTACATTTGATTAAACAGCGTTTATTGACTGTTTTCGTTTTTGCTTTTGTTCGATTTTAATGCATTTCGATGATTTTCGGCTTTCGTTTTGCGAGGACAAAAAAGAATGCAGGAAAAAACCCAGGTCGAACCAACCCAACCCAAACTCCGGTATCTGTATCTGCATCTGTGCATCTTTATCTGTGCGTATTTATTTTGGTTTTACGGCATGTAATTACCCAGGGAAAGAGGAGCCAGAAAATACAGAGAATACAGAGTGTGTTTCGTATTCTCCGGTTGGCTTTTTTTTTCTCCTCGCGTCTTATCATTATTCCCCAGTGTGTATTGTGCGCTTTCTGATTGCTCTGCCCCCTTTTAACCTTCGTATTTAAGAAATTTCTTAACCCATTACGATTTCACTCAATACGGCGTATGATTTTTGTAGGCCGTCCAACAAAAAATTACATGTTTCACTTTCTCTGGCGCCTGAATAGTCCTCCCAACTCAGAAAAAATAACAAGAACGGCGTTGAAGAACGGAAAGATAAATGCTTAGACATCGTCTGGCCCTCTCTATGGTATTTCGAAATATCTTTTCGGGGTTTCTGTTTTTGTTTTTCCCCACATCAATCAGAGAATGTTTCTCTCTTTTCATTTCTTTTGTGGCAGCATTGAAAAGGGAAATTTCTTTAGCCCAATTAAATGAAAAGAAACAAAATCAGGTTATTCCATGGATTTTGTGTTAATTTCGGAGAGTGCATGTTTGTTTGGCATTGATCGCTTTCTTTGAAATTGTATTTCACCACAAAACCTAATTGCAATATTCACAAAAAAGAATAAATAAACAAACCTTTTTTTTAAACAATCAAATCTTTTTATGGAAATTGAAATACAAAGGTTAAAACATTCTTAAAATCAATAAATATTTTTAAAATTTTCACTTAATTATATTTATTTTCTTTTTGGTGAATTCTCTCCGAAAATTGAGTTTTTTCATACGTTCATAAAATATATTTATTAAAGCTGTACTTACTCTTATCGCTTGTGATTCGGTTTCTGGTTCTGTTGATTTTTTTCATTCAGAATTTGCTACGCAATTTACGCGTCTAATTTGTTGCTGCCTCCGTTCACCGCACTGTTTTTTCTTTTTGATTTTTCACACACAGAATTTTTTTATTTAATTGCACACATAATGGACAAAATTAAATGCTATATTTGTATGTTTGTGCGTTGAAAACACGCATACAGCCAATTGAAAATTGTATTTGCGGCTGGGTTTCAGTAAAACAATTTATCGAGCACTCACTGAAAATGAATTTTGGCACTTTAATACGCAATCACGATGTTTTGTGATTTTATAATAATTTTATATTTTTATGAAAAGTTTTTAATTTTAAACTGGGCTATACGAGTTTGCAAATAAAAAGGAGCAGGCTCAAAAGTCAGAGTATTAAAACAAGGTTTTTATATTTTTATAACTTTTAAACTTTTTTAAATATGTTTCGTTAGATATTTCTCTTGTTGTGGAACTGCAACTGTCTTTTTCAGAAATACCTCGTTGAAATTAAAAAAATGTTTTCCTCTGATCACCATAAAAATATATGAGATATTTTCTCAAATCGTATTTTAAACTGGGTTCTTGGGCACAGGTATCTTTCAGTTAGTTTTCCATTCAAGCGTGTGTGGGAATTGGAGGTATGGTATTGGAAACCGAAAACGAAACCGATTCGGAACGGAACCGAAAAAGACGAGCGACGCGTGCACTTACAGCGACGTCTGAGCGGCAAAAACTCGAGAATAAGCAAAGTGCGGCTCAATTTATACGGCGAGACGAAAAAACGCAGACAAGAAGATACAGATACAGATACGCGCTCTCTTAGTGTTGGTGTATCTCGAAGATACTTCTAACTGCCGCTCTCTTTGGCTCTCTTCGCTGTGGGGGTGGTCTTTCTAAGAGAGAAACCGCTCTACCGCTATCACCCGCTCTCTCTGTGTGTTTTGGTTATAAAAGTGTAGTAGATTTTTGGCATTTATCTGTTGTTATTTTGTATTTGCATACGCTCAATATGCACGACCCACATTGTTGTTGTTGCTGTTACTGCTCGCAGGGTATAGAAATAATACGTATACACATGTGTATTTATTTAAGCTGGCATATACGCACCGCACTCGGAATCGAGTCGAGAGTCCCATATAAATAAAAACACAAAATGTACATATTATCTCTCTCTCTCTTTCGCTCTGTCGCCTGGCCCCCCACTCACACTGGCAGTCACACACACTCTCACGCACCCGCACACATACAGTTGCACCGCCTCAGTTCCGCTGCCCGTCGGCACAGTCCGCACACGGTAACAATTCGAATACGAATACGCAAAACGGCAAAACGAACTGAAAACAGCCAAAACTTTTTGCCTCTGCCTCAGTCGCAGTCGCAGTCGACCGCAGCAGCGCAGCTGTTTGGGGCTGTTGGGGCTCTGTTAGGCCCCAAAGCTGTTAGGGCTCTGTTAGCGCAAATGCTCTCGCTGTTATCAGTGGCGTGGGCTCTTCTATCAAAGGGGGTGGCTTAGGCGGACAGGCGACCCCGCTGGATGAAAAAACGTTCAGGATATATGTATTTTGAGGTGCTCAACTCTAAAAAGAAGTCGTTCTTTGTAGTTCTAATGGAATTTCAAGAGGTTTGGCTAAATATAAAAAAATTTATAATGGTGTTTTAACGGTATAGAATAAAACGTAAATTCATTTCTTTACATTTACAGAGCTGAATGATGTTAGTTAATACACCATTAAATCCTTTCACACCCCTCATAAAAGCCACTGAATAGATTGTTAGAATGTTCAGCAGTAGAGCAGAAAAGAAAACATGAGTGGGCGATGATTGATTTGATTCGATTGATTGATTTTTCTTTGGCTTTCCCTCCTTAACCTCAGAGGTAACCCTTTAATCGTAACAATCGCTTGGTAAACAAAAAGCGACTGATGATTTTAATATTCTTATAATTTTCTTTAAAGTTTAATTTTCTTTAGTGTATCCTTAGGGAAACAGTATAGCTTCTGTTTCCCTAAGGATACACTAAAGAAAATTAAACTTTAAAGAAAATTATAAGAATATTAAAATCATCAGTCGCTTTTTGTTTACCAAGCGATTGTTACGATTAAAGGGTTACCTCTGAGGTTGTGCATAATCCAAGTTACAAAGCAAGCTAGATTATAAAAAACAATTTGGTTTGCATTTGAAGATTGGTTTACTAATGGAATTCGGGTTGCGAAATTCCTCGAGTAACTTTCTGGTCGTCTATTAATATTCATATGTGCACAGTACATATCAATTGCATATTGGGCGCAAGGTCGTCTGGCAGTCGGGCAGATAGGCAAACTGTCAGATACTCGCACTCATGCAATAATCAAGCAAATTGAGTGCAACACAGCCGCAGGCAAACCCGTATCTATTGGATATTCTTTTGGCGAACTCCAATCGATAGCGCCTCGATTCGCAACTAGACGGTTGTTAATTACGTGACATGTTAGACGAGAAAACAAGTTAAACTCGCTCGTTCGATTTGTGTAATTAATTAATGCAGACATCAGACGAGCGAGAGCTCAAAAACAAAACAAATTCACCTCGAAATGTGCATTGAACTCTTGCCGAACGACGCAATGTTGTTTTCCCTTTTTCGTAGCTCGCTTTTTGTAACCAATTCTAGTTGCAATCCGCTGCTGATAACCCACAGATGAACCCATGGGTGTGGGTGGGGGTGCTACGCCTCTGCCTCTGCCTCTGCATGGGGTGAGGGGTGAGGAGGGCGGAGGGAGGAAGTGAGCCGAGCAGCTGATGCAGACGTGTGTGTTGATGTTTCAGCCTGTAAACAAACGGCAAGCAAATAATGACAAAGTCGGAGACGAAATTCCAAAAATGTTCGTTATTGTTTGTCGTATTGACTGGGCTTATCGCTAACCGTTGTCAGATCGAATAAACATTCACATCTATATGTGGTGCATACAATGTGGTGTAGTACATGCAGTAGAGCTTCCCTATAAAGAACTTGCATTGTAAGGCAAAAAATTTCATAGATTTTTAACGAAAATTGTTCTGTGCCATATGCATTTATACTCAATTAAAGGTTTTTATTTCATTTTTTTAAAATACACTCTTTTTTTATTAAAAAAAACTGTTGACTTTAAAAATTCAACAAAATTATTCTCTTTTATAAAAACAATTAGGGAACTTTTCTTAAATAAACTATTTACCAGACAATGTTTTATATGATCTTTAGAATTTTTTGTACAGCTATCTTAATTTTGTTTTTAAAAATATACCCTCCAATTTGTTGCCCACTGGAAAAGGGTGTTTGGACACTCCAACTAGAAAAGACCTCTTCTAATCTTGACTTGGGGCAGGAAGCACGCCGATGGATTGCAAAAGCTTGAAGAGAACAGAACCGATCTTAAGGCAGGGCTGGCCTCCAATGTGTGTCATTTGAGATAAGGAACTTCGGGGGTGGGAAAACTATTGTATAAGATCTGAACGGAATCCGTCGATTCGCCGTGATTGTGAATACAGTTTGCATTCCTTTTGAGAGTGTTTTCTCCTCCCACTCCACTTTGCCCACTCCACCAAATGTGCCTGCCATGACTAATTAAGTAACCAAAAAATAAGAAAAGAAGGCAAAAAAGCTGCACAAATTCTCAGCATTAAAACGTGCCGACAACTTTGTAAAGGCTGCCAAAAATGCACATTTTTATTTATATTCTCATATTTGTACGATACGATGTTGGGACATGCTTTGGGAAGTTGAAATCGACTTGGATGGGTAGCTTAGTTTTCACATGGACTTCATAATGTTTAAATTTTTTTTTTTTTAAATTTGGTAATAGCTTAGCATCGTGTTGCAGATGCTAAAAACCTCCTTTAAAAACCTTACAAATTTAATAGCACATATGTAAATAAGTGTTATTGGTTCAATTAGGACATTAAATAAATTTGAAACTTTATGGTTTTAAAAACGTTATGAAATAATTAAATAGATTTGTTCTAATTTCTGGAAAACAACAACCAAAACCTCGAGAGATCTCTAACTTTTGAAAGTCGAATAGTATTCGATGATTTGAGAAGTTCGGACATCAATTGGTTCTTCAAAGCACTATTGTGAGTTCTGAATTATACACCACGATGAAATCGGATATTCCAACCCCTGATAAGTGTATTTCCGAGTGTGTTATCATGAGTAAAAATTCGTAGCCCTTCCGAGTGTAAGCTGCCATATGCATTTTCGATTCCTGGACTTCTCTGCCCGTGTGAATCATGAGCATTAAGCATAAAACCGACATTTAGCTGATTGATCTTAATAAGAATTTGTGCGGCAGGGCGGAGCATTCGGGCGGAGTATTGCTAACGGATCGCTGGGACGGGTCAATAACATTGTACGTATACCCATGCCTCCTCCTGACTCCCGGCTTACCTCCAAGTCCCCTCATATGAGTCCGAATCCGAGTCCCTGGGTTTGAGGGCGTTGCTGGGCTGCGCCTGCGCAACATAACAAACTTTGTGTTTGTTTCCCGTACTCATTGCTGGTGAGCAGTTTTTAATAACTCAGAGTCAGAATCAAATTTCGGCGAAGGCGAAGGAGCCGGAGTTCCCTTGTCGGAAATCGGGGTTTGCTTTTGGTAAGTTATGGTTCTTAAGGTTCTTTTTATGCGATTTTTTTTCGTTTGCATCCCCTGAGTATCTTATGATATCTGGCCTTATCGTTGCTATATCGGCGATTTGCACTTAGCCTGGCGCAGAACGGATGTCTGTGCTCGATTGTTAATTGAAATTTGTCGCCAAAAAAACCCCAGAATTTGCAAAACAAATTTCCGACCGAAGTGTCTGGCCTGTTGCATATTTCATATGTTTTGATTCTTGTCTAAAGCTATAGCTTTATGCTGATTTCTCTGCAGATTTATGCGCAAGTGGTTAATCGAGAGGGGTGGTGAGATGACGGTCAGAAAAACTGTGCCAAAAATCCGGTAGAATCCTTTGTTTGTAAATAATATTCAAATGCAAAAGGTTTGTAGAATTCTAGATGCAACATTTCAAATATACTTACTTACTACTAAGAAATTATAAAATATCTTACAAATATTATTAAGAAAATCTTAAGCAAACAAAAAAATAAAACATATGAAGGTCTTTTAATTTAAATTTTCTAATTTATAGGGAATGCGTTATATTTAGCTGGGAATCTTTAATTTTACAGATTCACAGACAAACAAAAACACCGTAAATCAATTCACTTTTATTTGACTTTCCAGCTGCATTTGATTTTTGCTCCCAGGGTGACCAAATTGCGCAATATCTCCTTCGCTTTTTCGCCGTCTAGCGAGCAAATTAAATCAAGCTGCAAAATCGAGAAAAGAAATAAACAAAACCCGATTTTTATGTCTGCAATTCAAATTAAGTGCAATTAAACTGAAATTGATAGAACAATTCAAACGAATCCAGCAAGTTCTGTCTGCTCTTCTTTTTTTTTTGGCACTTGACAGCATCTCTTCCTTTCGATTGCCTTCTCATCGCATCGTCCTTTAAATATCTCAAGTTTCGTCTAGCTGAAGTCTACTCCTTTGAGTGGCTTATGAGAGAGTGAGACGGGAAAAAGCCCTTTGGGCTTCTGTGTTATATTTGGGACTCGCCTGTCTGCTCCCTGTCTGCTTCTTGTGGTCCCTTTGTCCTTTTTTGTTAGATGTTAGTCAAGTTCTGACCTTTTTTTATGTTGTTTGGGTTAGTCTGCCGAAATTCTGGGTCTTTGTTTTGATTTCGCATTTTGATATCATTTTTCGGCATGTGCAAAGGGGTCGGGGATTGACGAGGTTTTACCCTCTAAGCCCGTATTTTTTACAATAAGCCGAATTTATGGAGCTGGCAATGAGTAACTGGCATTTTTAAATAAAAAATGTTATATTTTGTTTATTTATGCAAATAAAATAATACACCTTCTAAAAAAAAATAATGAAAAAAATATAAGGCACGCCCTGCATTAAAATAATAGTTTTCTATAATATAACATCCACATTTTTAACATTTTATTTATATTTTACTCTTTATTTTGTAATAGGTTCCACTCAGTAACTTTTAAGATATTAAATAGTCTTCAGAGCTTAATATAATTTAACTAAACTCGGATATTGATCTTACCAAAAATATAGCTTAAATTCGCAATTATTTCATAACCTTCTTTATAATTGAAAGTATTACACTGTAGTTTAGTTTACTGTGTTATCATTAACCAATTGATAGCAAATAACACTCAAGTCATTTTCTTATCTTTACATTTTACTGCTAATTCTATTAATCAATCTCAGCCATCAAATTCTACTTACTTTTTTATTATTCTCAAGCATTTTTTTTTTATTTTTTTCCAGATGTTTTCGAGGAAGACCGCCTTCATCTTTAATATGTATGTAATTATATAATTTACTATAGTGGTAGCTCTGAATTATTCTTCTAAACTCATACTTAAAGTTATACTCATTACCTAAAGTACTTGACAAAAGTTTACTTAAAGAATCCATTGAATCCTAACGTAAAGCTTTTGTTGGCAAAGTGTTTTTCCTTAAACTTTTCACTTTGTTCGTTTAAATCGTGACATTATCACAACTAAGTATATTTGTATTTTACGTCTGGAGCTTTTCGCGCATCTCTGGAAAAAATTCGCTTGGAACTTAAAGAATCATTCGTCTCTGACCCTCTTCCTCTCTAGCTCTCAATCTGTTGGATGCCGAAAAAAGTAGCCAGACGTCTGTCTACATGTGTTGGTGGGCCTGTCGAATCTGCTGTCTGGACTTTTATTGTACAGCTGACCTTGAATTTATGGAAATTGCATAAGTGGGAACAACTTTGTCATATTAAGAAATATACGGGCACAAAAAAGACATAGAAAAGCTGCGGCACGAGATGGTGACATGAATGACCAGACCTTGGCATTGTGTTGAAGGACTCCGAATCAAACAAATCGAGGAAGTAGCTTGAATTATGGGATACGGGGGTATTTTGAATTTATGATCATTCAGGATATTAATATTTTTTATGGAGGCAACCATCCATCTTCCACACCTCGAAAACCATCCAAAATCCGCTTCCTGGGCACACATATGAGTATACTCCTCACAAAGCGCTGCCAAATGAATTACAACTTGCGAAAACGATGCACAGGCAGTGGGCAAGAAAACAAATAATGATCAACCGCACATAATGCATGCATATCCATGGGCCATATCGATAACCCTTATCAAGTGTGCGGCATCGCGGAGCCAAAAATACAAATTATGCTTTACAAAAAAACAAACAGCAAATCGTTGAAGAACTTACCGATATTGCAATACTCTATCTTTTAAATATCAGATTGGAATTTTGGGGTACACTTGGAATACCATTTTATTAATTTATAGAACTTTATACATTTACCAATATATTGAAAACTTAAAGGTTTGCAAAGTTTTTACTTTTTAGTAATCTAAGAAATATTTTCGGAAAATTAAGAGGGTATAAAAAATGCAATCTCTTTTCTATAAAAATACATATATGCGGTTTTAGTCTCAGTTTGTGTGCTTTTATTATTCGCTTCCAGCCTCCATGAAGTAGTGGGCGTGGCAGTTTCAAGTCCGGTACAACCCATACAACTGCGAAAACTCTCACATACGTTTGCAAAAATTTAGCCCACCTTGAACCTGAGTTTATCAAATTGTAGTCATTTGATTTTTTAAGTAATTTTTAATAACTGAAATTAGTTGGGTAGTAACCGTTGAAAGAAAAGGTAAAAGTTTTTAATTTTTTCACTTTCAAGCAAATTTTTAAGCACTCTGAAAAATTGCTATGGTTTTGGAAATCGATACGAACTTTTTATTTAAACACTTGTCGAGTAAAAATGATTTATTTTGTTCTTAAACTGTTTTTATATAAATTAGGTATAATACATTTTGGTTCTACAACCTAAGGGCTGGAAAGTATAACCTCCATTTGTAATATCTTAATATTTTCTTCTTGAAACAACGTTTGCCTTCACTTAACCGACAAAATTTAGAGTAATTGGAATAAAATTAGGAATCGCTACGTCATCCAAGAGTTACAAAATTATCGTTTTAGAATGACCAAGGGTGTGACGATATCAAACGATGGGATGTCAAGGATGCAGAATGAAAGGCAATATTTACGAGTTGCGGATAAGAGACAAAAATCTTACTCAAAAGCATCTAGAAAACCATTGCAATCATTACAAACCACCAGTCGCAATCTGAGCTCGACCAGTTTGAAGAACAGGGGATTTCCGACGACTCAGAAGGACTTGGGTACACGGGATTATAAGGCGGAGAAGTATCACACCGATCGCCAGACCTTGGCCGATATAATCCTGATGCAGGCTAGGCGCATCGAGAAGCAGCAGCGGGAGATGCAACGAATGAAAGTCCACTATGAGCGCCAGGTGTCCACCATTAAGAACAATGCCATTATGCTGGAGACCCATCTGCAAAAGCTGCTGGCCAGTGTCCGTCGGGAACGGGCCCAGAAGATCAGCCATCACTTTGAGGACATGTCCAGTGCCGTGGAGAAGTTGCAGAAGTGCAACTCTCAATTCAAGCTACATTCCGTCTCCAATAATACGCTGATTAAGTTTCTTAACTCCAAAGTCATTTCACACCCGTCCAGAAAACCCAATGAAAAAACGAGTGCCTACAGGAATAGGTTGTGAAGTGTATTCTTGTGTGTACATCGGTACTTTCATTAGATTTTCTGGTCAGTTTCGATTTTTTAGGCATTACTACCAATAAAGTATCTATTTATAATGTAGTCTTTGCCCAAATACTTCTCTTAAGTTTAACTGTCTAACTTTATGAATCGGAATATATGATTTAAGTTTATTTTTTAGTTTATTAAACTAGCTTATTCAAATTCAAATGAAAATGGGTATATTTTACTATGTTTTTAGCAAAAAAAGGTTTAAAAATCTTAGTGGTTCATAAAAATCTGTAGAGTTATGGTTTACAATACCAATAGTGATAAATGCATAAATGACAAAAAATGTTTATTATATTATAGCCGAAATATTTGGTTTTTCTTATTTTTTTGTTATTTAATAGTTTACTTTTCAAATCACAGTATCCCAAACGAGTGCCTTCAAAATCCCAATTAAATAAGCCATTTTCCAAAAGACAAGCCGTGTGATTTTGACTGCCAAAATTCGATCCCGTAAATAGAGCTTCCAAATTATCCTTTCCCATGCCTTACCACGATCGGGCCAAGGCCCGGTTGGAACACGAGGTGACACTCCTTCGTCACGAGGTAGCCTCCTTGCGGTCCAAGCAAAACCAAAGTCGCAAGGCCCGCCAGAATCAGGCGGCAGTGCAGGCGCGTCTGGAGCAGGAGATCCAGGTGCTGCAGAAAGAACTGACCGCCATCCGTTGCGATCAGGATAAGCGGGAGTGCGGTGGAGCCGAGCAGTGTTCCGCTTTGAACCAACAACTGGAGAAGCTGGACGAGCATGTGGTGAAGCAGGAGAAGTACATTGCCTTTCTGGAGGAGCAGATCAACCACACACGTACAAAGTACCAGAGTCGGATGGTTGATGTCCGGCAGAATGCCGAACTGGTCGAAAAAGAGCTGAAGAGGGTGCGCCATGAAATGAAGACCATTGCCGAGGAAGCCGCCGAGTTGGACAGTCTGAAAAAGCAGGTGGGATTCCTGGGAGCGAAGGTGGAGCGGCGTGATTCTATTATTTCCAAGTACGAAGCCCAGCAAGAGGAAATGATGAGCGTCATGGCGGGTCTCCAGAAGTTATTTGATGAAAAGAAGCGCAGCAAACAAAAACCTAGCAATCATTACAGAGTTCGATTCCGCGAAGGGAATATTATCGCTCCTGAAAAACCACCAGTTCCCAAAGTCAAGCCCAAGACTTCCTCGGTTGACTTTCATTGCCTGTCCTCGGCGCTAAAAAATAAGATAAATAGCCAGGAGCACCTAACTGCCGATCAGTGAATGTGAAAATCAGATCCTTTTTCCTTTCCTTATCTTATTCCCTAACCCAAATTTCAGTTTGGCTAGCATAGAGCAACTTATTTCAAAATATTTTCAGTAATTAAAAACTTTTGTAAGAATAAATCAATAAATATTTCTTATATAAACCTCCAATGGGTAAATGAACCAAACGGAACTACGGTCAGCATTTCGACTTCGATTGACGGCGGAGTTCCAGGAAACTCCCCGTTTTACAAGTTCATTGACAAGCTTTTGGATTATCCATTCAGCAGTATAGAACCATAGGGTTAACGATCTGATTTAATGGATGGGTTTATTTTGATTGGTTTTGTGGGCTAAGCAATTGTTTTATAGCTTTTCAATATTGAGGAAGTTTACTAACCCTGATGATGCGATGAATGAAGAATAGGAAAATTTGTATACCTTTATATTTTCTTTAATTTTATTTTATTCCCTTATAATTGCAAAATTCTTTACTATTATTTAAATCGAACAGATGTGGAATCGATGGTTACTTTACAGAATTGATCTTAGCAATTAAAATTAGAATCATTTTTATAGATTTCTTCGTTTTGTAGGTGATAGTTAGAACTGTAGACTATTATTAAAGTCATCTATAGAAAATATCGTTAGACTGTTTATAGAAAACTAAGTAGTAAACATCTTTATGGTTTTTGAAAGTATATTACAGATGGATCAGAACCCTATAGGAATGTATTAAAAGAGGTTTTATCAAGACTGACCATTGGATGGTTTACCTTTTGGGCTCTAAGCTATTTCTTCGATTTCTAGCCCTGTAAGCAAGTCACGTTTGTTGGGTGTTCTAATGCAATATTTCAGCATAAGAGCACGTACCACTGGATTGCATAAATACTGCAACTGCTGGGCAATGAGTCAATGCGGGATTGCAGAATGAAGCCTGAGCTGAACTGAAGTCGGGCGTCTATTGAATTCTAATGCTGCACCAGGAAGTGCGTGCAGACATTGGGCAATCAATCGCCGGTCAATTGAAATCGTTTGTGGACAGCAATTGGTACTGATTGCTGCGACTTCTCCCCGGGCAATTGGGCCAAAAGTTCACCAGTTCTTGGGATGACAAAGCCGGTTCGAAGTAGCACTTACTTCAAGTATTTGAATGGGCTATCTTATCGGAAGACGGCTTGCCATGAATCACAGTCTTCTAATGATGAAATTAACCAATTCTGGGCTGGATTTTTTGTTTGTTGATTTCCTAGCATGTTCCATAGAAGTTTCGGGGGCAGTCAAACCAGTTCAGCTGGCCTTCGAAAACAATTATAATGCGATGGGCGTGTTATTGTGCAAACACCTCCGAAATAAACCGACGACCCTGAGACTGAGAAAATATTCAAGCACTAGTACCCAAAATATTACACATATATCGCACGTGACGTCACTGCTGCGAGGGGTGCTCCGCAAAGAAAAGGAACTGAAACAAGAGTCAAGGTGGCTTGAAGTTTAGTTATTATTAGTCCTTAGCGTACATTACATTATTGGATAAATTAAACACTAAATACGCTCCATCTACGTGCCAGAAAAGCTGCGAAAGTTGTTTTTCAGCAGCAGGACCACGAAGAAAATGCCCACGGCAATCGACAGGAGCTGCACGTTGACCAACTTTGAATCGACCAGGGCCTGCAGCATATTGTAGATGCTCTCGCTGCGCACTTCGTTGCCGCAGCAGTCCATTAAGTAACTAATATTGGTTAATAACTATTAAAAAGCCAATATTTTGTTTGGGTTGCTATCAGCTGGTCGGGGGCACTAGTGGTGGAACAATCTGTTTTTCGTAATTATCGATTGTCAATGTGTTCTCTGCTTCTAATAACTTTCTTCGGGTGGGTGACTCTGCTAAGCAAAAGGGTGGTAGCGCCGTTTTAAACCGTTATTGCTTGTTCAAAAAAAAAAAACATTTGGAAATTGGTATTGATTATTTTTAAATGCTAATCAGTTATTGAAAGAGATAACTAATTATAAACAGACGCACTTATTAAAGCCAATCACATATTCATTGAGTGATCTTGATGGCAATTATTTTGGTGTTATTTTAAGGATAATCAATTATCTTTTTATTCTGCGGCATTTTTAAGTTCGTCTTTACAGCGCAAAATAGTTAAAAGTGTAATAATTTTGTGGGGTCAATCAGCAGTGGAGTTGTTAGTTTGTACTCAAACCAAAATTCAACAAAACTGCTGAGTCTCCAAAAACACAAATTTTGGAAATGTACCGATACAACCGATTTAAAATATAGTCTTTTTACATAGAAACCTCCTGCACCTCCTGAACACAAAGCCATTGCAGTTTAGCCTTCCAGCAACCGAAACACACAACTCTCTTGAACTGTGGGTTTAGTTTTATTAATTAGTTTAACATAACTATTTGCTAGTTGGGGCGCTTATTCGTCGTTCGCGTAGTCAGCGGGGTTCTTGCGCAGCAGGGCGGTGTGCTTGCGCTCGGTCAGATCGTAGATCAGGTAGCCCAGGATGAAGGCTAAAAGAGAGAATGATTATTGTAGGGATTTCCAGGGGATATAGTTATTGATACTCACGGGGCGCCACGATGAAGATGTTGGAGCGGAAGCGACGCACCATGTTGGGCAATCCCTTGCTGATCGCTCCGGCGAAGGCGCGCTGCTCGAAGGGGGACAGCTTGTAGGTGACGATGCCGTGCACCTTGGCCAGGTTGCCAAAGTGCTGGCCATTCAGGATCGAGGACAGACGCATCTTTCAGGGGCTGCGGGGGGAAGGAAACCAGATTATCGATTAGCAACCGCAGAGGAAGTGCACCAGGATTTGGATGAAGACACAGATCGTTATTATAAACATTATGGCACTGGGCACCAGAGGTTATGTAATTTTCGCACTGCTCCGCGGATAAAGGCGGCCGAGTACGTCTAACACTGGGCGCGATCTCTGCACTTTTGGCAGCCCATAATTGTGCATATTTTTAGAGCCAGCACCTGTCATTGCAGCGATTATGATGCCAAAATTTACCTTGAAATTCGACTTTTACGCTGCAAATTTTTTTCCTCGTCTCGAACAGTGTGACTGTGGATGGACCGCTGGAATACACCAAACGGGAGGCTTTCAATTTTGAAAATTGGAACTAATTCTGCCACAATAGTGTGGTTCTTAACTTGGATAACTGTTTAGTGCAGTTCACAACGGATAGGGGAGCTTTTTATGCTTTTTAGCGGGGACATAAGCCTATCTCATAAGTTGTTTCTTCTATCGAATAATCGATATTTAAATTTAAAAATTGTGCTCATAAAAAACGGTGCGAATAAAGGATGAAATAGATTTTTAAATTAAATATTCTTGTAAAACTTACCGTCGCAATTGTAAATGTTGCTCAAGAGATAACGTTAAAACTTAAATTTCGTTGAAGAAAAGGATTGATTTGAAATAATGAAGAAAAGTAAAATCGGTGGCTACTATATTTTTTTTGTTGCTTTAAAAAATGTTTTTAAATAATTATAATTAAATATTTATTTGTTAATAAAATACCTATTTAAAAATGTTATTTTATTTAAACATTCTAAAACATTAATTGAAAAAATACATTATGGTTTACATTTATGGTTTTATTGCTTTATTAATGATTAACATTTGTACAGCTATGAGATGATGCATCTTACAATTTAACAATTATTTGCGTGAGAAGGACTACACAAATAGACAAGATTTCACATTAAAGGCGGCCATTTCCGCTTACAAAACGTAGACAAAAGTCCAATACAGGGCGTTGAAGGCCAAAAACATCGCAGGGAAAAGGAACCGGGATCGCCGATCGATCCACATGGCGATTTCCTGCGGGGTCATGGTTGTGAAAGTGGGCGGTGTGTCCTTTTTATCCTTGTCCACATCCACAATGTGATCGTTGCTCGCTGTTCGCTCACTGCAGATGGAAACGGTATCGGCGCACTCGGTCTTGATGATCGGCAAATTGGGCTGAAAAGTGATTTTTAAAGGTTATTTCCTTTATCTTGGCTGGGAGATATGTCTCAAATACTAACGTGTACTGTCAGGTAGTTGTTGAATGCGGGATTCACAGTGCCATTGCCATTGCGAACGCTCTCCGTGCTCGAAACAATGTTGTCCAAACTGGAGCAGGATCTTGCCCTGGAATCGTTGCTCAAACTTCCGCCGATTTGGCGACGTGCCGGTCGCGGAGTTAGAGTTGATTTTATGATATACTTGCTGTTGACCTTCTTCAACTCAATGTTCTCCTTGCGACGCCAAATTGTGTTCACGAAGGCGAACTCCACCAGGCTGCCGAAGATAAAGAAGGTGCAGCCCAAGAACCACACTTCCGACACCTTTATGTAGCTCACCTTGGGAAGGTTCTTGCTCTGCGATGAGGAGAGCGTGATGAACGACAACATGGTGCTGGTTCCTAATTAGGAAAAAAGGAAAAAATTTATTAAAAAAATATAACTCCTTTTTGGGACGTATGAGCAATGCTTTTTCTGAATAATAAGCATAAGCAGGGAGGTCCTTTTCCATTTAATTTACAATTTTATTTTCAGACTGAAAAGTTTATCATTTCAATTTTAATTATTTAACTCTTGTGTTTCTTTGTGCTCCTATAAAAATAAATATAACTTCTTTTTGTAACGTATGAGCAATGCTTTTACTGAATAATAAGCATACGCAGTGTGGTCCTTTTTCATAAATTTAATATGATAAGTTTGCTAGCAATTTACTTGCTTACTTATAATGAAATTTGTAAATATTAGTAAAATACCTATTTATTTTTGTGTTCTTTTGTATGCAAATTAAGCAATAAATTTAAAAAAGTATGAATTTTAAAATGATTTCAGAATCTATAACTCTAACTCTTGCTCTAAGCTTACCCAGCATAATTCGGGGCGGGGAGGCATCCGCCTGGAGCCAGAAGGACACCCAAGATATGGCTACGATCATCATGGAGGGCAGATAGTAGTCCAGCAGATAGAAGCCGATCTCACGCTTCAGGTTGACCGTGAAGCTCAGCGAACTGTAGTTACCAGCTATAAGATATTAATACTTAGAAGAAGTTCTTGAATAAGTCCCTTTTCCAAAGCTTACTAAATGCTCCATGGCGCAGATTAATTCCATCCGCCTCCACCACCGTGGTATTGTGATAATAGTCGGCCATGTTGTACTCAGTGAGTCGCATTTCCGGGTCGAATGAGATGGGCTTGTCCTGCTCCCACTCCAGAACCAAGTCGGAAGTGTTGTACATCCCTGATGGCAACAAAGAAACCTTATTAATATCCAGTGTTGGGACATACCTAGATACTTTTACCTAGGTACGTACCTAGGTACAATTTAGTGGTACCTTTTACCTTACCTAGGTATACAAATAATTGAGTACCTTTTACCTTACCTAGGTATTTATTTTTATATACCTTTGGAATTATTAAGGTACTTACATAGGTATTAAACATTGCTCTGATTTAAAATAGCCAAATCTGACTGCGACACTGTAGTATCGTTTCATTGTATCGTTTCGTTTCAGAATTGTAATAGTCGGAACGCAGCATTAATAATTCAGCCGTTCTATTGTTTGTTTTGTGAAGTTAAAACTAATCGCAGTTTTTTTTTATATAATTTTGTGCACGTATGTATGTTCCCATCACTACATCAATTTATTTATGAAACCAAAGTGTATTTGGAGCGCAAAAATGCCGTATGTACGTAAACAAACGGCATATACATGCATATGCACAATATATAGTCAATGTTTCTACATACGGAATTTTTGCGCGCCAAATATGTACATGAGGGTTTCATAAATACATTAATGAAGTGATACGTGCATAAAATTATTCATGCCGCGTGGTTTGAAAAGATATTGTTTGATTAAGACGACTAAAAACTGAAAACTAGTCTTATTTTAAGTTTAAATGATTACATTGAACAAAACAAAAAAATTATAAAAAATAAAAAATACCTTATAAATACCTTTTACCTTTACCTAGGTACTGGGAAATTTAAGTACCTTTACCTTACCTAGGTATTTATTTTTGACAATACCTTTTACCTTACCTAGGTAAAAAAACACAGTACCTTTCCCAACACTGTTAATATCTGTATAACCTTTGAAAATAATTTACTTACAGCTCTCCAGAATGGTGGAGCAGAACTGCTGATCGAAGGGAAACTTCTGGAAGTTCATCCAGCAGTAGAGACTGGCCTGCATGCGAGTGGAGATGATCACGTTGCCCTCGGGCGTCAGGGAGGTCAGGACGTCCTTCTCGTCCGTTCCCAGGATACTCGACTCCCGTTCGTTGGCGAAGAAGATGTGCGGCAGCCAGAGGCGCTCACTGAGGTGCTTCTGCCCCATGATGTTGCCCTCGCGGCCAAAAACCTTGTAGGCCAACCGCATGTCCTGGAATCGTAACTGCAGGAGGGCGTGCATTTTGAATTGCAGCAGGTCGGAGTTGAGATTCTGCAGGAAGTACACGTAAATTCGTGTCTTTACCACGATGGGCAGGCGTTTTAACGTCACAGGGTCGTATTCTGTAAAGGGATATATTCTTAAAATTAACTTCTTTCTGTTTTACAAGTCCAAAAACCTACCGATTGGCCTCTCGAGTCGATCGTAGCGGCAGACATGTGTTAATCGCTGAATAAGTTGGGTCTGTTGCAGGGTTGTGGCATTTACCAAGGAAGGACACTCTTCTTCCTCGGCTTCCTCATTGGCGGCTCTAGAATATGGATAACAAATATGTTCCTTTTAAAAATAATATTATTCATCCCCTTAAAAGGCGCATATTTCACTCATATTTCTTTTAAATTTGAATAAAATATATTTAGAAGCTGCTAGTGCATAAGTTACTCGTATCTTACTAGCAAACAAGTTGTAATTTTTCAACTTGCATCAGGTTTTTGTTTAAATGCGCGATACCCAATAGATCTTAAATGCCAATTTTAACAAATCCCCAAAAAAACTTCTAGAAATTGTGTAACATTGAAAGTATACATTGGAAATAGCCGAAAAAGTACATATAACCCTTAAATTAAGTACTTAAATTTTTTACAAATGTAATCATTTATGAAATATACCATAAATTATTAAAGTAATAACCTGTATAATCTCACAGTAGCACATAAAGAAATATGACTACAGCTTGTGAAAGTTTTAGAAAGCTTACAAAAAGGAAGACCTAAAAAAACAGTTAAAATTGCCCAGATATAAAACTTCTGGAAAATTTTCCACCCCCACCCCCTGATGCCATGATTCATATTTAAATGCAAACCGGCTCCCATTTTAAATATTGAACAGATCATTAAACGTTGTTTACTATTTTTGCGTTAATTTCTATTAACTCTTTGAAAGTAAATGAATTTACGGGGCCGTACAACCAACATTTAAGATGATTTTTCTGGGCTCGCACCTACTTTTTTTACCCATTGAGCACCTAGCAGCTGTGCAAGCTCATTTGCAGCTACCTTTAAGTGTCAAACAGCAGAATAAATGGCGGAATAAAAATAAATAATAGCAAAATATTTGTCTTCTCGTATGGAACTCGTTATTTAACTTGCATTTTATTTCATTACTTTCGCTGTATTTGCTTGCTTGCGCAACAACAAAAAGTGGTTAATTCAATTAATCGAGTTGACCTGGTCCCAAACGGTAAACTAATTATGGCCCTATTGATAAAGCGCTCAGATCTTGAACTTATCCGATAAGAAATTTTCACCGTTCTGCGACCTTTTTCGCACATCAAAGACCAAAAGCCGACTGTAAATATTATTCGGTGCGTTTCCTTTTGCGCACTCGAGAAAATCTTAATTAAATTCTAATCTGGGGATTTATTTATGAAAAATTGGAAGAGATTTATCACTGGCTTGGGGGGAATTCCTAGAAAAATCTACACCGAGAAAAAAAACCGTTCTCATCGATGTTGATTTTAGTATTTTCGATCACAAAACCTAGCCGAGATCGAAAATACTAAAATCAACATCGATGTCATCTCGGTTTTGAGAATGGTTTTTAAGTATGTGTGCTATCGATATCGAGATGACATCTTCTCGGTTTCAACATCGAATCGATGTCGATTTTAAGATGCAAATTGAATAAGAAGAAGAAAAAAAAAATAATTGAGGAATCGGGAATTTTGCCTCTTGCACCCCCTCCTGTCCCCGTCGGTGTTGTTGTTGGTTCCCCCGTTTCTCAACTTATTTTTCTTTCCTTTATTTAAACACATGGATGACGTCACACTATGTTCGTATATAAGAACACATTTAGTTTCAAATTTTAACTGGAACAATAACTGAAATTATTATATAATTAACAAATGATAAATATAAAATTCAAATAACTTACTATCTTGGGAAAAACACCTTTGGTCGGTCGTGGGAATCGAACCCGTTGCCTCACAGTTTGCAGTCAAACACTCTACTAGCTGCGCCATGGAAGCATCACATGAGGCGCTGTACAAAGTTCAATCACATTTTGTTCTCTTGGGTTCTTGGTTTTTACTCTTATTAAGCCATTTATGTGTGTTAGATTAACAAAATCCTAATTTGTATTAAATATAAATATTAATGAGTAAAAAAAAAAAAAACGCAAAGAATTTCCGCCTCGACGCGGGACTGAACACACACTTCCGACTATACGCTTACAAAACATATAACCCGCACGCTTTAGTCCCCTAGGCTACCGATATCAAGAAGCATGACTGCCCGATAGCTACAAGAGAGGAATTCGGCCTCTCCGCCCTTTTCCTCTCATTTTTTCGATGTCTTTTCCTCACGTCCCTCTTCCACAACATAAAAACTGAGATTGCCTTTGACTGGGAATACTAGAATCAACACTGCTTTCATCTTGATATCAAGAAGAAAAAAGCAGGGACCGTAAATAACAGTTATTTGAGACTTTTATTTTAAAAAGACTACTGTGATATTTTGTTTTAAACGTCAAAAATAACACTCTTTTTACTCTTGTTCACAAAGCATATGCATTTCAACAAATCTGGAAAGCAAATTAACTGTTATTTGTCCGTGTCTATAAAGTGCTTAAAAACCAGTAAAATTGTTGATAAAAAATTGAACAAATCTCAGTAGGCCTTTTAAAATAAAAGTCTTAAATAACTGTTATTTACGGACCCTGGAAAAAAGTGAGAATACGAATACTAAAATCAAGATCGGTCGATGTTGATTTTTTTCGTTCTCAATTTTTCTGGGTGTACGCGTGTGGAATTTCCCAGGGACAGGAAATGTTTAAAGACAAAGTTACAAAATTCTTTTATGCGTAACCCTATTCTTATCAGATTCCATGTAAACATTTTCTCTTGAACATCTTTGGGTCTCATTATCGGACAACCTTTTTTAAGTGCCCTTATCAAAATAATCTGGATGGGAATTTTTGACAAAATATTGTTTATTCTTTTCTACTATATCTGTTGTCATCTTTTGTTGAGAGTTCGTATTAGTTTTAAGCCTTTTGAAGAGCCCTTATCAAAGTGTTATAGAAATTATGGCAAAATATTGTTTATTTGCAGATAGAACTAAAAATATATTTGCCTTTTTTTTTAGGAGCAAAGTTCTTAGGAGTTCGATAAATTTTTGGAAAGTTACTTGATTCTCCCAATGACAAAAAAAACAGCAAAATATAAGCTAAATATAGAAAGTTCTGCAAAAATGTATCTTTATCAGACCGCCGCTGGAGGTACACAGACATGTTCATTTGAATGATTTATCAGATGTTTTTTCTTCTGGGTGTTTCCCGGCAATATCTGGTTAAAACTTACCTTGCTAAAGCCCAAAGGCTGCAGCTGACGATCAGCATAATCCACAAAACTTGGCTCTTCATTTTTAATGGGGTTTTGCTAGATTAAATGGTTTAACTTGGTTCCGCGGGAGATCTGCAACTATTGCTTTTCGTGGCCGTTGGCGAAATGATTCGATTTTGTTGGCTTGTCAAATTATATGCTCATGTTTCACACGATCTCCTCGCACATTCACTTCACACATTCACTTTGCAATTAATGCAAATCCACGTCGGTCGTTCGATTGATTTTATTTATTATTTACGAATTTCCCACAGCTCTCTCGAGGACGAGTGCCTGTCGCTCCGGTCTCCGGTCGTCGGAGGTTTGAGATCGCGCTGCGTTTGCGCCGCCCAGAAATACAGAAATGCCTCTGCTTTTGCTTCTGCTGCTGTCGACGCCGACGCCCCGACGCGAACTGACTACTCTTCCAACAGGTGGGCGGAATAGCCCTCGCCTCGGCTTTTTTTTTCGGGCCTGATAAGACCCGGCTAGAACGTTTACTTCGCTGTTGCTCTCAACTCTCAACTCACAACTCCCAGCCGAACCACTCGGCTAAAGCAGCTGCAGCAGCAGTAGATATTGTTGGCTGGTCAAGAGCTGGAAGGCAATAGCGCAGGGTCGATTGCGGATCGCCTCACTTATAAGCATTCTATAGACCATATACTAGACGTACTCACCCGCGTGCGTTTGCCACTCGGAGAAAAAGTATCAGTGGTCATTAGATATTTTTGTCATATTTTTTAAAAAGTTTATTAAGTTATGTCAATTAATATTTTACCACTTTAAAGACTGATTTTCTTTATTACATTATGATATTTGAACTGCATTTAATACAGTTTTATGTCGATTAATATTTATCCACATTAAAGACTGATTTTCACAATTACATTATGATATTTCAACTGCATCTAAAATAGTTTTATGTCGATTAATATTTTATAACGTTAAAGAATAATTTTCTTTATAACATTATGATATTTGAACTGCATCTAAAATAGTTTTTCCATGTAATTTGACTTTTAGTCACATAATTTTAGTATTCTATAGTCATAAAAATCTTATCAATAAACTCTAATGAGTTTTAAACCTTCTAAATTGTATTTTACGAGCTTCTCTTAAATTATTTTCATTAGGGGCCGGATAGAACATTTATGTATAAGGGACTTTGATCTTTCTCTAATCGAATGGTTAAAATTATATTGCTAAAATTGGTTTTCCGCGGTGTACAAATCGGAAGCATCGTAGTTGCGTCTGTCAGCAAACCGGTATCGAAGTCGTACTGGAAAATGCATCGAATCAGAATAAATAATAGTAACATTTATGAAGGCACTGGCAGTGGCATTTCTTGTCTAGTTACCAGGCATTAGCATACATATCTCCGAGTGTGTAACGAGTGGATGAGAAGTCATATGGCCCAGCTATTTGCCCAAGTGTCTAACTCGAACCACCCGCGCTTCTAATTAAGCCTGCAATGTTTGCACACGCTCTTGGCCTTATTTGCGTTCCGCTCGATCAGTAGATGATCGATTCCGAATTCGAATCCGCATCCCACTTGGCACTTGACTGGTGCAGGTTCAACAAACCCCTTCATTGTCCCCAAACAACAAACTATTCAATTCTTATCAGCCGAGTGCGCGCTATCCTCCTGGTTGAACGATCGGACCAAGGGATTATGCTCAGAGGTCGGAATAAACGGCTCCACACCCTAACGCCCCATAATATCGTTAATAATAATAATGAGCTGACGAAGGCAAAGGCGAAGCTAAAGCCGCGACGTGACACAGAATTGAGAGTGTGACAATAATTGAATGGATGACAAATGGCCAATAGCGCAATGAGTTAATATCGTTTTGTCAAACACAATTAGTTGGCCCGGCGGACAGTAGTCTGAAACTTGAGTGGATCGGATCGTGATTGTCGCTGGTTATGTTTGAATGATTTATCCGCCATTCGACAGAGGAATGATCTTCGAAAAGCTAAGGCTTACCCGGGCATACAAGTTATATTTGATTTTTACTCTTATTAGAAGCTGAAACTTTCTCTTTTACCTTGCTAAATTACTCAATTCGGCTGCGATGCTGTAAGGGTCGATTCTCAATATCATGTTTAAGATCTAGAATGTAATTCTTCAGCAAAAGTTAACATAAAGTCTAACAGTTTGAAACCGAAAGATTCCTTTCTCAATCGAAAAAAACTAGAAGGTTGTCTGTAAAGTTAAGAGTTTTTGAAGTATGAATTACAATACTTAAGAAATCTTATCAAGAAAGATAAGTGACAGCTACATTTTTTAAATAATCCTTTTGCTATTAAAGTGCCGAACTAATATTTATAGAGGTTTGAGGCCTTATATTTCTCTGTTATCCTTTAGTAATTAGATAATTACCTTAAAGAAAATATCTATCTGATTGTCCTTTAGAAAATTTATTTGAAATATCAACGAGGAATAATTTTCAACACTCCTTGAATTTATATATTTATACCGTGCTGTAGGTGAAATTTACTTACGTCAATTCCTCGCGGGACTTCTCTCAATTTCTCACCTCTTATCGGGGTTATTTTAGGAACTTTAATTAAATGAAATGCTCGTGGCTGAGCAAATTTGATCTGCGAATATTTAACAAGAAGGCTTATTTAATTATTGTTCGCATTGCCAAGGCAAACAAGCACTTGTGCTCTATTTGGCCAATTTGGCGAAGAAAGAGCAGAACTTGGCCTTTGCTTATCGCGTTGTGTTTTGGCTATGGGTATCTGTATCTCTACCAGTAGTATCTTCTTCCCTGGCCCATTTGCGCCTGTTTACCAGAGTCATTGCCACGGAATTTGTATAACCGTAGGAGGTGTTGCTTGCCGGAGCCATTTAAAGGTTATATTGATATTTGCACCGATTTTATGGGTCGCTGGCAATGTGATTGCGTGTTTGCCCGCAAATATTGGCCATCCATGTGCGGCCATGAAGTCCTGGTTAGCACGTGATGGCGTGATTCGGTTCGATCTTTGGGGCTCCTTGGGATCGGAGATCTCTGGCCTTATCTCGCCCGCAGATGAGTCACTTTTGAGTGCCACTGGGGGGGCTGAGGTGGTAAATTCTTTATCTCAAGACAACATCTGCTCCCTGGCAGGCAGTAGACAGTTGCTTGTGTTTGGGTCGTCACAGCCAATAAACAAGCGAAAAGTTTAATTAATTAAAACATGGTGGGGCTATGTAAATAGAAGCCAGCGTCAGTGGCACTGGGCAAATATCATAAATAGAAAGGCAAATAATCAAACAATCGAAATTAAAAACGAGTAGCATTACCGCGGAGATAATCAGGCTACCATTGGAGTCTCAAGTGGGTGTCTAAATTTAAGCGATGACAGCCGAACGAGTCGAGATGGTCAGGTAGGTCTATCTTTTGGTACTTTTCGACTGGCTTTTTAATAATATTTGGCTCGGCTCTATCTAGCTCCTGGTAGCCCAATTGAGGCACTAAACTGTTATCAGTGGGCGGCGTGCGTTCGCCTTCAGTGACGTCTTTGGATTTTTATTTGCTGCGCGTCCTAAAGTAATGTTTAATATTTGCTCTTGCCACTGGGGCGTATGCGTAACGTGTTGTCATAGCGGAAGCTGCTGTAAAATGTCAACCATCCAGCGCTGAGTCAGTTAAAGTCACAGCAGCGCCGGCCGAGAGCGCCTTATCACCGATCTGATGAACAAGAGTCGGCCATCTTTTCCATAGTTATTGCCAATCTTGAACATCGCTTTGTTTACAGCAATAATTTCATGTTATCAGCGAGGCGACAAGACAACCAGTATGAACGAAATCGAAAGCAAGAAAGAAGGGGTTCTTGCTTCAGCGTGCGTTGGAGAATTTTCAGATCCCTGACATATGAGACACACATAAAGGTAACCTATTCACGTGCTGCTAAAATGGCTCATCATCATGCTGACATGCTGCTCAGTTTTAAGCTGGCCAAATAAGATCTAATTCAGAGCTGGCACAAAAACACGGAGCGGTAGTGAAATAATAAATCAGTTTCCTTTTTCACTCTGTTTGGGGAGTGTGCTATGACAGACGTCTTACGTGGAGACAGAAAAATCTAAATAAATTAGCAGAGCACAAAAAGCAACCAAGTTGGATATATATAGAAGCTCATATCACTGAAATAGTAGGGTACTTGTCTAGAAAGATGCTATGACTACACAGAAAAAAATCACATATGGTGACCTATTTAAAAACAACAATTAGCAGCGCTAAAAGACAAGGATTTCACAAAATAAAAAAATTAAGATTTGAAAATGTCAATAGACCTAGACAGAATTTAACACATTTATAATCTAAAGAATATAATATTTTGAGAAAATCAACACTAATTAATCTTTCAATCAGAAATTAGCATACATATAGACAAAGTTTGTTATAATAAGAGTCACTAAACAAAATATTTAACTTCTAACCTGGATTTCTCTTATCAAGTCTGAAATTACTATTTCTTCCTGTGAAAACAAATGAATACATTAAAAATTAAGATTTGATAATTTCAATGGACTAGTCTACAGAAATTGAAACATTTATAATCTGAAGAATATAATATTTTCTGAAAATCAACAGTAATTAATCTTTCAATCAGAAATTATCATAGATATAGAAAAAGTTTGTTATAAGAGCCACTAAACAAAATATTTAACTTCCGACCTGCACTTCTCAGCTGTAATTATCAAGTCTTAGGGTCGTTTTCTCGCCCATTTGTTAAATTTAAAGCAAGGTTAAAACCTTAAAATCGTATGGGAAATCAGAGTTTTAAAGCTACTTTAAATTGAACAAACGGACGAGAAAACGGCGCTTAAACTACCATTTCTTCCCGTGTACACAAATGAATACATCAACGTTTCAGGGCGATCTTACCGCTTAGCACGTAAATTTGTTTATTTCTAAACTGGAAGTTCCAGTTCGATGCGTTTCAGTACGTCGAGAACAGATCTATAGTCGCGGATCCGCTGGCGAGCGGGTCGAGGAATAACGACGAATAACATTACAACGACATTATTCAATAGGCTAACTATGAGCTAACACGAAAACAGCCTGCCATTGAAGAGCAGTTGGTTAAGTTACTTCGCCGCACTGGACGCCTCGCCGCCGGTGATCGCGGGGGAGTTGGCAAAGTCCTGGAACGTGTCCTTGGCCTTCTTGAGCCCCCTGCCCGCGTAGCAGGGCAGCATGTGGATGAAGCGAAAGGTGTTCTTCACACCCTCGTTGTAATAGTGCTTGGCCAGGAAGCGCATCTCGCCGGTTCTGGGCAACTGCGGCACTTCGAAGGGCAGCTGCTTCTCCACCTTCTTGACATACGGACACAGTTCCGATTTCACCTTGTTGTACAGCTGATCCGTCTGGTCCGATCCTCCCCAAATGCCCACCTGGCGAGTGTAGTAGACGGCTCCGGCCAGCAGACCGCCGCGCAGCAGAAATCTGGAAGAGATCCCAAGAGTGTCGCCCATTTAGGCTTACGTAAGCTTGAAACAAACGGTTGCGCACTCACCCAACAACCATGTTGATTCGTTCGATTTGGGGAAGAGAGAGTGACAGTCAATTGGGGCCTTTTACTTGTATCCAAACTAAAGTCTGGTCGTTTTCGTTCAGAATTTTTGGAAAATATCTTGTTTTTCTACTTCATATTATTGTTGGAGTAGAGGTGGTAGAGGTGGCCTAACGCGGAATTATCGATAAATGTAAGAAAAATACTTTTTATTTATCTAAATATACCAAAAGGAGGGAGTCTTCGCTGAGCTAGCAGGAACACACACCTATTGACGAATTTTAGAACCATCTCTTCTAAACAATTGCACTGTTGTTGTTGCAGTACCGTTGATCACATCTTTTGAAATTTAAAAAACTCTTTGAATCAGTCCTTACAATTAAGTCCCTGTAAGAGAGTACAGTTTCCATTCCATGATTTAAAGAACATTAAATAGAATACCTTTCGGATAACTTGCCAATTCCAAACTAAGTATCCAAGATCGGAAGCCGTTGTAAGAAATTTACGATGACACTCGGCGTTTGGTTTAATTTTCAAGCTTGGCTCAGTTTTAAGCGCCGACCAAGCAGTCGACATTTGCCCGCATTCATATTCGCATTTGCATCTCATTAACAACAAAAGCCGCTAATCGGGTGACAGTCCCAAACGATTTTTGGCGCCTCTATGGTGGATACTCTTTTTAAGAAGAAGTGAGTTGAATCAGTGACTAGGTTTGATAATTCCAAGAATCATACTTATGCTACATCGGGTAACTTGAATTTATTAAATTTATTGTATTGCCTTTTTTAATTATACATATTTCGGGTTTAACCTTAGTCTGTTATTATTGAAAGAGTGTCCAATATTCGCTTTAATATTTTCCCTTCTCCAAGTTCGGCTTACAATTTATATATTTATTATGAATTTAAGTCAAGATTAGATAAGAAAAGAGGCATTGTGGCAGCATCTGTAAGTCGTGATCGTTGATCTGTGATTTTGGGCCGCAGATAAGGAGAATACGTTATAGATGCCCATACAGGTGGTAGAGGCTATAGAGCATGAGTCGTAAAATCGTAGTAAAAACAAACAACAGACGATAACAAACGGAGCTATTAAGCGAGGAACGCTCGTTAAACTCGGTCAAATTCATATTTTCAGATGCGCGAATTAAATTAATAATTCGAACTGACGAAGAGTCACCTGTTTTGCGATGTTGTAGGTGTAGGTCAGTGATCGGTAGGAGTATAAAGCGATCTGTCGTCGAACTTGGAGATCAGTAATCAGTAGCACCTGCAGCAGAATCAGCATCAAAATGTTCAAGAGCGTAAGTCTGGTGCGATAATAGCGATAATAGAACAGCTAACCAAGGTATTTTTTTCGCAATCAAGGCGCTAATCATTTCCCTGTTCCTGGTGGTCGTCATCCGAGCCGCAGATGAATCACAATCTGAAACCACCAAGTACCGGAGTGAGGTCAAACCGGATGGCACCTACAGCTGGGAATTCGGAACCTCCAATGGAATTGACGCACAGGAGAATGGATTGGGAGGGGTTCAGGCTGTGGGATCCGTGAGATATACTGCTCCGGATGGTTCCCCCATTCAGCTGGAGTATACGGCCGATGAGAATGGATATCGTCCCACTGGTGCCCACCTGCCCACGCCACCTCCTATTCCAGATTACATTCTTCGGGCTCTGGCCTACATCGAAGCCCATCCTTTTGAAAGAATCCAGCTGAAGAAGTAGTCTACATAATAAGATTTAGATGTGTATTATAAGTGTATGTTTAGGCAAATTAAATATGTATAGCCCAATTTTGTTTACATAATAAAGTACCTTTAAGAAAACAATTTCATTTTAGCAAAGTAGTCACTAAATGTAAATCTAAACAAGGCTTCGAGAGCTTCGACTATCAGATAGATAGAACGGAATCTGCTTATTAAATTTTAACTCAGATCTTTACCATAAATATTGAGCTTCGAAAGATATATGACATCCAATATACAAAGCTCGGTTTATATATAATTATAGATATGGTGCTTTTACAATTTACCAGGGTTTATAACATTCGGTTTGCTGAAGTTAGCTTCCTTTCTTCTTTTTATTATTATTAAAGTATAAATATTATTCAACGTAAAATTTAGACATGATGTTAGTTTTAGGGGAAGTTGAAGTGAGTTGAAGCAGTGGGACGATATCCTGGCATAGTTGAGACCGAATGCATTGGGACTCTTGTTGGATGAGTTAGGCCGCAGAATCCTGGACTATTGAAAGTCACAGTCGCCCCGGCGGAATTTCGCCTGCTGTTGATCCCTTTATCCGGCTTTTCCCTTTGCTTTGGCCTCGGTGGGATTTTCTCCAGCTGACAAGGAGGAGGAGGAGTCGAGTTGCTGCAACAGCGACCGCAGGGACTGCAGCAGTAATTGCGGTAATTACAACAGCCATTGCAGCAGTTCGCACAGTAGTAATAGCAGCCGTTGCAGGGATTATAGAACCAGGACCAGGGGCACGAATTACAGCAGCCAGTGCATCCGGTGTTGGTGTTTAGGGGACAAGAACCACAAGTCACCGGCTGGGTGTAGTTTTCTCTGAAGAATGTGTAGGTATTATCTCTTATTTAAAAGATTCTATACACATAAAAAAACCTTGGTAATAAATTGTCAAATAGTCCATTTGGCCATTATATTGGTTAATTTTACCAAGTTTAATTTTTGTGTGATGCTTCATAATGTATTACTTACTCCGGCAAGTTGGCAGAGCAGCCGCAGTGGCGCATTTCTGGTTTCGGCGGAGCCGCAGGACAGGGATCCTTACAACCACCCGGACATTTGGCTTCCTCGGCTCTTTGGGGCTCATTTCCTACGGATTCCTCGGCATTGTTTGGCGTCTGCGGATATGACTCACTAGCGACTACCTCCTTCGAGTTCTTCGCACTCATCTTCTGCTTGACCTTCGACTTTGACCTTTTGACCTTCGCCCCATCCGCCTTCTTGTTCTTCTTGGCAGCCGGTTTATCCTGATTCTTGCGCTTCTCCTTCGGCATCAGGAGATGGCACCACTTTTGCAGATCACACGGAGGACAGGACTCGGTGATGCTGCAGTTTGAACGAAAGACATTACAGCATTCTTAAATATTTCGTGTGGAAAGAAAGAGGTTTGTGGAAAGGTGGACTGTTTGTATGCCCAATTCCGAGAGCTAAAGCAGCTCAGGAACTGTGACATTAAACTCACCGGCTGAGAAGCTCCGAACAGTCATTCTTCTGGACCCTCTCTTTTGGTTTCGTATTCTTGGGAGGTGGACAGTCTGATTCCTCAGAGACAAAGTACGGATAATATTGATTGTTGGGATCGAAACGCGTGCAGTAACATTTAGTGGGGTGATCAGAAGGGGGTCCTTTCGATCCTTTCATACTTGATGGACATTTTGTGGGACTTTTACTTTTTCCTGGTCTTTCCTTTGATACATTTTGTGCTTTCGCGGAAGTTGATCCTTCATTACCCTGGTGTGAAATATTTAACTGGTGCACAAACGTAGCATTTAATGGAGCACAATCGTTGTAGGGAAAGTACTGATTGGAAGGGTCAATACCCATGCCCACACATTGCTGGGTATAAACAATGTTTGATTCGTGTTCATTACTTAAGGGAGCTTCCATCGATTTATTTCGTTTTCTGGAGTCGTGCGTTCTACTATCACCTTGACCACGAATTGAAATTGATTTGGAAACGGATCTACGTTCTAAATATCTTTCTCCACCATTATCAGGATAATGCTGGGTGTTACATTCCATTCCTGGAGCTCCCCAAAATTCGGTTGGTTTGGCAGAACGACCACTCCTCGATTCGTTCCTATGTGTTTGGGACTTTGACCTACTAGCAGCATGACTTACTTGCACCACAGATGACTTAGAAAGGACAATTGATCTTGAATTATGGGGATAATTCAGGTTGTTCGGTTCAAATTGGGATGGTTCTCCCCTGAACTCGTTCCGTGGACCCAGGGACTTTGATCTATTAACACCTTGATGCACTTGTCCCGTTGATGGCTCACATTGTGGAACTTGACTAGAATTTAGGCTTGTCTGTCCTACATAATAATTATTCTGATTGTTAGGTCCAAAGTGCATAGGCTGACTTTGCTGGCTATAAACTGGAGGAGCTCCGGAAAATATATTGGAATGCGTCTCATTAAATGGATTATACTGATTGCTTTCTGGGAAACGCATGCCCATGCCCTGACAGAATTGGTTGTAGGACGGGCCTGGTCCCATTTCTGTTGGTCTGCCAACGGACATTTGTTGATTTCCGCATTGGTAAATTTCTCCGGTACAGGGATTAAACTTCGAGGAATATTGCGTGGGTAGACCTGCCGCCGGAGGTCCTCTTGGATGACGAGCATCTCCCTGTCCCTCTGCACATTGTGGAGCCACTGGTAAAACCATGGGACCTGGGATGCCAAAGTTTCCATATTGCGTGGGTGGTGGTATTCCAAAAATCATGGCATTTCCTGCCGGACCATAGGTTCCATAGCACGGTATAATAGTAGGTTGCCCCGGCTGAAAACCAAATCCAGCTCCTGGAACTTCCTGAAATCCCGCTCCTGGAGCTCCCGGAAATCCTGTACCATCATCTTGACCGCATTCCTCAGCATTTTGCTTATCAATTCCATAATTTTCCTCTTCACAATCTTGAATTGGAGACTCACACCTTGGCTTACATTTATCCGCACACGGATCCTTACATCTATCCACACATGGTGTACAACTCTTAGAACGTTTCTTTTTCTTTGGTGGCTTTGGTTCTTTTAGAAGAAAACTGGGTGGCACCATGTCCGAGAACTTTTGATACTCCCCGGGAAACACCACGCGACAATTCCGCGTATTTATGGGACAAGAGCAACTAGATCGGGGACAGCATCTAAATATGAAATAAAGTTAAGTTGATAAAGAAATATCGATTAAATTTAACTTACCCGCCATGCCAGCTGATGCATCTCCGTAAAAATCGACATGGATCGCACATTTCGAACGTATAAGTGTGGCCTGAATCTCCTCCTCCTGTTTAAAATTCCACATTCACTCATGGCCAATTACGTGGAATTCACAAAACAACATTTATAGTCAAAATTGTAAAAAATAAATAGCCTAACTTGTTTTTGATGTCCTAAACTAAGACTACATTGTTGAAGGTTGGTTAGGCATCTTTTTTTAGGAGCTGACACTATCCTATCATCAGAAGACTCTGCAGGCTCATCAGCATCCTATATTATAGGATTAGGAAAAATCATTAAAAGTATAGTGAATGTCGTAACTTCTTACAATCTTTTCTATTCGTTTTAGTTATATTTATGAATTAGTACACCAAAAAAAAAAAAACACGATATGAAACGTAGATCGATTTAACATTGTGCAATATCAATTTAAACTTGATATGGGGCCAGGTAAATTTGATATGGTCATAATGAGTATTTCACGTAAAAACGGTATGGGTTTCGCATAATTATATTATAATGCTCTTTTCGTTTTAAAACGTTCAAAAAGTGACATTACAAAATTGTATGTCATGCCAAAAAGCAAATTTAAACGGAAGTATTGTATAATTGATTAAATACTCGCATTGCTTTGATATGCCCAACGAGGTGCGGCCAACCAGGCCCAGTCCCTATTGGCGTCATGCGAGTCCCGCGAGGAGGACAACAACTTTAAAGTCGGACTTTACACCGGAGCAAGCCAGTAACGGAATCGGACAGCACCTGTTGCGAACCCTGGTTCAGAGTTTGCCTTCTGGCGCGGAACCCACGCGATCGCGGTCTTCCTGTCCACCCACAAGTCGACGTCGCCGCCAAGTCAGTGGCTGCAGGTCCATGGGGACTCCGGAATCATTGTCTTCACCGGGTAGGATCAAGGCACCGGTTCGATTGCAGGCGGGAATGCCGGTTCAACAAGTCAAAAGTTCAAAGGTCATTGGGTTGGGAAGAAATGCACAGCACTCTATGGTAGCCTCTCTTAAACGTCGCAGTGAGTCGCCGACAGCCAAGGCAAAGGCCAGAGAAGAGGAGTTCGACAGGTTACCTGAGATGATAACTGGAACGGCCACTGCCAAAGCCCGCGAAGAGGAGTTCGAAAAGATACCATCCAAGATATCTAGTATGAACCAGGAAGTCAAGGAAGCTGAAGACGAAAGCCAAAAGAATTCAGAACCAGAAATTCAGGAGAATCCAGAACAGGAGGCCCTGGAGAACTTGGAACCAGAGGCCCCGAAGAACTCAAAGCCGAATAGCCTTGAAAACTTAAACAAAAATAGTGAAGAGTCTGCAAACACAAAAACAGAAGAAGCCCAACCTGAAGAGCCCGAAATATCAGCTAAGGAACCAGAGCAACAGAAGCCAGTGAGTGTGGTCAACTCCAAGATTATTCCCTGCTTTCGAGGGGAATATCCCACTCGGCATCGACCTGGCTCATATCAGTGGTTCAAGGCCGCAGTTCCCAATTGCGGAAATATCGTAACCATCTGCGATGAGGAACAGCAAGTTATGGGTGAGGCGGAAATCGTCACCGCCTGCGAAGTTACCGAGGCCCACTTTCTCAGCATCGACAATGTGCCTTCGGTTCCAAGGTGCAATAAGTGTAATGGTTATTCGCAGCAGAATCAGAATGGGAATTGGTTTGGATCTACTTTCGGGCAGCAATCTTCTGGCTTTCAGCAGACACAGCCTTGCTTTCAGCAGCAACAACCATGCTTTCAACAACAACAACCCTGCTTTCAACAACAACCATCTTGCTTTCAACAACAACAGAGAAATTGTGGTCGCAATTCACTCTGTTCCAAAGCAACGGCAAAACCCAGAAGTTGTCTCAAGTGTCAGGATCAGAATCAATCCAGAAGTTCGGTTGTTTATAGTCAAAAACAGCCAACGCAGCAGACAATTATTCCACAAATGCATCAATCCATTCAGCAAATGGCTCCAAGTGAACAGATACAATCACCAATGCAACATCAACCAGTGCAACAGGAGCCCATCGAGGAGACCAACTATTGCCTGACCGAAATGCTGGCCGAGGAGCTGAAGAAGCAGATGCTGGCGGCACAGGCGCAGATTGCCCAGGTGCAGCTCCAGCTGAATAGTGCCTGTGGGGCCACAAGAGTGCGGCAGATGCACGTGCTAACCCAAAATGCCAACGAGGCCCCACATTGGGCGCCAGAAACTCAGTTCTTAGGTTCCTTAGAAGATATACAGGGTGATGCTCCACTAGAAGAGGTAAGGGAAAACGGTGAAGAAGATGAAGGGTTTTCCATGCAGTTGGACCAGCAATCATTGCCCTCGCATTTTAACTGTTCAACCTTGGGATCCATTGAGTCGAATAAGATGTGGCCCGGAATATCGGCTCCTCAGCCATCCCAGCAGGCCGTGCAGCTTGGCATGTATCCCGTGCCAGTAAGGATGTCAAATCAAGGAACTTACATCCAGTCCGATCCCCAGACATTTCCTTGTCAGCAGCAACAACAGCAAATGATTCCTTGTCAGCAGCAACAGCAGCAAATGGTTACCTGTCAGCAGATTCAACAAATGCCCCCTTGTCAGCAGCAATATAGAGCACCTCCCTTTCCACCACAAAAACCACCTCCTTGTCAGCAGAAACAACAGCGATTATCCTGCCAACAACAACAGCAAACCATGAGATCTGGTCAACCGTCGCAATCTAATAAGTGTTCTCATGCCCCACAATTTTGTCCCAGTTGTTGTTGCCAGCGATATGCCCAAATGCGATTCATGATGCCGCGATGTTGGCCCCGCTAAAGGTTTTGGACACTCCAATATTCGTAGAGCAACTTAACTTGATCATTCAATTTTAATGATAAGATCAAGGTAAGATACCTTACGAGTGGAGATCTCCAAATGTGCATACATAATTGTGCAATTCTTCCGTTTAAAATTGAGACCATTCGATAAGTCTAAAACTTGACTGCAATAAAGTTTCGATTTTAAATTTACTACTTGAGTTTTTTGTCAACTTCTAGAGATTTTGACCTTTCTAAACATATTAAATTCAAAGTTTCTGAACTTTTAGGGAACAACTAGAGAAGCTGCACGCCCCATTTAGTTCAAATTGCACATTTTTATATTAAAGATATAGTTGGAAGGGAATACCTTTCAAATGTCTTTACTTTAATCAAAGAATGTGTAATTTAAATCAAATGTACAGCGGATTTCTGAGACACAGTTGTAAAAAGGATAAAACGATGGAAATGCTTGGTAAAGATATAGAAAAAGTGTCTGGAAAGGTTTCCCCTAGAACCTCATTAACAGGCAAATACAAAAACCAATGATACAAAATCAAGTACTTATCATGTGGATTTTAAAGGTGAAAAGGTGTGTAAAGGGAGCCCAATAAAAACGAGCTTGAATAAAAAGAGATCTATTAGTAACTCTTTAACAAGCCAAGGAAGTCAACGAAGCAAGGTAAGTTTCTGTTAGCCCAAGGCATTTAAGATTTAGATTTAAGAAAGACAATTAGCGTTCTCGTTTTGAGGAAGAAGAACTAATGTCTGCCACAAATTCAAATTCCTTTGCCGGATCAACAATGAGATTATATCCAACTAGGAGAATTCAGAAGTATACAAGGACCTCAGAAGCAAACAAAAAGAACACAACTTTTCCTAAGACTAAGCCAGAAGTGGAGAAGGATGAAAAAGCTCTTGTAAAGACCAAGCCGAAACGTAAAAAAATGTTAATTAAAAAGCTGCCTACAAGGTCAACAGCTGGAAATATTGAACAATCCCCTGACGATGATGGGATTTGGTAAGTTTATTTATCTCTATTAATCACCGTTTTATTAGAATTATTTAATTCCAATAGGTTCGAGTGCAATGTACCCTTTCGTGTAAATATTCCGTTTCCCATTAGTATGAAAAATCTATTTGGGTCGCAGACATTTTCGGGCAATAGCAATTTACAGATTTTCAAAGCTCTTGCCCCGACGGGAATAATACAGAAAGATACAAAAATGAAATACCCTTTCAATGTCTCAATGTGTCCTGCTCTTCCACCGGAAGATCTTGAATCTAATATGTACACCCCCAAGGCAACAAAGTGCGCCAAGAAAAAGGGATTGAGACGGGGAAGAAAGCATTGTCCTTGCGAAACGTCCACCCAAACTATTGAAGACGAATCCGATCCTGTTCTAAGCTGCCTGGAACAAATTAGAAAACAACTGGCCGCCAAATCTCCTGAGATCCAAGAGAAAAACATCTTTCGTTGCTTTGCTGAAAAGTCCACAAATGTTAGGAGTATTCAGAAGCAAACAAATGAACCGGACGTAGAAAAGGTAAAGGATTCCGCCTCAAAAGAGACTTTTCAGGACAAAACACCATCATCTACAATGAGCCAAAAAAGTTTAGAAACGACATCTTTAAATATGTTGCCCCTACCAAATCCAGAGGACACAAAAATAGAAAACTTGAACAATGTCCCCAAAACTCCGTCAAATGCGAACTCTAAGCGTTCATCAATCTGCATAGAATCTAAAAAAGAATCACAAGGGAAGAACGAAACAATTCCAAATTCAAATCGGGAAGATATAGAATTACCGAATCTCAAAGATGCTGACAAAGAAAAAGATTTACTGAATGCTACCAAACCAGTTTTGAAGTCAGCCATTTGTTTCTGTAGGCTTCCACAATGTCCTCCAAAATGTACAAGAATAATGATCCCCGGTTCAATGTGCCAGGGACATTTTATGGGAAAATATCATATGCCGAGATGGCAATATAGCAGGCCAACCCAACAGCAATATATCCAAAGGCAAGAGTTTACAAAACAAGCTGCATCTAAAATGGATGCCGTTGATATCAGAATAAAATCTGGAAATTCTATACAAGGAAATGAATCTTATATTTCTAGCAGAATGCAAAGTAACTGCGACTCTATAAGCGAATCCTCTACCAGCTCAAGAAGTAAAAGCTTATTTGAAGCATCTAATAGTACTACTTCAAGAAGCCAAAGCTCCTTTGAAGCATCTAATAGTACTATTTCAAAGAATCGTCGAATTAATCCCACTGACAGGAAGTATTGCCCAGAAGGATCGATTCGTTCATCAAAGTGCCAAGGATCTAAAGATTTGTTTCAAAAAAGACGTAGATATATTAGCAGCAATGAATCTATGTTATCGTCTAAAATATCTTCTTATAGGAGTTATGAAATCAAAGGTACGAAATGGGAAAAAATGGCTAAAGAAAGTGATGCTATTAATAGTAAAACGCACAGAAATCAAACTAGGAATAAACCGAACCAAAGGCACAATAGCCGTATAAGTTCAGGTGGGGAATCTGTTCCGGAAGACCCGACTAGTCAAGGATATAAAAACGGTCAAATATATGAGATAGAAGAACAACGAGATAACACTGAGATCAACAAAAGTGAAAGTAATATCAGTAAAGACTTCGCTGATCAGAGAAACTATCATCAGGAACGGCTAAGGAATAATAAAAAACCGAGGATTGATGAATATTTTCCATATCGTCAGAACAAAAACGATGGAACAAGCTTCCAAACTAATCGTGGAAATACTGACATTAAAAAAGTTTCAAGTAATATCACAAAAAACTCAGATCAGGTAAAAACATTTAAAAGTTGTTCGAGCAACAGAGAGTATAGTTGTTATTATGAAAAATGTGAGCACTCTGAGGAGATAACTGCTAAGACTTCAGAAAGCGGGTTCACAGATCAATTAAACCGTAATGGAATTGTGAAAGAATTGCCTCCTTATAGTGAAAAGGTTATACAACCAAAAAAGCTAAATCTAAGTCGTTATGAACACAGAGAATGGTTTTATAAGCAGCGCTCACAATCTGCTCCCGAATGCTGGATACTTCAAGGCTACCAAAGAAACCATACAAACAGATCTGAAAAATCATACCTATGTCAGTCGCCACAATGTCGAACATATCATGAAAACGTACTTGTACTACAGGATGAAACTTGCGAAAGCGAATCAGATGATTATGAACTGGTAAGGGATGACAAGGATACTTCAAATTCGAGGTGGTGTGAGTGTCAAACTCCGGATTATAGTATCAATGCCGACATTCTGAAGCAACTTAGAGAGCAAGAAAGACCCTGTAATCCCCATCAAGTTCAGGGAATTACCTCTATTCCTAGAGGTAACCAATGTCCAGATGACTGTGAAATTTTACAGCAAGAGCAAGGAAGGTAAATAATATAAATGAATAAGTGAATATAATATAGAACGCTTTATTCCTAGAGAAAATCCACCTTTGGTGCTGGTACCTTTTCGTATGAATAGAAGGAAAATTTTAAGCATTTCCCGACCGAAGAAATGGTAAAATATGGTATATTAATTATGTATAAAGTTATTTTACAATGTTTTGCTTTTCAGGAGAGACCTAGGAATGAAGTTTACTAAACTTAGACGCAACCAGTTTCATATGGCTCCTCAAAATGTGGTACCCAATAAAGAGTTCAAAAGGCCGAGCGAAATAAACTCAAATTCTTCTTCTAGCCAGTCTTCTTCTTCTAGGACGGATACAATCGGGAACAGGAACAATAATTTTCAGAATATAAAAAAATTAAGTTATCCAGGACCCCGTAAATGTCATCACAAAACTTGCCATATAGGCAGTTTGGTTTCCGCAACTCACTATTCACCTTCAGAATATCCATCTTACACAAGACTTACAGGACTGCAAAATGACTCAAATGCTTCCTGTAACTCTAAATCAATTAGGAGTACTTTCAATAGTCGTCAACGTGAAGACAAAAACACTAATGAACAATTAAGAAATAATGAATCCCAAATTTTATATATCCGAAATGGTTATAAATGTGCTCGGACCGACCAAGGTAATCTTCAAAGCTTAAAAAGGTTACATAACTCCGATATTTCTGCATCTTTTCATCACCCTGCAACCCAAACAAATCCCAACGGCTTAACTTGGACTGAATTAGGGGTTCCCTTGAATGCATCTAGTGTAAATAAATCTGTGACTCTAATGCAGCCACGAAAACTTCGAAGCTCTGATAGTGCGGGGATCAGAAACATTGAGAACACCGTCCTTATCGAGACAAGAACCCCATGTAACAGGGAAAATTTATTGCAAACCTGCGGACGACCTCCTTGTAACTTCTGTCCTCGGCAATACACTGGACTTCCTCCCAGTCTGCAGGCAGGATTTATGATATCAAAGCCCCCCGATCATACAATACAACCGCAAACCTCTATGAGTGCTCCACAAAACTTAGCACCTTTTGATGAAAATTACCTAATAGATCCTCGGGATCAGTGGAGGACTATTAAATCACCAGCTTCAGCGCCAGTTATGAAGGATGAATTTCAGCATCAGGGTTTAATGAATTCCTATCAGCCAACAAATAGTCTATGTCCTCATTTTCAGGAGCATCCATCTTTAGGCTGCCATCAGTTTAACAATCCTGGCTACTACACCCAAAAACTGAAAGATAACATTAATATGCTTCCGGAGGGATTCTACGATCACACCGTAAACAAATATAACATCACTAGAATGGATTCAAACTTTCAGCCGCCACCTTTGCTACCGGAATTTCTTCTTGCACAACAGCAACATTTTATCAGACACCCAGCTTTCCCACATGGCAATCAATTTCAACAGCACCTGGTAATGGGATCTGTTCAGCAACTCCATCGTCCCTTTATTCCAACGCAGAACCAATACCCAGCTGAGCTCCAAACTCATCCTACGATGTTCTGTCCACAGCAAAGTGTAAAATTAGATGACTATGATCAATCGGAATACCAAATTTAATTTATATATTGAAATTTCAAATTTCTAGATAATATTTCTTTTAAATTGAAGTATATTCTTAGCATGCAATAAAATCATAAATCATAAAAGCTATATGATTTGTTTTGTGAACTATTTATCACGCTATGTATTAAGGCCGTATAGAAACATCGAGAGCCTTATCAAGATATTCCTCAGGAAGTCCAATTTTAAACGAAGATATTTTACGTCACTGCTTAAACTTGAACTTCAACGCGGTTAGTTCGGCTCGAGAAATATTTAGTTTGCTCCTCAGGAGGTTTTTGACATCATTATCAGAAGCAGATAAGGTTTTCAAACCGAGTAAATAAGTCCTTAAATCCGGCTTATAAGTACTGCTACTCCAGATCGGTTTGCCTTATGAAAGCCATAGTATTGACTTTAATATGATGGCAACTGAGGCAGGTCCAATCAGAAGGTCAGAATCTTATTTAGTCCGGTCTGCAATTAGGCCAGCACTAAGCCCAAGGTCGGCACATTTAGGGTGAGCCATGTAGTCTCACAGCCTGCAAACAATTACGGGTTGTCGAGTGGTGATTTAACCATTTAAGAGGTATGTGTCATTACTGGCGACGAAACGATAAGCGCATTAGTGCAGTAGTTTGCAGTAAAACTTAAGAAAAGGGTAACAGTCTTTTTGCGATCAAAATTTTTCGTTGTGATAAAGATCACCGACAACTAGTCAATGTGTCAATAACACAGGTCGACAAAATCAAGACTTTTTCTTGGCCCAAGAACAAACGCTACAAAACCTAAAAGAATTTTAGCTGTAGATTACTACCTCATACTTGGAAACTTTCCATCACGTCGAAGTTTTTAGAAATCCGTGGTCAAAGTTCCAAATTTTCGATTTTTAGGCACTTTTTGCGGCTTAATAGTAAGAAAACCTTTCGTAGCCCAGAGCCACAATTTAGCGGAAGTGGTACCTTGAACCTTTAACTTCAAGAGTGTCCAATCACAAAGTTGGGCGACCTCTATTTCTTTAGCTACAATGGATTTTACAGAACTACTTTTTGTCACTTTTTTTCATCTATAGTAGCCTGATATTTTCCTTGTTGAACTGAGACCCGTACACATTCAATACATTAAAAATATCAGGCTACTATAGATGAAAAAAAGTGACAAAAAGTACTTCAGTAAAATCCATTGTAGCTAAAGAAGTAGAGGTCGCCCAACTTTGTGATTGGACAATCTTGAAGTTAAAGGTTCGAAGTACCTTTTCCGCTAAATTGTGGCTCTGGGCTACGAAAGGTTTTCTTACTATTAAGTCGCAAAAAGTGCCTAAAAATCGAAAATTTGGAACTTTGACCACGGATTTCTCAAAACTTCGACGTGATGGAAAGTTTTCAAGTATGAGGTAGTAATCTACAGCTAAAATCCTTTCAGGATTGGTAGCTTTTATTCTTGGGCTTTTTTTTTGTCGACCAGTGTAATCGGCTTTAATCAAAGTTGTTTACACCGGTAAAATTTGATCAGATGGGGGAGCCATAAAATACGCGTCCGACGACGACAGCGATTTTCACTATTACGATGAAAGTTGGGACTTCAAATAAGATAAGATAATGCACATAAGTCGCGAATAAATCGAATTTGTTAACAGTACGCCAAGAATTGTCAGAAAACAATGGCAACTCACGCAGAGAAGGAATTCTACCATTTGGTACGTAAACCCGAGGATCCCACTTTAGCAGCCAAGAAAATCTGTATACGTTTACACATAATCAGAGTGCATACTTTGAAATGCGGGTGTTGTCATAGTACAAATAGTCATAGTATAATAGTATAGGCATACACCTACACCTTTTACTTTACGAGTAATTATTATTTTAACTTCCTATTTCAGATCGTCAGCGTAGCTTTAAATGGCCTCGAAGCGCCACTTAAAACCAAACATGCCCGCTCAATTATTATCATGATCCACAAGGCCAAGGAGGCCAAAACATTCTGGATGATTATTTCTCGACAGCCCTTGATGCAGAGCAGATTTACCGCCTGGAAGTTTTCGCATCTCCTACACAAAGTCTTGCGAGAGGCCCATGAAAGTTCTATAAGGCACTCGCAGAGCCACAAGAAGATGATTCTGGAAGTGGGGAAAATGTGGGGCCTCTTGCAAGACGACATTGGATGCTGCATACAGGCGTACAGTAAGCTTCTAGCCACAAAATTAAATTTCCACGACAAAAATCAAATGTTCCCCGGAAGCCTCAACATTTCGTTCACCGAGCTCTTTATTGCAGTTGACAGGGATTTAAATTACTGGTAAGCTTGGCTTTAAATGTTTATATTTTCACAATAATAACTGAGTTTACGCTTCCAGCTTTCAACTATGTGTGGAAATTTTCGACTACTTGGAGGACATCATTGCGCTGCAGCTGACAATATTTTCTTCTATGGAAAAATATAGAATGTCGTCGATGACTCCGCAAGGACAATGTAGATTAGCACCAATAGTTTGTCTTATCCAGGACTCAAATGCATTGTACGATTTAAGCGTTCGATTAATGTTTAAACTACACGATGGAGTACCATACGATGTTGTTTCCGGACACAGAGACCGTTTTCATGGTTTGTTTTTGAAGTTGAAGAGTTTTTACAATAACGTACGACCGCTACAGTATTTTAAGGACTTAATAACAGTCCCGGAATTACCGGACTCAAGTCCCAACTTTAAATCCCAGAACGATTTCACCAGTTATGTTCCGCCGGTAGTCCATGTTCCGCAGGAGCCCGATCCAGTTGTTGAGGATCTTGTGGATACTAACAATCACGAAGCGGAAGCCTTTAGTCAAGCTCAACAGCAATTGAGTATGCTGGAAGGTATTATAAGTGAAAAAGAGGCTGGCATTGAGGAACTTTCATTTAAATTGGTTAATCTACAAAAAAACTTCCATGAACTCCAACAATGCTACAAGCACGATATTCAGGAGTTGCTGCAAAACAACACTGTCCTATCAAATGATCTGGTTTTAGCGAGAGAAATGCAAAACGGCTTGAACCCAATCCTTTTACGTAAGTTTAAATTCAACAATGTAAATAGCAAAATTAAAATACTTTCCTTTAGAAAAAGCAATGGAGGAAGAAGAAAGGCATAAGCTGTCCTCGGAAAAATTCAATAAACGGAAATCGCTATACACGAAAATTCGGGAAAATTTGAGAAAGGTATGTGTTATGATAATATTTATACCCGTTACTCGTAAAGTAAAAGGGTATATTGAAGTAAGCGTTTCCGACCCTATAAAGTATATATATTATCGATTAGGATCAGGTCCGTATGAACGCTGAGATCTTGGAAATTACAAAAGCTAGAAAACTGGGATATATATTACATTCTTGGGCTTCCTACGCAGCGCAAGTTTATTTCAGCCGAGGGCCCGCCCGCTCTAACGCCCACAATCGCATACTAACGATTTTAAAATGTGTCTGGCGCCCACACCTTTAAAGATTTCCGAGAAGTATAAATGCCAATTTGCTGTGTATATTTATACCTACCGAAGTGTAGAAGAAAATTTTTAAATCGAACCATTCATTAAAAAGTTATGCGCAGTCAAAAAAATGTTTTGTATCCATCTCCCTCGCACTCCCTTTAGCTGAGTGACGGGTATTAGATAGTCGGGACAGCCGACTATAGACTATAGAGACTATGGAGTTCTCTCTTGTTTTAGTTTCCTATTTGTATAGCCATTATTTTCAGCAAAGTAATTGCAACAAATCCACCGCACCCGCCCCCACGCCCATTTCCGCGCCCACTTCCGGCTTTTGTTCCCTACAGAACTTAGGAAACACATGTTTCCTAAATGCGGTGGTTTACGCGCTGCGCAGCATCCACATGGCCACAGAAGCCATCCATAGCGCTGTGCGAATTCGGAACGAGACCAGGGTAAGGGGCGTAATGGAGGAGCTCCATGAAGCGCTCATGGAAATGCGGAAGGGTGATGCTAGGGGGAGGGCGGCGAGTCTCCGGCCGACAGCACTGCTGCAGTCGATTCAGGCGGAATGGCCCACATTCGCCCAGGGAGAGCAGCACGACGCCCACGAGCTGCTGCTCCTGATTCTTGGGCTTTTGGAAACCAAGTGAGTTTGCAATAATTAAAATTATTGTACTTTTATTGAATACAATTTCTTAATGAACATTTTCTTATATAGCAGAACGATTCCGGAAACAAATTGCTTTGAAGGTATTGAGCGTCAAACAAAAAAATGCCTAACTTGCGGTAGCCTGACCCCAACTGAGCAGAAGTTCACGGGAATGTCGATGCCATGTGTCGATCCGGTAGCGCACATCAGGGTAAAATTATTAATTAAAATATTTTATACCCGTTACTCGTAGAGTAAAAGGGTATATTGTATTCGTGCAAAAAAATGTAACATCTAGAAGGAAGCGTTTCCGACCCCATAAAGTATATATATTCTTGATCAGGGTCACTAGCTGAGTCGATATAGTCATGTCCGTCTGTCCGACTGTCTGTCTGTCCGTATGAACGCTGAGATCTCGGAAACTACAAAAGCTAGAAGATTGAGATTTTCCACACACATTCTTGGGCTTCCTACGCAGCGCAAGTTTATTTCAGCCGAGCGCCACGTCCCCTCTAACGCCCACAATCGCCCACAAACGATTTTAAAATGTGTCTGGAGCCCACACCTTTAAAGATTTCCGATAAGTATAAATGCAATTTTGTTGTGTATATTTACAACTATCGAAATGTAGAAGACATTTTTCAAATCGGACCAACCAATACGCAATCAAAAAAATGTTATATATCCATCTCATTTGCACTCCCTTTAGCCGAGTGACGGGTATTAGACAGTCGGGACACGAACCCGACTATAGCGTTCTCTCTTGTCTTTTTTATTTATTTTGTCCTTTTTTCAGGATTCGATAGCAGCCCTCAAAAAAAACCGGCTAACATGCTGTTACTGCGGAGAGTTAACAGACTCTGAGCAGCAAGTAAGCTATCCAAAGTTGCCGGAAATTCTGGTCATCCAGATTAACCGTTTTTCGGAAACGATGGAGAAGGTGCAAGACTATGTCCCGTCGCATTTCATGCTGAATTGCTTTTGCACCAGTTGCAAGGAGTCGGGAACGGATGTAGATAAACGCCAGGAGCATCATTATAACCTTCGAGCGGTAGTGGTCCACAATGGAGAACTCATTTCCAGTGGCCATTACCTGGCATACACGGCGATACCGAACGTCGATTCTGGTTCATCGAATTGCTGCGGCATGGCACCAAATGGCTTAAATGGCAGCCTCTGGCTTGAAGCCAATGATAATATCGTTAAAACAATGATGGTGGACGACGTGAGAGAAGAGCTGAGCATCCCCCACTCCATGTCCACTCCATATATTTACATATATCAACGAAATGGCCCTTCCCCTCCTCCCCCCGCCACTGCAATAACCAAGCAAAACCCGAAAAAAGACATGTTTACCAGATGCAGGTATTGCGGCAAATTATATCATTGCCGAACAATATATTCTCATATCTTGCATATGCATGAGAGACCGACGACGGCAAAATTTATCTGCAATAAGTGCGGCAAAAGATATTATTTTAAAACTTCTTTAACGCAACACATGAGTGTTGCCCATAAAACACACTTCAAGACATATACTTGCCCTCACTGCAATAAATTATACAGAAATAAAGGAAGTTTAAATGCAAGTATAATGTCCATCATAATTATTTTATTAATTATAATTTTATATTATTATATTTCAGACTCATCTTTCAAGGAAATCTTGTGCTAATTATGACGGATACGATTTATAATTATAATACTCAAATTCTTCTTCTAGCCAATCGGAGGATACATATCCTTCAAATTCCTCTTCTTCTAGGACGGATACAATTGGAAAGAGGAACAATAACTTCAGAATATACAAAAATTAAGTTATCAGGATCCCGTTAATGTCATCACAAAACTTGCCATGTAGGCAGTTTAATTTTTTTAACTCGCCATATAAATGGGAAGCTATATGAATTGTTTGGTGAACTATTTATCATATACTATTATCGTACAGAAAATGTAATTCGTAAAACTGAGTTATGACATACCATATTTGGTCTCTTACATTTTTGTGTCGAATCTGTGTTTTTGCTAAAAGCGGTAATAATACGAAAAATTATTTCGCGCCCAAAATAGTGATGTGAATGTTCCAGTTAACATCGGATCAAAAACATCGATAGGATTAGAAAATCGGCCAGCTCTAATTAGTTTTATCGATAAACGAAAACAACATTTGTTTATATGACTAATTTTAACTTACACTTGTGAATTAACACGCACACGCAGCTCCGAATGAATATGAATGTAGCCAATACGAAACCACACAATGGGAAACATTGTTGATAAGATAAGATAACTCCCGTTCCCAATGTCTTCGCTGCTCTAATGCACATATATCGCGGAGCGAATGATTCGAATTTGTTCAACAGTACGCCAAGAATTGTCAGTAAACAATGGCAACTCACGCGGAGAAGGAATTCTACCATTTGGTACGTAAACCCGAGGATCCCACTTCAGCCGCCAAGAAAATCTGTATAAGTTTACACATACACAGAGTGCATACTTTGAAATGCGGGTGTTGTCATAGTATAAATAGGCGGATACACCCACAGGCACAGGCGCCTCCAAATTTGCATAGACATTCACTTTGAGCCAGAAGTCAGCCTTGAACCAGATTCTACAGAAGAGTCCAAATATCACTGACTTTGCAACATCATAGTAACTATACATGCTAATTCAAAGTTTCTCCTTTGCTTGCGAGTGGCGGTGACCCAGAAAATTAGAAACTGCAATGAATGCTGTGTGAACTACATCCACTTTTGTTAGCCTCTCTAACAGCAAACAAAGGCGCCTCAACTTTTGTGATTACCGTTATAAATTTGAGCAAGATAAGATTTCAGAAATTTTTATTTATTCTTTTAAACCATATTGCTCTTATACGGATCAGCAAGATAATTTTCGTATTTTTAATATAGTCTTTGTTTGAGCTTCAAAATGTTCGAGCTAAAATTTCAAACATTGTTTGATAGCAGAATCAAATTGCCGATCAGTGAATCACCCCTTTCGGCTGAAATTCCAATAAAAAAGTATAGTTATCGGCCGCCAAAACCGTCCATAACTTCTGAGTCAGTCATTTCGTTAAATTTCATTAAGTGAATAGAATTACATGTTTCTTTAGATAATTCTTACTAGACTTAAGAATTGGTGATAGTATTGAGTTGAATGAGAAAATAATCTCTTTTTTAACCTCCCATTTCAGAACGTCAGCGTCTCTAAAGCTTTAAATGGCCTCGAAGCGCCACTTAAAACCAAACATGCCCGCTCTATTATTATCATGATCCACAAGGCCAAGGAGGCCAAAACATTCTGGATGGTTATTTCTCGACAGCCCTTGATGCAGAGCAGATTTACCGCCTGGAAGTTTTCGCATCTGCTACACAAAGTCTTGCGAGAGGCCCATGAAAGTTCTATAAGGCACTCGCAGAGTCACAAGAAGATGATTCTGGAGGTGGGGAAAATGTGGGGTCTCCTGCAAGACGACATTGGATGCTGCATACAGGCGTACAGTAAGCTTCTGGCCACAAAATTAAATTTCCACGACAAAAATCGAATGTTCCCGGGAACACTGAATATTTCGTTCACCGAACTCTTTATTGCAGTCGACAGAGATTTAAATTACTGGTAAGCTAGGCTTTAAATATTCAAATTTCCACAAAAATAACTAAATTTACTATTCCAGCTTTCAACTATGTGTGGAAATTTTCGACTACTTGGAGGACATCATTGCGCTGCAGCTGACAATATTTTCTTCTATGGAAAAATATAGAATGTCGTCGATGACACCGCAAGGACAATGTAGATTAGCGCCAATAGTTTGTCTTATCCAGGATTCAAATGCGTTGTACGATTTAAGCGTTCGATTAATGTTTAAACTACACGATGGAGTACCATACGATGTTGTTTCCGGACACAGAGACCGTTTTCATGGTTTGTTTTTAAAGTTGAAGAGTTTTTACAACAACGTACGACCGCTTCAGTATTTTAAGGACTTGATAACAGTCCCGGAATTACCGGACTCAAGTCCCAACTTCAAATCCCAGAATGATTTCACCAGTTATGTTCCGCCAGTAGTTCATGTTCCGGTGGAGCCCGATCCAGTTGTTGAGGATCTTGTGGATACTAACAATCACGAATCGGAAGCCTTTAGTCAAGCCCAACAGCAGTTGAGTATGCTGGAGGGTATCATAAGTGAGAAGGAGGCTGGCATTGAGGAACTTTCATTTAAATTGGTTAATCTACAAAAAAACTTCGATGAACTCCAACAAAGCTACAGACACGACATTCAGGAGTTGCAACAAAACAACACTGTCCTATCAAACGATCTGGTTTTAGCGAGAGAAATGTGCGCTACCTTCCGGATGCAAAACGATGATCTTGAGATGCAGCTTAACCAGAACCCAATCCTTTTACGTGAGTTATAATTTTACAAAGTAAGTAGCAAATTTAAAATACTTTCTTTTTTAGAAAAAGCAATGGAGGAAGAAGAAAAGCATAAGCTGTCCTCGGAAAAATTCAACAAACTCAAATCGCTATACACGAAAATTCGGGATGAGCACATACAGTTATTGAGAGAGGTATGAGTTAAAAATAATATTTATTTTACTATTTTTATAGCCTTTATTTTCAGCAAAGTGATTGCAATAAATCCCTCAATAAAGAGAAACAAGTAAACTCACAGCTCTTGTTAGAAACAAAAGAACTTACCAACGAAATTTCCAAAATTAAAGGAAACGTTGAGGAAAAAGAAAAAGTTAACTTAACTCTGCAAAAACAAATAGAGGAGCACAAGGAGAAATTAATGCAGCTCGAAGAGATCAAAAACGAAATAAAGGAGAAATTCGACGATGTTGTTAAACAAAAGGAGATTCAAGAACTTGATATTAATTCCACCTCTGAAAACTTGAGGCTAAATTGTTTAAAAATCGAGGAACTTAATGTCACTCTTAATGAAACCAAGGAAAAACTATCCAACGCCGAGAGCCAAATAAATGCAAAGAGCATAGAAACAGAAAGTATTTCTAAAGCTTTCGAAGCGGAAAAGGCATTGCTTTTAACTAAGATTGAGCAGCAAAATACCGAAAATAAAAGCAATACTGATGCTCAAAACGCTCAGCTGCAGCAAACCATAAATGACTTGGAGCAGAAAGATAAAGATTTGAATGAAACAAAGCTTAAGTTGGCCACCGCCGAAAACGAAGTTAGTTTAAAGACCACTGAAATTGAAAACAATTTAAAATCCTATGAAGCGGAAAAGGCATTGCTTTTAACTAAAATCGAGAAACTGAATGTAGAGCATAAAAATATCAGCGATGTTCAAAATGCTCAGTTACAGCAATCTCAGGAACTTGTAAATCAATTAAAGCAGGAAAATATTTCAGTGGTTCAACGTAACGATGATTTGCAAGGCAAACTGGCGAATGTAGAGGACAAACTATCCCAAGCAACGCAACAAATTGATGCCGTGACAATTTCGTATAAAACCTGTAGTACCGATTTAAGCGAACTTCGAAAATTGGTAATCAAAACTGTGAAGGAAATCTGCAACTCAAAGTTAAGCGGTTCAGAGCAACAACCTTTGGATGCGGTTCCAAACATAGTTAGTGAAATGGAAACCCTTTTAAATAAATTTAATAGCCCATCCGCTGTAAACTATGTGGCTTCAACGGAAGGAATGCAGGATGTTATGTATTTGGGCTACGTGTTTATAAAGTTATACGATCAATGTGATGTTATCTACAAAACTACCACAGCTATTGAAACGGGTCAGGGTAAGTTGATTAAACCCACATCATAAAAATTAAAAGAAATAAATAAACGTTTATTATTTTACTTTTTAGAGATTTTTACGAAAACATCGCTCATTTGTACAGACGTCTGCAAATTGTTTGAATACTTGTTGACCAATGAAACGAGAGACCAGGAAAGGCCAAACATTACAGCTGATATACAAACAAAGCTGAAAGATATACTAAAGTTAATTGAGAAAATAAAGGCCTCCTTTGAGCAAAAGATAGATTTGGACAAGCTTCTCGAAATAGAGCTTCGCGAGATGGATGCAGCTATCGATGATGCAGCCTCAAAAATAACAGATTTACTTGCCAAGGCTCGGGAGAAGGACAACAAAACCAATCTGGAGGTAAATGGAAAGATTGTGGACGCATGCACCACCTTGATGGAATGTGTCAAGGCTTTAATCCAAAAATCACGTCTTCTACAACACGAAATCGTGGCATCCCAAAAAGGTAGTTACACAATAATTTACCCAAAGAAGTTTACAAACTGGTTTTCTTTATTTCAGGAAATGCAAGTGCCAATGAGTTTTACAGGCGAAACAGTCAGTGGTCGGATGGCTTGATATCCGCTTCAAAAATGGTGGCGAAGGCAGCAAATTATTTGGTGGAAGCAGCCAACAAAGCCATTGAAAGTGAGTCTGGTAAAAACTTTGAACTGATAGTGGCTGCCCAGGAAATTGCTGCCTGCACAACACAAATGGTTATAGCGAGCAAAGTCAAAGCGGAACGTAATAGTCAAAAACTATCGGACTTAACGAAGGCGTCGCGAAGTGTAACACAGGCGACGGGAACTCTTGTTGCCACCGTTAAGGATTGCAACTCCCAGTTAGAACAGCAAAGTGAAATAGAACTGGCACAGTTAACGCCATCACAAATTAAAACAATGGAAATGGAAATACATGTAAAAGTACTCGAAACCGAACAGGCTCTTCAAATGCAGCGACTAAAACTCTCGTCGTTTCGGAAAGAGCATTACAAAAATGCCGATTATTAAATATCATATTTATAGTCCTTACTAACTTTAGAAACAATATTTTTTTTATAAATGCACGTCATGACAAATAATACCTATATGTACACTGCGGTCATTTTATCTAAAAATGTTTCCGTAATATTATTTGGTTGATGATTCCATTTTGATCACTTTTGGATCTTCGGTTTTTATTAAACCAGTTTGTTTCGAAACGCCCATTTACCTAGTATTCATAAAATATGGGTTTACAAATTCTAAAGTGTTTATTTTGCTTACTAATCGGAAAATAAAATAGCATTTATTGCCAAAGAAAATAAAATGTAAAACTTGTTGTCAAAAGGTTTTTGTTTATTATCACGAACCGACTTATTGCATTTTATAAAACGGCATGTTCACGTTCATCAAAGACACTTTTAGCGTAGTTTATCTAAAAGAAACAAATAAGAAATATATGTGATAATCATTTCAAAATTTGTAAAAGTAAATAAAGTTATATGCTAAACTGAATTAACTGAAAAATTATAATGGCTTTGCAGAAAAAATTGTATTGGAAAAGAAAAAGCAAAAGTTTCAAAATGCGCTTAACGCTGAATTTGTGCGGAGTTCTCAGGCACATGGATATAAATACATTTTTAAGGTTAACTTACGCATCGTGACGCATTCTCAGCGCATTCCTCAGATTTACAACGTATCCTGGGCCTCGTAATTTTCGGAAGATTTGTTGATATCTCAATGTAATGACTTGTCGATGAGGCCCTACTGCTGGTAGATGGTGTCGTGCCCACATTCGTTACCACAGGATGACACGATAGTATCTCACTAACATGACACTCAAACGTAATAGTTGGATTGCCGTCGCTCAATGAAAATACTCGTACATATTCGGTGGAGACTAGCAAGCGCAATCTAGCCTCCTTATCTTTCCATAGATCCGCTTCGTAAGAAATTATCTTTTCCGAAAAGTTTTTATGATTGATTAGGTAAAGGTACTGTTGTCCTTTGCTTTGTTGAGTGGAATACAAGGGCAACAGTCCGCCAGGAGCACCTGTCACGCATCTAGGAAGTCTTTTCCTGCCTATATTATTTCTCTGCGTATCCCGGCTTTTTTCTCTGACAGCACTTGCAGTTTCCGAAGCCAGGTCCAGTACACCAATGATTGGTTTGGTTACTGTGCCCACCAAACCCTTTCCCAGCCCACTTAGGAAGCCCGGTACTCCATCCGCTTGGGCACCATCGTAGGTATGTCTCACTATACTCGTTACTCCGCCCAGCAATCCGAAGCCGAGACCTTTCAGACCCGCTGCAAGGTGACCGCCGGATGTATTGGACTGGAGCTCCAAGATTCGTTGCCTCGTCTCATTGTCGTGGTCATCCAGCACCACCTTTCCCAGGCTATCGGACAGCGTTTCTGTTAGCTTTGCCGTCGAATTCGATATGCCATGCGTGACATTTTTAACCAGACTTTTGACGGAGCCCTCGAAAATCAGTCCAGATACTCCTTCAGAAAGATCGTTGGCGAATCCGAGGGGATTTCCTAGGAAGTCGACACTGCCCAAAATAGCACCCGCATGCCATTTGACCTGGTTTATGTAGTGCTTTTTCATTTCCTTTAGGTACACGTCCATCGTCTCAAAGTGCAATTTGTCGGAATACCTGTCCAGCTCAATCTGGGCATCCTCGAATTTGATTAAAGTGAGCCCAAGTGCCTTCTTCGTTTCGTGCAATTCAACTGGCAACTTGGAAGAAGTGAAAGCTGAGAGTCGAACCTTTATCGAAAAGTATTATTATTATAAGATTTATTGGATACACTTTTTACAAATTTACCTGTGTTGCGCCAATACTTAAATCCTCAAAATAGAACCTCTTCATATCCTGCAGAAATGTCTTATCCTCCGAGTTTTCAAATTGGTACTGGACACTTAGGTTCTGCCGGTTGATTTTGCCGTATCCCAAAAATGAAGCCACTTTTAGTATCAGCTTCTCCTCCAGATTCGCAGTTGAGGGTTTCAAGTCCAGCGTTAAGTATTTAAAAATTATCGCATTTTTGTTGGGACAAGGTAACATTTTCAGTTTCAGCACGACTGCCTTTTGCTTTTCGTCTTCCTTAAGCTCTTGTTCATTCGAAGTTTGCGTATGCAACGCTATTGGACTCGCCGCATCCAACAACTGATTATCGATTTGTATATACTTGATATTCAAATCTAACGAATTCTCCATCCCACTTTGCGCTATATCACAATGAATGTGATCGAGGCTTATAAACATAATTTCCTCGCAAGGCTTTCGAGCTATGATTGAAATACCGATTCCTTTAATGAGCTCTATATTAATCTGAATAGAAATCGTTTGTTAGTTTAATATGTTAGATATTGGCATAGTTTTACTTACCAGATACTCATGAACGAATGATATTTTTCCCTTATCCGTAATTTGCCTATTATTCAGAGAAGCATGCATCCACATTAAATCGGGCGTTAGGAATACTGAATTTTGTTTAATTTTAATATCACATATTTCGATCGTGGAAATCGGTCCATCCATTCTCGTTGAAAGCTCCAATTGACCCGATCCAGGCCTTAGTTTCTGAGCCACAATATGCTGGCCAATCGGTATGTATTTCTTACTCGACTGCGACTTGTTTTCAGTTCGCCCGACAACTGCTTCATAGTTGGGCTTTAGACCACTCTCCCCAAATCGCGACTAAAATTATGAATATTTAAAATGAATATTTAGAAAGAATATTTAGCAAGAATATTTAGAAAGAATATTTAGAATGAATATTTAGAATGAATATTTAGAAAGAATATTTAGAATGAATATTTAAAAAGAATTCTTAGAAAGAATATTTAGAATGAATAATATAAAGAAAGAATGTTTAGAATGAATATTTAGAAAAAATATTTAGAATGAATATTTAGAAGAAACAAGCTTACTCACCTGAACACACATATTGGCATGACACATTAACCGGCCGTTTTCGAATCTCCAGGTCTGCGTGGTAAGCCTCTGCTTATTGGGCGTTCGGACCACCAAGTTGGTAAACTCCATGGGGTTCGGAGCCTTTTCCAAGTCCAGCACAAGTCGCACTGCATTCGCATCGTTTGTTTGTATGGGAGGAGTAGATCCTTCGTGCTCCAACTGACCATTCGAGTTCATGAGCCACAACTGGGAGCGATCACCCGAGTTCTTCTCCACTATCACAACTTTCTTACCACGTACGCCCAAAACCAAATGTCTGTGCGTGCTTTCCTCCTCATTCGATCGCTCAAAGGTGCCATGAAATGCAATGTAAATAAAGTTGGTGTACGTTAACGTTTTCTTTATATCTTTAGTGTTGTTGATCGGAAACTCTATCATATTTCCTCCGGGTGCCTCCATCAACAGAGTCTGCGCACCCAGGGGATCATCCAAGACATAGGACAGGGAGGATTGTGGTCTAACTGGCGTAATCCAAACGGGCTTGGATCGCAGCTGTGAGAAATTGATCACAACTTCCGAGCAATTATCAATTCGAATCGGCGGTGGTAGAGTTCGAGCGTCCGTAAATAAAAGTATAAAGGTAGCATCTTTTGAGATGATTTCCAATCGAAGGAAAAACATTTCGCCCCATTCATTTCGCACATTGATATACAAACTTTGCACATCATTGATGGGAATTCCCTTTGACCAACAGCAGCACTCTATCTCCGGAATTCGTACGCAAATAATCTGCTCCTGATCCCAGTTTGGCCAATGGAAAGCGAAGTTGCAGTCAATAGGTGCTGAAATAATTTTACGCGGATCGGGACGGTCCTGAAATAATAATTAAAGATTGCTGGTAACTTTATATTGACTTACATATTAGTATTCGAACTTACATAGTTGACAATATCGCAGAGTTGCATAAACTCCAGCTTATAGCCACTTCGATTGTGCAAATGGAATCTGGGTGACAAAGTTACGAAGGTCGTGCAAGCATATAATCCCCTTCCCCTTCTAACGCTAATACCAATTGCATAGCTTCCCCTTGTATTCTCCGCTCTTAATTCCCGGTGAGCCAGGTCCTTATGCGTGCTAAAGCTTTTGCACCACTGAAAGGTAAGTGATATAATATAAATAATTCATAGCTCCAGTTAAACATACCGCATTGTTAGAGCCAAAGGCATTGCCCAATCGCAACTCCAGGGCTGGTGAACCTTCCTGATCGGAAAACGAAAACATCAGAGGTGCCACTTGTCGCGCAGTTTCATGCTCCTCAAACTGTCCTGCCGCTGTGTTATTGGTTCCCTCTTGTTTATAAATCAGCGGCAGACCCGTTTTGTTGATTATCCAAACGGGAGCACTGATATATAGTTCCATTCCCTTCCCTTGGACCGATTGTATGGATACGCGCAGGTGCAGTTCCCGCTTTTTATTGTCAAACAACTTCAGTTTGGGCTCGATAACACCCTTATGGCTCACGGGAATCTTAAGTTGGCCAGAGAGTTGGAAGTTGTCCAGCGTGATGCTCAGGATGAGGGGCTGGCAAATGTTAACGTTGTAGATGTTTGTGCTCTCCGACGAGTTTATTCTTCCGGTGGCATGCTCATGGATCTTGAACATCAAATCGCAACAGAGCATATTGTTGATCTTTAACGGTGGCAACAGAGTGATCTTGTGCCCCGGTAAGTTTTGCTCCTTAAAGTGATAAATTTCCCTGCTTATGTTTACTAGTGTGTACAATATACTCTTGGTGTTGTCATAGCCAGCGAGGAGCTGTCGATTGTCCTCTTTGCCGCAGGCTTTCCACAAAATCTCGTCATTACTAAAACCCGTATCCTCATAAGCCTCGCTTTCACTTGTATTGTGTGCTACATGCAACGATGCATCGATGAACTTCAGCGGCAAAGATAATTCCTCGTTGGGTTTTATTACACTAATTGAGGTAAGCCCATCACTGTGGGTGCTTTTCAAGGACATTTTCAGAAATACGTTCCGATCCATTTTGTTTATCACTCCCAAGGAGGACTTTACTTTGATCAGCTTCTGGGCCGATCCAATCAGGGAAATATCGAATACTATTCGGCTTTTAGTCGAGAACTGCGAATCTAACGTAGTGGTTCGGAAAAACATTCCAACTTTGTCCACCGATATTGGTCCAATCAATGTCCAGCCATGGATTTGTACAAAGATCTGGTGCAAATTCAATTGGTGCGAGTGTACGTGTCTCAGTTTACTCTTCTGGCTAAAATCAAAGGTTTTCGTTTCGTTGGGCTGCACAGAATACCAATTCTTTATCAGCTCAAACTGCTGTAAGTCGGAACACGTTAGATCTCCAAGCGGAGCATAGATCGGCTTGAAGAGAAGAGGTGTTCCGCTGAGATTCTGCAGGGCGAACGGAATAAACGGGGAGCGTTGTCTAAAGTTCTTGGCTACATTGTCATTGAAGTCGTTCGTCCAGTTCTTCAGAACCATGTTGAAAAGTTCTATAAATGTGGAGGTAACATTTAGCTTGAGCATCTGCTTGCTGGAAATCTCAGTCTCGAATCGTTTTTTACTATCCAAGTGACCCTTGATGTACTTCCATTTTAGGTTAGACTCCCACGTCTCCGCCACCGGTTCCCATCCGCTAAGACGACGATTGTAGTAGTTCACGGAGGCTTCCGTTTCAATGCTACCCGAGCTGTAGTGTCGAATGTTGGTCGCCTTGGGTTCGGGATCCTGGGTTTTGAAAGTAAAGTTCAGCAGGAACTTGGAGAGGGAAACTTCCAGCAATGGCACATCGGCATCCATACAGTCGTCAATTATAAACACCGATATCAGACTGGCGTCCACCACAGCGGTTTTCATTTCCAGGGCGGGATTTCGATAGGTATTCTGCTTTTGCTGCGACAGCCAAAGTGCTGCATCGTTGATCCGCCAGTTATTCACTTGCATGGCATACAGACAGTCGGAAAGCTCAAAACCCATTGCTACGAGGGGAGCTACTTTCTCTAGATCTGAGTAAGCCTTTGAAATAACATTCTTTGATCGCGATGTTTGCGTGGGCAACAGTCGAGCCATTCGCGAAAATAATTTAACATCCACATAGGACAGCCGAATGTTTAAATGTTTTTGAATAAGAATATTCAAGCAATTACTCCGTAGCTCTATGTTCAAAGTAAACGGATCGATAATGGACAAAGCGCTCTCTTCTTCGGCGTCTAGGGTGCAGGAAAATATTTCCAAATGGTTAATGTCCAGGGATATAGGCACAATATTACTGTTCGGTTTGTAACAAACGACCGTTGTACTCTTCAAAATTATTGCATTCGAATCCAGTCGACTGCATTCCTCTGCGAAAATAATTTCAGAGTCTGTAATATTCACAACGTATTCAGTGGAAACGCTGTTGTCCATCTGAGGCTTTTGCGGAATCTGATTATTTACAACGGGTGCCGGTGAGTCCTCCTGCAAATATGATTTTAATTGGTCCAGAAAACTGAGCAGGGCAAACACTCTCATATTATTCAGCATTATTGTGTACTTGCAAAAATTAGCTTTTTTCCTGCAATGGATTTCAACCTGCACGGAATTCTCGACTCGCACCTCTTTTTTCGATGGTTCCAATATGTTTTTAAACACGTTTTCATTGCTTTTATCGGGTTCATTCCTTTCATCAACAATTAGAATATTGCTGGATATTAAATCAATGTCTTGTGCACCGTCGCTAAAAAGGTCAATATCCAGAGTGGACTTCAGGAAGTGGATGCAAGCCAAAGGTTCTATTACAGCACTTTGCGAAGTATTTAAAGCGAGGAGTAGTGACACGTCTTCTAGTAGAATTCTTATTGATATTAAAATAGATACAGTTTTAGAAACTTCACTTTTCGGCAACAGATTAATTGTCGATAGCCTTTCAATGGATGTACAACTGTTATTATGGTAATTCATGTAAATGTCATCCGTTTGCTCTCCAATATTGTTGTTCAGAAAACTTCGAATTAATTTGTATTGCTGAATATTGATCATACCATTCAATTTGGAGAACGTCCCTTGAACGCTGATGTCTGGACAGACACGATGAATATCCGCCGAAAGATTTCGCTCCAATTGCAGGTGAAGAAAACACGACTCATTAAAGAATGGTTGTCCCAATCTTAAGAAGTTCATATCAGCGATCACAATTCGATCCTTGTCCTGATCAACTTTGGCTTTCATTGAGCTCCTTTCGCCGGAAAATAAGTTTATATTGACCAGGTCTATTCGCATTACATCCAGGATTTCGCTTTTACTTGGCGTTGCACTCATTTTGCTTATTATATTCTCGTCACTGGCAAAATGGAAACTATTTCTCAAGGTAAATTGGCCAAGGTAAGCGATTATTACTTCGTTTCTGTTATAGGAAGACGGAAGTACAATTACTGGAGAATCCGCTTGGATCACGAGCTTCATTTTTGATGGACGCATATTCTGTTCGTTTCCATGACTCTGCTTCTTTAATTTTCTTATTACAGGCTGTTCAAATATAGAAATAAATTAAAATAAATTGAAAACAAGTAAAGATTTTTAAATATTACCGTTTGCAATTGCAGCAAATCTTTAACAAAAACATGCAATTCGGTGGAAAAACGTTTGGTGTGAATATAATGAACGGCAGACATGTTAATTCGTAGGGTTGAGTCGGTGTCCAAAGTGTTTAATGCTTCTAAATCGACCAGTTTTCTAAGAATATAATATAAGAATATATATAATATAAGAATATAATATGCTATGGAAAGAAAATAACAGAAAACTTACTTTTTATAAACAAAATTTAAAGCTTCTGAACCACTTGTAAGAAACTTTTGCTTATAAATGTTTCCATATTTTGTTAGATCATAAACAGACACGGATCCTAAGCAGCCTTCAACGATTTTGGAAAAGGGGTCCTGAAGAATCATGAAAACAGCATTTGACACATTTACTCTAGATAAGAGAGACTCATTTCGAATTAAAGTAAAGTTGAAGCTTCTTATTGACACTTTCAGTTTACTACAAAACTCGTCAATATCTGAAATAAATAATATTAGAAATAATCAGGATAATTTACTAATGGTTACTTACGTTTTTCAACAAGTTTCTTCTCTTCTGTGTACTTTTCATTGAAGTTGTCTACAGAAACAAGGCCGAAAAAGTCGAATATTGTATACCAGCGTTCCACGCATATAGCCAAATTCAAGCAATTAAATTGAATTGAACTGGACTGCTCCAGTTTACCCTTTTGAGCAGATCGTCCTGTATGTGACTTGTAAATAACTAATGTTTGACTCTCCTTTTTTCTGCCCAATTCACTTTTCTTGCAAGATGTAAACTTTTTGTCTCCGCTAAACACTTTGACCTGCATGTAGTTGTAGAAGCAGGAAGGAACGGAATTAGATCTACTTTTTAAGGAATTACAAAAGCTTGGTAAATCGGGACACGAAGATGATGTCATTTCGTTTTTTTTAATGTTCTTTTCCAGATCAATTGAAGTCACCATATTTCTGAACGGTGATGCAAGATCCGATTTCAAGTCCTCCATTAACACAGACTTTAACACCACCTCCACATCTTTGTCAAATCCTTTGGCAATATGCTTTACATTAAAGTCTTTGAATGTTAAATTAATCAAATCGTTGTGGTATTCATTCTGAAGGTTAATTTGAAATACAGGCACTGAGAACTGAATGATCGTGCTAATAATGGGTTCATCATCAATACTCAAAGTTGGTTCACTAACTCCGTTTTGATCAAGATCTTCAGAGTCACTCAAAAGTCCATTTGAGAAATTAGTCGCATACCGAATGCACTCCAAAAGTAGCTCATATTGTTTTCGGTTTAGGGATACTTTCAGGGCTTCAACCATACTTCCTATTACCTGTATTTTTTAATAAAGATTTAGAGTAGTCAAGAAATTAAAAAAATGTGTACAAATAAAACTACTTACGGACAAACTATTAAGTTTCTTTTCTTCACCATTATCTTCACCATATCCCGCATAAAGTTGTAAAGTAATTGCTGTGTCATGCAAAATTGGAATTGCATCCTTATTTTTAGCAGGATGAACGTTGAAACTATAGTCGCGTTCATCAATGTTCAATGAGTAAACGTAAGTGTTTTTGATTTCAATTGTATACGATTCATTATACTCATCCGAATCGCATTTAACTGCATTTGAGCAACTGATTTTTCCCAAATTTGCAATTAATACATTTGTACTCGCATTGGAAATCGGCAGAATAATTATTGGACTACTAATTATAATATCTAACCTGAAAATATAAATATGTTAATTCTTAAATTCGTATATTAAAAAGTGTAATTAAGTTTACCAATTGTCCTGCTGATTTCGCTGGGGGTAAACTGGTCCGATTTGCTCGACAGCCCTAACCTGTTGCACAAACTCCTTCGCCATATCTGTAGCTTTATTACCAATGGAGGTAGCAAATTCTCTGCAAACATTTAAAAATCCTTTTGAGATGCATTACTAGGAAAAGACTTTAAACTTACCGCAGGCTCCGCTTGAAATACGTAATGCAAGCGTTCACATCCCGTAAAAATCTGGGACAGTGAGTATATGAAGCCGAGGCCATTCGCATTTGGAAAGTGCAGGTAGTTTTATCACTCCAATGACTTTGAAAACTAATTGCATCACTTTCGTCGCTTTTTTCTTCATTGTAATTATTCGAGTATATTTCATTGGAAAGCTGACTGAGAACCGTTTGTTTATTTGTGTCGGAGGCTCTCAAAATTTGATCACGACCAACAGAAAGTATCCTCGGATGGCAGAAGGCTTCTGATGTTATGTCGATAACTTGTATTCCGCCAAGAGATCCGAAAATCGAGAGATCCGATTGAAAAGAGGCATTGATTTTCGCTTCCGTCAACGTAACAGTTCCAACTTTTCGACCAACATTAAATTTGTCTCTCTTGATGGTGTACAAAAGTAAGATATTTAATCGGAAAAAGTCAAAGAATATTTCATTATGATTTTTACTATCGACTTGGTCATCCAATTCTATGGGCACTTCAGTCGATTCTTTGGTTGGTAATTGGCTTTCATTTTGAAATATATTTTGCGCCAAAAGAGTCCGTTTTGCGAAGTTGAGAATTTCAAGAATAGTATCCTGATTAGCTGATTAAAAATGTTGAAAAATAATCTATCTGATGTTGATGAAAACCAAAAATATAAATACCAATTATGTCCAAATTGTTAAACGTGATGTTAGTAGTGTGATGTTGCATTGAATTGCTTTCATTGGGTTGAACAATTTTAATGTCCACCGATATAAGCGCCGTTGAGTCCTCATCCTCGCAGAATTCAGTTGATCTATCTCCTAAAAATGCATTATCATAAAAGATTAAAAATATCTAGTTAAATGTTGGCTAAATATTATGGTAAGGCCAATTATTGATTAGCAAATTCAAATTGTTAATATGCACTTAGCTCGCATTATAAATAAAAAACCAGCATCCTCTTCTTATATTGTACATACCCATCTTAATATTTTGTACTGCTTTTGTAATCATGTGCGGACTAGTAGCCCTATCAAAAAAATTTGGCGATCCAGGCGAAGTTGGCGAAACAATTGCACTATGTTTTAGGCTGCCGGATAAACTATCCATTCTATAAAATGCATAAATATTTTTGAAAACAGGTTTGATTATTTTAAATTTGGTATGAAAATATTCAATGCACAGACAAATATTCAAAATATTCAATGCAGAAAACATTATTTAAATAGTATGTATTTTTAAAAAAATATAAAAAGTAGTACACTTCTTTCTTTAGTCTTATTGAGCACAGCTTATAAAAAGCATTCTAAAAAGCGTTTGCTTTGGTTTTTAAGGATGTACATACCCGACATGTCGATGACTCGCCACTAATAATTCAAAGTCAGGACCAAAAGACTGAATGGCATCTACTAAGAGCAAACTATGAACCGACATGGAAATATTCATCTCCTTCGATTCTTTTGTTAGGCCCGCTCGTGCTCCGATAATTTGTAGCTCAGCAATACTTCTGTCTGTCGATTGCATTTCTATCACCAGGTGGTCCATTACAAACTCAATGACGACTCGACTTCTGTCGTCCTCTGCCAAATTTTTGATCCTCTCACTCGCGTAAATGGTGTTGCTTCCTCTGTAAATGTTTTCCATTTCCTTTGAGGCTTTTATGATGGGTTTCATAATGTTGCAACAGTTATTTATGAGCTCTTCATTCCCATGGATTAATATTGCTGGACAGGTGCCAACGAGCACAAATGAAGGATATTCCGGATCAACAGTGAATATATTTCTCTGTTCCAGAGTAAGGCTTATGTTAAACTTATCAATTAGGTGAAAGTTTGACGATGTTTTCAAGCAAGCTTGCCATCTTTCCTCGTACTTGCAAACCAGAACTTGAAGGTTTGTGAAATTGATCAGATATTTATCGTAAATCTTATTGTGCAGAACGTACTCCAATTGAACGTTTTTGTTCAGAAAGCTTTCCGTTTTGGGATTTTCAAGAAGAGTCGGAGATTCAGAACCACTTTTTTCTGATGCGGGTGGTGTCGAGCATGGAGTCAAATAGGTTTCATCATCATCACTTGTATTTTCCGTTACAGCCGATTCTATCACAGGTATGACTCTCTTAACCTCCATTTTTCTCATTTCCAGCTTTCCGAAGTCCAGCAAGACCATTTGCGAATTACTAACTTTGTAATTTTCCAAGAAAATTATACGTGGTGCAAATATTTCGATTTCAAACATCCAAATCTTGCGGTTCACCTAAAACAGGAAAGTCATTAGGATAGTAAACAGGAATATTTAGAAAGATTTACTCACCTCATTGCCACTGAACATTTGATTCCAGTTTTTCATAAAGTCCGTTTTCTTCTCGACTCTATTGCGCGTTGAGTATTTATTGGTGTTTGAATCAGCTAAAAAATCTAAAAGCCACTGAATTGCATCCTCATTATATATAAGATCCAAACCTTTTGATTTGATATTGAGCTGAAATCGTAATTGATTACAATTTTCGTATTGTAATTGGAATAGGGTATCTTCCTGTAGCGCATTCTTAACTACTTGGTTTGGTGTAGCTGTATTCCCTGTTTGTGGCTTGATTAAATAGTTGTGCATTGTCTCACTACTGGTTTTATCTATTAAATAAACTTCTTGCAAAGATATGCCCACAGTATAAGAAGTTAACTGTGGGCTCAACTGGAGGGAGGCAGAGAAGTTATTTAATTGCATTTCCATTGATTTACTTCGGCCATCACTTAGTTTTTCTTCGGTCTGAAGGATTACTGAACCTTTGAGTAGCTTGATTGAAAAGTGCCCAAAAACAGCATCGCTTTTTAGATCCGAAGAGTTCTGAAGTGAGTTTTCCAAGGCAACTAGAATATCGTCTTCCAAATGTTTCAGCGATTCATCCTGTTCGTTATTAGGCGTAGTGGGGCTGTTGGCATACCAGCCCATCCAGTTGGGAAACCAGTGAAAAAGCATATTCTTTCCTTGCTCGTTCTGTGACTCAAAGGAGAAACCTTTTGTGAACACTTTTTCGAAACATATTCTTCTCATTATGGTTAAATCCGAGATGTCTCGGTCGCTTTCAATGTAAGTTTTGAACTCTTTATCTGCGTTGGACAGATTTTCGTTTGGATTCAAAATAATCGTTTTATAGAGTAGCATATAGCGAAGATTGTCCTTGAGAATTTGCCATTTTTCTTCATTCTTTTTAAAGTCAAAACCATGACAAACGGTAGCATATTTCCACCACGAACTTGGATTGCTTTCCACGCTACAATTTGGCCGTTTTAACCTGTATTGCCGAACTTCCTTCACTTGTCGGATTTCCGAGAGCTTATCTAACATCTGTAGCCTCTGGACCTGGAGAATAAACATAAATATGTAAAAGCATTATAATAAATATATGGAATGATAGGAAAGTTTTGATGCTTATCTAATTGGGGTACGTTAATTTTAAGGCTTGGTTACATAGGAAGTAATCAGTTTGGGCTGTACAAAGTTTTATTACATAGTAAATAAATAATTTCTCTGTAAAGTCAAAGTTCATTCGAATCATTCAATTTTTGTTTAATCATGCCATGAAATTTCTGATTTGTTTAATTCAATTCTATGTGAAATAAATTGAGTGTTTTTCTAATTCATTCCGAATTGAATGAATTAATAAATAATTTTGATAAATTTTTTGAATTTGCCAGATTTTTTTGAGCTTTCTTTTGAGAACAAAAAGTTAACTGCATAGTAAATAAAATTCTGGCAGATTTAATTACAAAATTATGGCCCTTTCTTCTTCAAAAGAAATTTTCGTTTGAATTATTTCGGAATTCATGCCATTCATTCATTCAATTCTATTAAACTCATAATTCAAATTCATTCAATTCTATTAAACTCAAAATTCTAATTAATTCATTCATTCATGCAGGGCTCTAGTTCAAAAGTATTAAAAGTATGAACTTTGGACCTCGCAAAATAAATACTTCTCTTTAAAAAGTCGACTCCACAACTCACCTTGGATATGTCTATGACCACCTCGGGAACCAGGAGATCACAGGAGACTCTGGGCTTGTCTTTGGTACGTATCACCTGTAGGCACTTGTCGCGCTTCCACTTGGCCGTTGCGCAAATGGGCTTGATAATGAAGTTGTGGGGCCTCAGCTCGCAGGTCGAGTGAAGCTTCTCGAGGATCTCCTGGTTGGAGTACGACTGACATTTGATGTCCTCGTGCAGCAGATCCCAGTAGACGGAGAGCTCTTTGAGCTCCACCAGCTTGTAGTTCATTTCGTTGTTGGTCACCTTGTACGACCCGTTGGTCCAATCACAGTCGCAGCTCTGGGCGGTCAGGGAACCGATCTTGATGCCCGTGCATATCCGGCTCTTCCCGGTGTCCACGATGTCCTCGAATCGAAAGTGCACATCGGATATCTTGAGTTCGATGTTGTCGATGATGTTGGTGGCCATGTTAGTGCCGTACTTGAGCCAATTGTTGTAGGACGAGAAGTAGTAGGACTCCATTTGCTTGCCCTTTTCGGACCGCCATCCTGCCTCGGCGGCGTCCAGCACCGCCAGCTTGTACTCCAGATCCTGGACCTTCTCCTTCTCGTAGTCCCAGCTGTCCAGGTTCTTGGGGCAAATGATGCAGAACAGCCCCTCGATGGAGATGCACCAGGGCGAAGTCCTAAACTGGCGGACCGGAACCTGGAGTTTGATTTTGCGTATGCTGCCGGCGGTGACTTCGACCGGCAGATTGAACGAGCGGAGGGCATCTTTGCGAATGGGTATGTTCTCGAGCTCCACCTCGCCTGCGGGAAAAGATATCGTACTGCATATTCGATGCGGAATAAAGATAAACAATTATATCACATTACCCGACAGCAGGGCCACCGACAACTGGGCGGAATTCAAGTTCTCCAGATACTTTCCAAGATACGTATTCAACACCCACGTTATGAGGTCTCGTAACATGCTTGTTTATTTACCACAAACGCCTAATCCTATTAAATATTTGTTTTTAACTTCTTTCCTCGGAACCAAAACTATAAACATATGATTGGGGCCTATCTACACCGCATAAATATTGCCGAGTCATGGAACGCGGAATGGGAACAGGTTGCGGAAATGGATAAGGTATGAGTAAACAGGTGTTTTAAATATTTAACAAAATATTTATTAAAATACACAACAATTTTCATCAAATTGGGAGTTTTTATTTTACAATTTTCTTAATTTTTCCTGTTTTCTGAAAAAGAAGTATTTTATCTGTCCTGTCCAATTTTATCGGTCCAAGTACCATCACTATTGAAAGTCAAAAACTTCAATTATTTTGTTTTCCCGAGACATTCGTATTTTTTATTGAAATGGCCGATCCCAACGTACCCAGAGGACCTGCAAGCTTGCAGGTATTTCAATTGGATACATATCTATTTAAAAATCATTAATATAACTCTTTTCTATAGAATGTCCTTAAATACGCGGTGAAACACCACGATCCGGAGGTTGAAGTTCCAAAATTGGACGAAACTACAGATGCTGAGGTTTGTTAACATTTTGAGCTTTAATTATAATTATAATTAAGTTCATCGCTGCTACTAAAATTTTATGGGAGTATAGTAACTTGGCAAAAAACTATAATCATGACCTAAGCAGTGAATCAGTCGAATCATCTGGAACTTATTTGTCCATGTGCTTCTCTCAGGTGGGATTTTATTATTTGAGGGTATTTCTTTCTGATTAACCAAAGTATTTGAAAAAAGTGTTTTGTTTTTTATTATTTATTATTATTTTATTTTTTTTTTAGCATTTATTAAAGCTGCCATCTCTTTGTTGACATTTTAATCATATAAAAAAAAATTTAATTCATGTAAACCATATTCTAATTATTAATAAACCAAGTTAGTTAGTTCTAGTTAATAATAAACTCTAATATAAGTAGGGACCTACATATTTTCATTATTCTTAATATTGTTTTTGTGACTAGTGCATTAATTTATAAGGAAATCCTTGTAGCACCAGGAAATAAAAAAGAAAACAATAGATAAAATAAACCAATATATTTTTCAACTCATCCAACATTCTTATGTTTTTCCAGAGAACTCAATTTTTGGCCGATGCATTGAATGCCATGCAAGTGGATACTTCGGCGGCGCTGAAAGCAGCCCTAGTCATTTTGAACAGTGAAGAGGCCAGCACAGATGACCAGATAGAAAGCTTTGATGTCATAAGGAGCCACATCGACGATATCGACAATGCCATTTCCCTGGTGAAGCTGGGCGGAACGACAACACTACTTCGCTATATAACGAGTGATGCGGATAGCGAAGTTCGAGCTTTGGCACTCAATACGGTCGCCGAGGTGGGACAAAATAATGTATTTTGTCAAAACGCCCTGGTAGAAGATAAAATCCTACCCGTTCTGATAAAAAACTTGAGTGATTCCGATCAAAACATAGTACGGTGTTCCTTGTATGCAATATCCTCGCTCGTCCGGAACTTCCTGCCTGGATATAATGAATTTAAGAGAATAAAGGGTATCAGGGCTTTGATACCCTGTCTGAAATCAACAAATTTAAGCGTCTACGTAAAGGCTGCTTTCCTTATTGCATCCTTAACGTCAGTCGATCAGGCTATCAGAGGTATTTGTGAATTATTTTTATTATCATCTAATCACATCTAATCTTAATCGTTGATTTTACCTTGCAGATGATTTTGTCAAGGAGGAAGTGTTTCCTATTCTAGTGGATAACCTAGCCACCGTTGACGACTTTGATATCAAACAAGAGGCTACTCTTTTCGCACTATCGTCACTTTCACTGAAATCAGACTTGAAACTTTCTACGGACAAACGCGAGGAAATCCTGTCAACGCTCCAGCAAATGATTTCCAAAAACAAACAGTCGGAAAATTGCGAAGTAAGGTTTTAATTTATCTAACGCTATATATCATATTTCATACCTACTTTATTTACAGGACATGGTTAACCATGCAAGAACTATTGTGGACAACTTAAATGCACATTAAGGGTTAAAACAAATAATTTTGTTCACATTAATTGTAAGCTAAATAAAAAATTGTTTTCAGTATATATCTAATTTACAAAACTTTTAGGGAAACACATTGCTGTGTTTTTAATTTTGTAACAATTTATTAATTTCAATTTGTCAGTTATGTTGGCAATGTGTCAAAATCTTCTCCGACTGAAACGATCGGAACGTGTTCCAAATTAACTTCAATCGGATTGTCGCAGAGCCTATTCCGTTTCGCAAATATATTCCAATCCATGACCTGAACGGCATGCAGACTTTCAGCCTCGTTGTGATGCCGCAACACCATGGATTCCTAGATGAAATAATAACAATAAATAATCTCAATGAAAATATATTCTGTTGGTAAACAAACCTTAATTTTCTCCCACTTATCATCGACGTCTTGCAACCAGCTGAGTAGCAATCGTCCATTAAATCGGCAGCGAGCGCTCTTCTCCTTTTCGTCCTGCTCTGGTGTGATCAAGTTGTAAACCTCGTCGTCCTTTAGGTATGTGCAAACGGAATAGGGAGCCGGCTGGCCAGATATGCTCCTGGCAGCCTTCGAGTGAACTCGTATTATCTCCTGCTCAACGTTCATGCATAGCTTCTCCCGCTCCACGGTGTGCGCTTGGATCAAGTTGCGTCTGGCCTTCTCCTGGTCCTGATAGATCCTTTCCATGGCCTGCGGCACAGTGTGAGGAATATCTGGCGTTGAAGTTTCCGCATTGCGACTTAATAAATACGATTTCTTCGTCAGCAGATAGTCGTTGTAGCCCTGCGGAGGTCTGGGCTTCACCGGATACAGGCTCTTCCACTTCTTTTCGATCTGACGCCGGATGCTCAAGAACATCTGAAAGCCATTGGTGAACGGATGGTCGTGGGGGTGGGATTCTTCGGAATTCACTCCCGAATCGGCGGCATTTGAATTCTTCGAACTGTCGTCGGTGTTCTTCGGCCGGATCTTTCGCTTCCGCGGATGGAGATCCACGTTGGAGGGATTTATCTCCTTCGAAGACGAAGTCGACGACGTCGAAGGGCTGGGAACATTGGCGATTGTCTCCTGGTCAAACTGATGGCCATGCGGTAGCGGACTAGAAGTCATGTTGCCATAGGGTAGCTTCACATCCGCTGGATCGTTGGCATGATTGGATGAGGCCGGCGATGGGGAACTGCTCTGCATTTGCGGGGAGGAGTTATTGGAACTGCGCTCCAGACTGGTGACTCCAGTGCGATGAGAGCTCCGCAGAACCCTCAGATTCTTCTCGTCATTGAAGAGCTTCACGTTCTTGTCGTCCAGGTTGGCGGAGCAAATGCTGTTGCTCTTCTGGGGACTCTCGTGTGGACTATTCGATTGATTGGTTATAACCGTGTCGATGGAATCGCTGTTGGAGCTAACCACATAGGGCAGGGCCGCATTGCGGGAGGCCGTCACCTTGCCGGTCCTCAGCACATTGCCCTCGGTGTCGATGGAGCAGTTCTGTTGCGGGATCACAATCTTCAGTGGCGGCACCTTGAGTCCTCCGTTGTACAGGCTGTCGTTGCTCTTGTAATCATCGCTGCACTCGGTTTCGTTCTCGATATCCACATTTTTGCTTATCTCCGCCTGCTCCTTTTCGGCACTCGAGGCGCTACTTTTGTTTCCCGAAGGGGATCCCTTCGTCGTCGCTAGCTTGGAGCCTTTTTCGACCCTGGAGGCGAGTTTCAAGGAGGCCCCTTTCAAGTCCTTGCCATGCTCCGAGTCCTTGCGCTTCTTTTTCTTCACGTCCTCGCCAGATTCCTCGTAATCCTCCTCTATGTCTGAGTAACAACGCTTGGCCGCCGAGGTTCCCTGATGATTCGAGTCGCTGTTTTTACCATCGTTGCTGCTTTCCTCCGCTGAAGACTTGTCTTTGGCGTCCAGGACCTCTGGCTTCTCGTTCAGGCAGCTCTCGTCAGTCTCTGCGTCTCCTTTCTTGCATTCATTCTTCTTTAAGTTGGGGCGGGATGAGTCTGCAAGGACGAGAATCTTATACAATACATTTGATGGCTGTGTGATTTAGTTTGGAGCAATATAAAGTTAATAAAAACGGGATCATTTTTAAATTTTCTAATAGAAATAGCACATTTTTACCTATTTTATATTTATCTACTTTTAGTTATTGTACTAAAAATTTAAATATTACATTTTGAAGATTCGAAACCAGTTTTTCGGCTACCTTACTTTATTCCTGTTTTACGTGCGTAGAGAATCAGATACATTTATGTACATATGTAGAAGGTGTAGTACCATTTTTATATGTATGTATGTAGCTGAATTCCCACGGCATGAATTGCAATTTTGGAAGCAAACTTAAAAAGTCCATGCCAATGCGGGGCATTCTAACTAATCCTTATTTTATGGACTTAAAACACATGCGAAAAACAAAGCGTTTCTCTTTACTTTTCGTATATTTACCTGTCGATGCTGAAGTCATTTGAATAAGGAGAGCCATTTGTTGCCTTTCAGACATGGGCGTGTTTGAGTTCGATCTAGGTTGGGTAGCTCCTGTATTAAATCCTGTCCCCTTCGGTCTTGGGGGTGGCATACTCTTTTGTTCGGTTTGTAAAAATTAAAATATAGAACAAAAACAGAGACTTGTAAAAGTCTTACAAAATTTAATACAAAAAGAATAGTAGGACCGTCTCTTGAATGCAAAATTATGCCGGCTTGCGAATATAATAAGTAATGTCTTTTAAAATGTTATAAATTTAAAACAATTAAATTAAAAAATATACTTATGTATTTTAAATTTCATTTTTTTTACTTAGTGAATTTAATTAATACCTCCACTTCCGTTGCCGTTTTTAAACATTATATTAATGTCTATGTTTGTTCTAAGGATCATGATTGATATATTTTAAAACTATTTTTTATGGTTAGTATTTCTTGCTTCTTTACATTAATTACTTAAGTTTTTTAATTAGTTCTGTATTTTATAATATATTTATTTTGTTGTTTATATAGTAGGGTGGTCGATTCCACTTTGTTCCACCTCTTGGTGTGACCACTGGGTAATCTGCTATAAATACCAAACCGTAAAAAATCATCTCAACGCCCCGGCTACGGTCACTCTCGGTTTTATTTTAGAAGTGTTGCAGTGTAAGTTATTTTTATAAAAAATCGTTGTTAAATTCGGATTTTTAAGGAGTTTGTACAGTTATACAGCTGGTAACAGACAAATAGTTTTAAGGGCTCTGCAAGATAATTTGCATGGCAATTGCAACTGGATTTTGTAAGCAAAATTCTGTTCACGCACACAGAAACATATGTACTTGTGCGTATGTGTGTATGTTGCAAGTAAATATAACCACGGCTGCCACTTGAAGAAAAGTTTGTGCTGGAAAATATGATCCATTTAACATAAATAATTGAGTCCGATTGGAAAAGTACCCTATCTGCGTCTCGTGTGGCCAAAACAAACACAAATTAGGGGGCCTTTTGCCGCCCACTTCTCCCTTCTTATGACGAATTTGGAATCGAATGTCTAGTGCACCGAAACTTTATGTTTATGTATTAATGGATTTAATGTACATAAAGTGACTCACTTTTTTAATACGCTGGAATAGAGTGAGCTAGTCGAGGGTGTTGTAACCCCATTTGTAATATTATTGCCCACTGCTTGGAGCTTTTCCGGCTGAAAAAGGCAGAAACTTTGTTGATCTTGATAAAGAATCGAGTGATCCCGTCATATTCGACCCACAATCTCTTTTTACGCAATCTTAATTTCCAATTCGAAAGGCGTGTGACGAAAGACAAAGATAATGGAATAATGCCATATAATAGCAGTATTTAGTTGTAGACTATTTTTGTGATAATATTTGCAACAAGTCTATTAGGGTATTAATAGCTTCGGTCTGTAAAGACGAAACTCCTTGGTGTTGATGTAAGCAGCTATTTTTCGCTCTTTGTTTTTTGTTTATTGCATGACGCCAAGTGTAATTAACTTTCGCCGCAATCATAACAATAATAAACGATTTACTAAAGCATCGATACTTTTTACCAGAGTGACATGTTTATGTAAATTTCACCGGCCAAGTTGATAAATAATAAATAAAGGAAAAGCCCTACAAGGACATATTCGATAAAAATCGAATATATTGTCACCCCCTATTTTCCAATTCCTATACTACAAGTTGTGTAGTTTAAAAAAAAAAAATTAAAATTGGCAAGAATAAAATAAAATTCAGCTATTCTAAAGTTTTTGTTTTTTACTTTTTGTAATTTCTTACTTTATTTAAGTTATCGCAAATACGAATGTAATAAAGCGGGAATATTCGATTTCCAACCCCCTTTTTTAACGTACATGCGCACTATGAATTTTCTTTTTCATCGTATTGATTAACGCAGCTTGAATCATTTTATACACGGTTAAAATGATTGTCTCCAAAGCTATAAAATCATACAGGCTGTAAATCACATTAAATTCCTAGATAAACACTTTAAAATTACGATATCATTCATATTAGTGCACTTAAAGATCACCAAGGTTTGTTTAATCCCATTTTAACGAGATTTTTTTTATATATTTTGCAGACAAAAAATCGAGAAAATCGGCAAAATGACGCAAATGTCGCAGGACGAAATAATAACCAATACGAAAACAGTCCTCCAAGGCCTCGAAGCCTTGCGAGTGGAGCATGTTTCGATAATGAACGGAATCGCAGAGGTCCAGAAGGACAACGAAAAGTCGGACATGCTGCGGAAGAACATCGAGAACATCGAACTGGGCCTGAGTGAGGCCCAGGTGATGATGGCCCTGACTTCCCATCTGCAGAACATCGAGGCCGAGAAGCAGAAGCTCAAGACACAGGTGCGCCGGCTCCATCAGGAGAACGCCTGGCTTCGCGACGAGCTGGCCAACACGCAGCAGAAGTTCCAGGCATCCGAGCAGCTGGTCGCCCAACTGGAGGAGGAGAAGAAGCACCTGGAGTTCATGGCCTCCGTGAAGAAGTACGACGAGAATCAGGAGCAGGACGACACGTGCGAGAAGTCCCGCACCGATCCGGTGGTGGAGCTGTTTCCCGACGAGGATAACGAGGACAGAAACAACATGTCGCCCACTCCGCCCAGCCAGTTCGCCAACCAGACTTCCGGCTACGAGATTCCAGCTCGTCTGCGAACTCTGCACAATCTGGTCATTCAGTACGCATCGCAGGGAAGGTACGTTTCGTCGATAAATATTATTTATTTTAAACTCTTAAAAGTTTTATTTTATCATTTAAATGTCCCATGCAACCATTTCGCCAATTCGACTGTCAAAAAAATTGTTCAAATGGAAAGTCTTAATAGTATTTACCATTATTGTCCAACTGTAAATATTTTAAAAATAATTTTTCAACTTTATAGTCATTTTTTCATTATTACATTTATAGCACTAATTATATTTTATCATTTAAATGTCCCATGCTACTTATAAACTTGAACCTCACTATTTCTACTGTCAAACAAACAGGAAAAATTGTTAAAAAGGAAAGATGTATTTAAAAATATTATGAAACTGCAAATATTTTAAAAATAATTTTTTACTTTTCGAATTTTTAGAAGTTTTATTTTATTGTTTAAATATCCCATGCAACCAGTTTACAATTTCTACTGTCAACAAAATTGTTAAAATGGAAAGTCTTAATACTATTTACAAATATTATGCGACTGTAAATATTTTAATAATAATTTTTCATCTTTGTAGTCATATTTTCATCATTACATTTATAGCACTAAATATATTTTATCATTTAAATGTCCCATGGACTTATAAACTTAAACTTATATCAAACAAATTTTTAAAAAGACATTCTTTATGGTATTTACAAATATTATGCAACTGTAAATATTTTAAAGATAATTTTTCAACTTTATATTCATTTTTTCATCATTTAATTTATATCCAGATACGAGGTAGCCGTTCCCCTCTGCAAACAAGCTTTGGAAGATCTCGAAAAGACAAGTGGCCACGACCATCCCGATGTAGCAACAATGCTGAATATTCTGGCCCTCGTGTATCGTGATCAGGTACGTCGATTAACTTAATTTATACAATCGTTAATTAAAAACCTCTTCATGCCATTCAGAACAAGTATAAAGAGGCCGCCAATTTACTGAACGACGCTCTGTCGATTCGAGGAAAAACTCTGGGCGAAAACCATCCAGCCGTGGCGGCCACGTTGAACAATTTGGCCGTCCTCTACGGCAAGCGGGGCAAGTACAAGGATGCCGAGCCCCTTTGCAAGCGTGCCTTGGAGATCCGAGAGAAGGTCCTGGGCAAGGATCACCCCGATGTTGCCAAGCAACTCAACAATCTCGCCTTGCTCTGCCAGAATCAGGGCAAATACGACGAGGTTGAGAAGTACTACCAGCGAGCTCTCGACATCTACGAAACAAAACTGGGTCCCGATGATCCCAATGTGGCCAAGACAAAGAATAACCTGGCTGGCTGCTATTTAAAGCAGGGAAGATACACCGAGGCTGAAATCCTCTATAAGCAGGTCCTGACGCGGGCCCACGAACGTGAGTTTGGAGCGATTGACAGCAAAAACAAGCCCATTTGGCAGGTGAGTTTTTGTGTTCCCGTTTGGCAAAGTAAGTTTTTGATATTTACCCTGCAAAACCCTAATTTCCAGGTGGCCGAGGAGCGTGAAGAGCACAAATTTGATAACAGGGAGAACACTCCATATGGCGAATACGGCGGTTGGCACAAGGCTGCTAAAGTGGATTCCCCCACGGTGACGACCACTCTAAAAAATCTGGGAGCACTTTACCGGCGTCAAGGCATGTTTGAAGCTGCCGAAACCCTGGAAGACTGCGCAATGAGGAGTAAAAAAGAAGCCTACGATCTAGCTAAACAAACAAAGGTCTCACAACTGCTAACATCAAACGAAAAGCGACGATCAAAGGCAATTAAAGAGGATATGGATTTCTCGGAGGAGGTAAGACTTAAATCTTTGATACCTAACTAACCGATTGACATTAATTTTTATCGTTGCAGAAAAATGCGAAACCATGAAAATATTATTTGTTCATCGCCCACAACGGAATCTTTATGTTTATGATTGAAAGTTAACAACAAACACACACTTTATTTATTCATTCCTTAATATACATAAGCTCTCAAGCATACATTAGCAAATAAACAACGTTTTATACCTTGTTAATTCGTCAAAAAATATGTACCGCTTTTAATAATAAACCAAATATATTTAACATAAAAGTGTTTCGTGTGTTTGGCGGTGGCAAAGCAGTAAAAACTTTAAATTACGATGGAATTCAACTTAACATTTATTAATGATAACAAACAGTACAATAAGTTTGCCTATGATAAGTTTTAAGTTAGTCGCTATCATTGTCATTTAAAATTGAGGAAACAATTCCAGCAAACTGCTCGGCTCTATCAAGAAATTGTTCTCGAGTGAGGCTCGTATCATTACGTAAACTTTGCGCAGTGAGAAGTAGGTTTTCAAAGTCTTTTAGTTGACTATCGAATTCTTCAGAACTCATTTCCTCTTTGTTTTCTGAAAATAAAGTATATGATCTGATTTTGCTGTTTTATTTCTAAAAATATTTGTACGTACCAGAACCAAACTTGACATTGGACCAAACTACATTTTTTAAACCTTCTACGACTTCCTCGTAGTCTTTTTCGGGTTCATCTGGGTCACTCTCATTATTGCTTTTCAATGTTATTATGTCAAAAAAGAAATTGGTTTGCTCCTTGATTTCCCCAAAGGATAATCCACTTTCTTCACCTGAAGTAGAAGAAGTTAACAGAAATCCCAGTTGGATCTGTTCATTTTTTGCTAACGTCTTGGGAATAGTTTCAATGAACGAAGTCTGCAAGATTCATATGTTTTAATAAAAGTTATACGATTGTTCTTGTTGAATTTAAATAACTTACATCTTTGGAGTCAAAGTAAATGATTAACGCTTCTGTCGCCTGAAGAATTTTCTCAGGAACGCTTTCTAATTTTCCAGAAAATGGAATTAAATTTATTGATGTGTCGTAGTACTTGGTTTTAATAATGCATTTGTAACAATTCAGTGAGCACTCCGTTGAAGTGGACTCCTTGGGTTGATCCACTTCGGTGAAGATGTCTGTAACAGAAATCAATTATTTAATGGTGAGTATCAATATCATAGAAAGATTATATATTTTTGAAAATATAACTAATTCCCATAAAATCTCTGTCATTTTATTAAGTGAAATTAAAGCCAAGATGGCTCATTTTAATTAGCATGATTCGGCGAACTTAGCTAAATAAGTATTACTCACAACTTTGATGTTTTATTTTAATAAACAAACCAACAAAGCTGTGACAACGTGAGAACTCACTAGCCCCTTATTCAAGGAATATTAACTAATGTTAGTAACTTATTCAATTCACTACTCATACTTTCGACTATTTCCATTGGAGTCGTTGCTCCGTAGGATAAAACCAAGACGACCGGATCCATTTTATTAAAATTTCTTTATTTATTTCAGTCAACAACAAAAAAAGCTAATTTGCAGTGTGGCCAAATCTTAACAGTGCAAAGTTCCGAATGGGTAACAAGAAAAAGCTCAGATTTATACTAACGAATTTATATCGTTATTTAGTTGAAAAATATTTTAAAAATTTAATGATTTTGCATTTAGTTTTATAAAGTTTTCATCTATTTTAAATTTTTTGCTGCCCATAAAAAAATAAATGTTTCCCAATACTTCTCCCAATTAAAATGAATAAACCTCTACTTATATGGCAACATATTCTTTATTATGTTTTTATTTTCTAACTTATTATTACTGAATATTTTTGTCAAACTTTTTCAACAATTGCTGGTAGGTTATATCACATTTTGGGACCTCGCCAATGTCATTTTCATAGACCTTCTTGGCCCTTTCGAAAGCCTCTATGATGCAGGACCTAAAGAAGCAATAAATAAATGAATCTATAATTTTTACGAAGAAAAAACTGTACCCACCTAAATAGTTTCTGGTGCAGGACGTAGGCGCTAACATGACCAGCATCCAAATATCGCACTTCCGCTCCGGGCCATATATCCTCGAGGCTGGAACATCCTTCCCGCGGCACATAGGCGTCCTCCTTGGCACACACCGCAATTATTAGAGAGGTATCGAAGGGAACCGAAAAGTTCTTCAGGTGGGTACACTCATCCATCATGCCACGCATAAACTGCAACGCCTCCCGTTCCCACCAATTCGTCTTGGTTATATCTATTTTATCCGACTTGTTTTGCGCTGAGAGGGGCAGAATGAATTTCATGAGTTTTGTCAACGCCGAGCTGGCATCCTTCGAAGATCCTTCCGTTTCGATCGCAACCTTTTGACTGAGCGTGTCCTTAATATCTATTGTCAGATTGTCAGAGTCCAGTTTTGTGTTCTTCAAAGACTTGGATAAGAATATTGAACTTTCTTCCTGGGCACATGTACCCTGTGTCTCATACTTGTCGCCGCAAGTATTGCTGTTCTCGTGCTCCTGGATCTTTCTCGTATCACTAATGTCTTCCTTCAGCTCGTGCAGAGATTGGTTGAAGTTCTGAATAAAACTTTGGCCCGCTGAAAACGCATCGTCTATCACAGTGACCATTTTGGATAGCCGTTCTCTATACTGTCCATCAGAGAAGTACTGCGTTTCCAACATGTCCCAGTTGATGGATTGACTCATGACTCCCTAAATAACATGGATTTAATTTTGATTCGATTAATCTATATTATTATACACTTACGGTAGTAAAAACAGCCGAAGCGGTGGACCAGGATAGGCATGGTACAAGTACCAACGGCTTTGGCCAATTCGTCGCAGCTAGTGATGCCATCTGAAAAATAATAATTGTTTCTAGAAATCCCTTAATGCTTTTCACGAGTATTAACTTACATGTCCACCCATTGATAGTCCAGTAACGCCCAGAGGACCGAATCCATTCCTTTCACACCAATGAAAAAGAACAAGGCACTCAAGGATGAGGCATCCACCCATCACAAAGATATCGGACACATTATGCAGGTTGGATCGTCTATTTAAAATTAGAAATTATTATTAAACAGAATGTTTGTTAGTCAGTTACGTTAAGACTTACGTTTGGTCATTTGGCTTTCTTAGACCATAAAATGGATTTTCTAGTATTATGGATCCAATGTTGGCATCCTTTAGAAGCGGTTTCGCTATGAAATTTCTTCGCCTCCAAAAGAACTGAAAAAATTTAAAACTTTACTTAGTGGAATTAGAAAACGCCTAGATTTTATGTCTTATGTTATGAAAATATTGTTGAAATGGTCCCAAAACAAAATTATTTTTTAGCAGAAATCAAAAGTAATTCAATCTTTTACCGAATGGATGACTCTTAATTTCAGGGCAAACAAATAGCATGATGTAAAAAATTGAGGACAAAATGAAAAAGTTGAGAAAAAGCTTAATAAATTGCACAACTAGATAAAGAAATGTGACAGAACTGAAAATGTTTATTCTTGTGGGACCCACTTTTTACTAAATGTTGATAGGCCGATCGCCTGACATCGGGCCTCTATTGAAAGTAGACAGACATTATTCGGTTCAAACCACGGATCTATCAATGGTACTCACATGATCACCAGTTCCAGCCAAATGAATGCATACCGGCTTGTGCTTTTCATTTTTCCACTTGTTAGGGATCAACAACTGAAAATGCGCCTGTTGCGATTCCTTTGGAACAACTCCGGGTAAGTGTAACTCAAGGGGCGTTTTAAATTTGCCTTCTATCAGGGTGCTTTCTGCATAAATTTCTTTTTTTGTAATTTCCACCGGATAATCACGAGGTACGAGCTTGAAACACGATTCCCTACTGGATATTACTTTACGGAACTGAAATACTCTGAAATAATTGTCGTAAAGCAATAACAATTAATATGGGGTTTAATCATTCAAATATTAAACAAATTTATATTGGTATTGATATTAATTTTTTGAGAAAATAAAACGCATGTTTAATTGAACTTCAGGAATCGTTTCGAATTAAAATTTGGAATTTTTAATCTAAAAAAAAACGATATTTTTTTAAATTTGAATATATTACATTTTTATTAAACTATCTTCTCTGCCGTTAAGTTAACTTCCCACTAACCTGTACGTGAGAATAAAAAATTGTTGTCATATCCAGTGTCCACTGGTTGAAGGGTACTGAAATGTAAATTAATGATGGCATCGTAAAACGAAAAAGAATACATCCCGTATAAAAGTCAAATTTTATATAATGGAACCACACCTTTTTTGATAACATAGTATGATTATCCAAATAAATATAATTTTCTGAATGATTTAACAGAAAATGTTAGCCTGAAGTTCAATAAATTACCGAGTTGATAGGATTATTATTAACTTCGTTATTATCAACATATTCTTGTTTAAATTAGTGATAACATAGAGCATTCACATGCAATCATAATCTGTATTAACGGCTATAAAGGTTGAGTGCCCTCTGATAAAATTAATTGTGAAAGGTATTAATGACATGTGAGATTTAATTGTAATTCTTAATTTAATAAGTTAGTAAAGTTCGAATAGATAAATGAAGATTCAGAAGTCCGTAAGAGAGGACTCCAATAATTATTTACTTATAATTCTTGATATCATGAGACACCAAAATATCAACATTTATTCTAGCCCTTACTATAACTAAATCGGATCTTGTAAACTAGTTAAAAACAACATACCAAAGTATAAACTCGATTTCTATAGTTTTATACAGCCAAATAAATAACCTAAACCAGGTCAAATTATAATAGTATTACGTAAAAAATCAGCTAATTTTTGTGATTCTTCTATTGAAACACTTACCTACGCAAGTTCTCAGGCTTTCCCCATCCCTTTTCGAAGAACCTCGTTATCAGCATTCGTCGATAAAGGCTATCTAGTTTACTGGGAGGCATTTTCGTTTACACAGTAATTCACAGTAATTTAAATTAGTGAATTTTCTTGCCCTTGGCCAAAAGAATAATAAACAATTCGGCTCCTAGAGATGGGACTTTACACTATCGGCAGCTGGGTGGCAACGTCCATGGTGGTGGTGATAAGACTTGCAATTTAAATATTTTAAAAGTTGTATTTTTTTTTTACTTTTTTTGCAATGACTGGCAATATAAAAAATAAAATAGGAATTTATCTAATTTAAAATTGATTTTTATGTCAACGTCACATTTTGTCATTGGTTTGGAATGGTGAAAAGCGGAGTTCGGAATGGTGGAAAATGGAACAGTTCAAATCTATGCTACCCCAATTTATAAAATTTATTTATTTAGACAATTTAGAATTGTTTAATTATAGCTTTAAAATTCAAGCCCTTGTAGCTTTTTGCGCTGAAAAAGAAATATATGCATAGAAACCCAAGTTTTTCTAATTGAAGAATGGCTTGAAGAAAATTTAAAAAATTTTTCTCATAACAAGTAGTTAGTTAGTATACGAAAGAAGAAATTAATGATGATATCTTAATTGGTCAAGCTAAATGCTAAGCATGACATAAAATAAATGCTTCAAAACACTACCCATCCCAACGCATCCGACTACGATAAAGAATTCAATCCACTCAAGCTCATAAAAAGTACAATTCTTATTCTCAGTTTTTATTACATTGTATCTTATAAAATATGTTACTTATTTTCCTTTGGTAGTTTTATCAATACGTATACACTACATTTATATTTGTATGTATATTATGTTTCGGGCAAACTAATTCGTTAAAAAAATTACATTTGCCCTTGTAAATACTTTATTAAAAGATTTTATAAATATACAAATAATTTATCATGGCACACTATGCATTGATGTTCCAACACGTGCATTATGTACTCGTATATACATAACTAACTTAATCCAATGTTGACTCGGCTATGTGATGTAAGTCTGAATAATTAATTATTGCGCGATGTAGGAACTCGTATTGTGCCTAGAATGGATATGTGGCCATTAGTAATTGCTTATCAAAGACATATTTAAATATCAACTTACGTATGAGTTGATAAGTCCCGTTCGCTGAGATCGTAATTTCCTTGTTGTGGCACAGATGTCGACACACTTCTCCAATCTAAGATGCTGGACTAAAATGCACATTGCGACGAAAATAGAACTTCGATCAGTTCCCAGGCTGAAAAAGAATTGGTAATTAGTCTAATTGATAAGGTAAAATATCTCCCTTTAATTACCTGCAATGAACTGTGAGTGGAGATCGACAACCAGAATTTTTGTTGTTCTTGTAATGGTTGTATGCTTGATCTACAAGTTCAATAATGCCCCGGCAGACTTCAGGAACTTCTCCGTCCACAGTAGGCCAGCCATTGTACTGAAACTGTGTGACCTTCAGCGTATCATCTATTTTGCAATTCGTAACGTAAAATTCACGGCGCGTATAGTACGGACAACTTTCGCTGTGCACATATTTCACGAGTATGTGGTCGTATTGAACTTCATCATCCGCCCAGTATCGTGGGCATTTTCTGGCACCGTCTCCGATCTGTAAATCAAATTAAACATTAATTTCAATGGGAAATCAATGAGGGAGATACTTACTTCAGATATCATTACCAGGGTGGTAACACTCTGTTCTGAAATCATCCTCCAGAAATCTCCAATAGTGTTCTCAAGCGTCCATGGTGGTGGTGATAAGACTTGCAATTTAAATATTTTAAAAGTTGTATTTTTTTTTTACTTTTTTTGCAATGACTGGCAATATAAAAAATAAAATAGGAATTTATCTAATTTAAAATTGATTTTTATGTCAACGTCACATTTTGTCATTGGTTTGGAATGGTGAAAAGCGGAGTTCGGAATGGTGGAAAATGGAACAGTTCAAATCTATGCTACCCCAATTTATAAAATTTATTTATTTAGACAATTTAGAATTGTTTAATTATAGCTTTAAAATTCAAGCCCTTGTAGCTTTTTGCGCTGAAAAAGAAATATATGCATAGAAACCCAAGTTTTTCTAATTGAAGAATGGCTTGAAGAAAATTTAAAAAATTTTTCTCATAACAAGTAGTTAGTTAGTATACGAAAGAAGAAATTAATGATGATATCTTAATTGGTCAAGCTAAATGCTAAGCATGACATAAAATAAATGCTTCAAAACACTACCCATCCCAACGCATCCGACTACGATAAAGAATTCAATCCACTCAAGCTCATAAAAAGTACAATTCTTATTCTCAGTTTTTATTACATTGTATCTTATAAAATATGTTACTTATTTTCCTTTGGTAGTTTTATCAATACGTATACACTACATTTATATTTGTATGTATATTATGTTTCGGGCAAACTAATTCGTTAAAAAAATTACATTTGCCCTTGTAAATACTTTATTAAAAGATTTTATAAATATACAAATAATTTATCATGGCACACTATGCATTGATGTTCCAACACGTGCATTATGTACTCGTATATACATAACTAACTTAATCCAATGTTGACTCGGCTATGTGATGTAAGTCTGAATAATTAATTATTGCGCGATGTAGGAACTCGTATTGTGCCTAGAATGGATATGTGGCCATTAGTAATTGCTTATCAAAGACATATTTAAATATCAACTTACGTATGAGTTGATAAGTCCCGTTCGCTGAGATCGTAATTTCCTTGTTGTGGCACAGATGTCGACACACTTCTCCAATCTAAGATGCTGGACTAAAATGCACATTGCGACGAAAATAGAACTTCGATCAGTTCCCAGGCTGAAAAAGAATTGGTAATTAGTCTAATTGATAAGGTAAAATATCTCCCTTTAATTACCTGCAATGAACTGTGAGTGGAGATCGACAACCAGAATTTTTGTTGTTCTTGTAATGGTTGTATGCTTGATCTACAAGTTCAATAATGCCCCGGCAGACTTCAGGAACTTCTCCGTCCACAGTAGGCCAGCCATTGTACTGAAACTGTGTGACCTTCAGCGTATCATCTATTTTGCAATTCGTAACGTAAAATTCACGGCGCGTATAGTACGGACAACTTTCGCTGTGCACATATTTCACGAGTATGTGGTCGTATTGAACTTCATCATCCGCCCAGTATCGTGGGCATTTTCTGGCACCGTCTCCGATCTGTAAATCAAATTAAACATTAATTTCAATGGGAAATCAATGAGGGAGATACTTACTTCAGATATCATTACCAGGGTGGTAACACTCTGTTCTGAAATCATCCTCCAGAAATCTCCAATAGTGTTCTCAAGTGGATCTTGGGCAATTATAAAGGTTTCGCTGTTATCATAGCCTTCGATGAAAGATGCATTAATGTAGGTCGAGTTATCCCGCATTGGAAGTGGTGTCAGTATTACCTAGAAATCCATAAAGATATTTTAAGCAGTCCTTCTATAAAAGTAAGACTCTGTTACTCACTCTGTTACGATCGTAGGGAATTATCTCTTGACTTCTGTTTTTCATATTGTTTTCCTCGTTTTCGCCCACACAACACGACTTACTTATCTCATCCGCTGTGACCAGCAGTTTCTAAAGTAAACGATAATAAGTACATCGCCGGAAAGTAGATATCAAATTGTACAAACCTCGAATTCCATTTCCAATTTGCATTTACCCTCGTTGGGTTTACGTTTGAGTGATTCAATGGCTGAAGTCATGGTGTCAATGCAAATATCCGTGTTTCCAAAAATTCCAGTGTCTAATAAAGCCCGATAAAGGAAGATGTATTGTTTCTGTAAACGAAATCCATGGTTAATTTAAACTATTTTACAGTCGTATTATATTAACTTACCAATGATTGGACTAAAAAGTTTCGTTGGTGTCGTAAATCGCAGACTGTGTTGTAAATGGACACCGAATCTTCCTCCTCCAGTTGTTGGATCAGCGAATCCAAAGCCACCAGGGTACCGGTTCTACCGACACCAGCGCTGCAGTGCACTAAAATGGGCCCCCTTTGCAAGGAGTAGACGGAATTTATTTGTCGTATGAATTTGATGATGCCATGCGGATGCTCGGGTGCCATAAAGTCCTTCCACGTTAAATAGTGGTATTGGGTGATTTGTCTGCGGTCCTCCTCCTCGCCCACTTTGTTCTTCGAAACGTTGAGGGTTCGTTCAATATAATCTCCAGTCTTTCGTTCTTGTGCGAATTTCACTAAAATATCTCCGAATTGTTTTGTATCAAATACTTTCTCTGGCCAATATTTCGCACACTTGGCCTTGTTATATTCCTCCAAATTTGTAAGCATCACAATTATTTCCAGATGTTGTTCCCAAATCATTCGCCAAAAGTCGTCGATGGTGCTCTCCATTGGACCCTGTGCGCAGATAAACTTCTTTCTCTCCTTGTATCCAATTACGAAATTTGCATTAATATAATCTGCTGTCTGTAGTCCATTTACGACCGCCAATTTCACGCGAGTTTGATCGTACGCCTTAATATCGGGGTACCTATTTTTGCAGGCGTTCTCCTTTAAATCACTGTTTTTGGTTGTTCGATCGCTGAATCGATTGGGCAGCATCTCATATTCCCGGAGAAATCCGTAATCAGTGTCTTTATGGCGGTTCTTATAGGCGTTTTCCAAGTCTAATCGGTGAATGGGGCCAGCATCGAATCCTTTGTGATTTCCAGACGTAATAAAATGACTGTGGTTGTTACTTCGGCGACCGAACAAAGCCCTGCTTGATAGTAAAAGAAAAGGTTAAATATTAATTATAAATAAATAGAAATAATCTATTAATAAGTAGTTACCTAAGGGAATCTCTTAGGGTTAAAGTATCTTCGCCCTGCAATTCGTTTTTGGTTTTTTTGTGATGGAAGGCCCACAGCACAATAAGAAGCAGGATAACACCAAAAAGTACGGCTCCGGCCTTGATCCCAATATTTAGGTAGTAGTCCATATTATTGAAGGATTGAATGGGTTCCGCTTCCGTAGCTGGAGTAATTACATCAAAGTATTTGCTATATGCCATCAGCACATTATTTCTATCCCGAACTATGAGAAATACCAAAATATAAGTTACTTTCTTTTAGAGTTTCCAATAACTACTTACCTATAATCTCTAGGAAACCAGTGTAATTTGAGTTAATATCTATCTCACCATCGAAAACATCTCGACTAGAATCGTGGAGTGGCACATTTGGGTTGACGGAGCTTAGAATTGGATTCTCATCGCTGGTCACCGCATTTCTTTTGTCTCTCAACTTACTTTCTAAGATTTTAAGAGCATGCTCTGTTAAGTTAGATCCCTTGATAAAGTTGTCTTTTTCAGAGGAATGTGGTAGATCAGAATCAAAATCTGCGGGAATAACAGTAAAGAATAAAAAAAAAGATCACGAAATTAATTTAGAATACCTTACTTGATAGTGAACTCAATGGCGGTTTGGTGGTGACCTCGGGTTTTCTCAGGAACGGAGTGCCCTCCAAGCATTTGCGGCAAATTTCGTCATTGTCCCTGATTATATCATTGTTTTCGCTGAATCTCTGCTCATCGCCCAAAAATATTTCGGGTCTAAAGTACTTGCCGCTGATCATTTCGGCTATATATGCACTACTTCTGGTCACATTATCGCTGTGCACCTCCTGATATGTGGCTATATTCAGCTTATCCGGCTCCGGCAGTTCCTTGTTGTCATTGTTAATCCTAACTAGATTTAGTCTATAACAGCAAATGGGACCATTTCGTTCGCTGATTTTGGGTAGATATAATTTGAGGACGTATTTGGAGCCCAGGTTAACTTTTGTCCACATGGTCCGGCCAATGGTGTCCGGCGTGGAGACGGGCATGAGGCAACTTCCGGTGGCCGGTTCGCCGTTCTTCTTGTGCCGCGTGATGGCGGACACCGTCACAGTGTAGTTTGTATTGGGGCTAACACTTTCGTAGAGGGTCTTGTGATGGGGCTCGTCGATTCTGCGGATCTTGGGTCCCCACATCTCTCTATCCACTGTGCTCATGGGGTTGCCCAGCAGGTGAATAAAATAAGAAACAACCTTGCCGTTTGGCGTCTTGGGAACATCCCAGTTAATGGAGATTGAGTTGCCTCGCGTCACGTTGTCATGATGGCAGTTGATCGTCAAGTTGGTGGGTTTCGTTGCCACGCCGTCCATAGTTGTGCCGTTCACATTCTCGGACCACGGTCCGCAGGTCTTGGTTAGATCGCTGCATGCTCTAACCCTAAATTCGTAGTCTGTGGCCGTCTTAAGCTTGTCAAACATGTATGGCAAGTTCCGTGAATTCTGCTGGTAAATGGCCTCCTCAATCACTTTGGGCACCTCGCCCGATTCGGAGACAATCAGTTCGTAGTATTGTATATATTCGATGAGGTCCGGCGGCGGGGGATTCCAGCCAATCGTTATGGTCGACGGTGTGCTGCCGGTGGTCTCGACTTTCGGTATAAATATGGGATCAAAGCTGAGCGTGGTGATGCCCTGGGCAAACTGAGTGGGCTGACCGTCGCCAATCGAGTTCTTGCCCACAATTTTTAAAAAGTACGTTGTGTTCGCCTTAAAATGGTCAAAAATATACGATGAATAGCTGCCGTTTATAAAGTCCTTATAGTAGGTAAAAGTCGGTGTTCCGGCCTCCTGAAGAAGAACGAAGAACTTTTGAACGGGATCATTGCCGTCGTTTACGGTCCAGTTTAAATATATTTTGTTAGCCC